TAAGAAGGGGTTAAATAGCAGTTAGAAGGGATTATACAGCAGTCAAAAGGGATTTAACAGCAGTCAGAAGGGATTAAATAACAGTTAGAAGGGATTAAACAGCGGTCAGAATGGATAAAACAGCAGTCTGAAGGGATTAAACAGCAGTCAGAGGGGATTCAACAGCAGTCAGAAGGCCTTAAACAGCAGTAAGAAGGGACTGAACATCAGTCAGAAGGGATTAGATAGCAGTCAGAAGGGATTAAACAGCAGTCAGAAGGGCTTAAACAGCAGTAAAAAGGAAATGAACAGCATTCAGAAGGGATAAGATAGCAGCCAGAAGGGATTGAATAGCAGTCAGAAGGGATTAAACAGTAGTCTTTAGAAGTTAACTAAGAACTACCGGCTTATCAATTTTTTATATTTTTATGTTTGTTTGTTGTATTCAGTAACCTATATTAGTCAATTCAAAATCACACCTAACTGTTAAACAGAATAAAATATATTCTATTTGTTTTTAACAAAACTAAGTAAAAAGCAGCATGCTGATTGTCAGCTTTTAAGCTTTTTGTCATTTCTTTTAATCTCACTTTGCAAGTTTTCGTTAAAGCTTTTTTTGTTACAGAGTTACCCCAACAGTGTTATTGACTCTAATGAAGATCTGAAATTATTGAAATTTGACTTTCTGAAGTTCTAAATTGGCTCGCCTTCAGAATTCTGTTTTATTGCGTATTTAATGCTTTTTCAAACAAAGACGAAAATTTCAAGCTGCAGGGAACCTTGAGTGTAAGAACAAAGACTGGATTAAATCCGTACAGTCGTCTCTGAAGTTTCATTCTTTATGGGTAACCCTGTATTAAATATTCGAGCTTGGTGTCCAAAACTGAATAAAGGGAAAGCCAAAGAAAGAAAAGAATAGGGAGAGAGGATTTATGAAGATAAGGGGCGTATACAGGGAGGGGGTATTAAGCCTGAGTCAGCTTTAGTCACCCCGGCCCTAGAGAGGTAAAAACTAGGATTTCCAATGGGATTAAGACTCCTAACGGCCACAGGGGCTTTAATCCCCCTGGAAACTAAAAAAAGTCAAGAGCACTGGAATACTTCTGTATAATCCCCTGATGAAGATAGTAAAATAGTGAAGAAAAAGTTGATAAAAAACAATAAGAAAATAAAGGATAAAAAGCACAATAAAAAGATTTTTTTTAAAAATCTAATAAAAGGAAGAATAACATGTACATATATATAACATATATATATATATATATTATATATATATATATATACGTAATACATACTTGTCCACTTTAACCCAATAATTTTCGACTACAGTTTCACCATGTGATTATGTACAAGTGATTTTTGAATTTATGCAGAAGAAAAAAAGAACGGGAATAGACAAATTTATCTCATATCAATTAAAGTTTAAAGAGTACTGTTGTGAATCCGAGTTGTAAATCTTTAAATGTATACTTGAAATTACGCTGTTAAAAGTCCTTTTTTCGTTTATTTCTTGACCCCCCTTGGTTCTTTTTTTCTGATAATTTGGTGAAGATGAAGAAGAAAAAATATCTTCTGAAGCGTGACATTGATATTGCATGATTTCTGCCTTTTAAACATTCTAGACAATATAAACATGTGTTCATAAATTAACAACAAAACATTCTAGACAATATAAACATGTGTTCATAAATTAACAACAAAACATTCTAGACAATATAAACATGTGTTTATAAATTAACAACAAAACATTCTAGACAATATAAACATGTGTTTATAAATTAACAACAAAAAATCGGTTGATTTACATTTTTATATTCGAATTTCATAGGAAGCCTTCGAAATAATTATCTTTCTTAAAGATTTATAAATTAACAACAAAAAATCGGTTGATTTACATTTTTATATTCGAATTTCATAGGAAGCCTTCGAAATAATTATCTTTCTTAAAGATCAGATGGAGCGCTCCCTAGATAACGATCGTTGATCATTACATTATGATCTAATCTGATAACTAACCATTTATTTAAAATCTTTCTGAAAATTTATCATTTCCTAATTGAAAAATGATCAATGTCTGATCTATTTAATTTTGATTTAACAAATAAATGATTATTTAAAAATGATCTGTCATTAAACAAAATATTTACTTAATGAAAGATGAATATTGATTGTAAATGTTTATAGACTAATGAATGGTCATTGACTGATAAATGCCAATTGGTCACTGACTGATAAATGATCATTGACTGATAAATGATCATTGACTGATAAATGATCATTGACTGATAAAGAAAAGTTGTATGATCGCTTGAAATGATCTACCTGAAAAATGATCGCCCATGCTTGCTGTTCGTTGAGGGGTGCGGAGAAAGATTGGAGAATATCAGAGAGCTTGAGACAACCAAAGCTATCTGAACACAAATTATATCTTAATAACTTTATAACATAACAATACAGGAGAAATAACAGAATCAAAAAACTAAATAAAAAAATCATATCAAACTGAACAGAGCCACAAATTATAATGATTTCAAAATATGCATTTATGTGACGAATCTTTTCTTCCAGTGATAAATAAAAAATGAAAAGTAGGAAAGTAAATTTAGTAATATTTAGAGTAAAATATCCAAATTTAATGGATAAGTTTCAACAAATCCAACCCAAACAATGAAATAATAATGGAAATAATTACCTAGGGTAAGCTGCTTCCATTCCTTCTTCGGCATTTTCACTGTCTGTATATCAAACATTCAATCAATCAATCAATCAAGTCTGAAAAATATTTTTTTTCTATTTTAATCCTGCGTAAATTCTTTTTTCCCCCAGTAAATAAATAATTTAACATGTCAACGTAAAATGTAAATGAGAAAAGGTGACGCACGGTAGAACAAAGTTATTTTTGACAACTTAAAGGGAGTATTCGCAAAAATGAAAGGGAGTATAGGATGATTAAAGGGACTGTCAGCATAAGTTCTTAAGAAAATTTAACTTATGAAAGCAAATTTGGGATAATTGGTTTACTTCTNCATATTCATATTCAGGAAGAAAAATGGTATTCCTTATAATAATAATAATAATGATAATAAAAGAGCTTCCTTATGAAACATTATTTGTAAAAATTAAAAGAAAATTGTGAAATTTTCTTTCACATCTTCCATTAAAAATTATTTATCTAAAGAGACAGTGGGCCTCAAGTGACCCTCTATACAAAAATGACACTCTAGAGAAAGGTTCACAACGGTACCCTTAACAGCTTTGTCTGATCAAGTTTGAACCATTAATGATCAGATAAACGTTTCAAGGTTACCGTTTTTACATCTTTCCATTGAAACTCACTTGAAATTACGCTTACAGTCCCATTAATTTTGAATTATTTAATTATTAACTTAAATTTCACAAATGTTTTGATTGATGTTTTGCCTAAAGCATACTCTAGTTAACTGCTCTAAATCCCACACTCTTATCTGAAACAATTATTTTTATTTTGATAGATAGATAGATAGATAGATAGTGTAGAGAGGTGAACACATTTTTATACAATATTATAAATCAAAATTGCACAATTTAAGGACTAGATTTGTTTTTCAAACAATATTGTACGCATGCTGTAGACCAGTGCAGAGTTTACGCAAATGCGTACAATATGTACAACATAATGCGTATTGGTACAATTATATGGAGTGCAAATTCTTAGTGTTAAACAGCCATAAAAGATGATCAAGAGTTGAGTGAAGGTTTGTAAAAATTATTTTAGTTCATATTTTAACTCAGTTTCTTAAAGATTGATGCATCGCACCGCCACCCCACCTACTCTTTCAAAAACGGAGAATTTAAAGAAAAAATATCGTTAATCCAGCTCCTAGAGATAAAAAGGAAAGTATCATAAATCAATTTTTTTGAGAAATGATGTCACTAAGCTTTATTAACTGTTTTTTAACAATAACTAGAAAGATACGTAAGAGAAGTATGTATTTGAAGGACGTAAACAGAGAGGGGGGGGGGGGAACTGTGACCCTACATCCCCAGATCCCTTTCTTCCCTATTGAAAAAAAAACACAAAAATGTGTTACCCTAGGATCCCATGGCCCCTTCCCCTATTCTAGATTAAATCCTCTAATTTAAGCTTCTTTAGCTTAGCATATTTATAAGTGTATAGGTTAAATAATTTTTATTTTTATTTGCTTACACAATAAACATTTAAATCAGTTTCCTATCAAATCTAATTTTATAAAGGTTGCTTCCATGAAGTGGGATAATTACAGCACAGACAGGATTATCCAAGGAGCATCAATAAGCATGACAATCAAATAAAGACTGTCGTGTTATGGGATTTCCAAAATGTGGTCAGCATCTTCAAAACGTAATAACTTTTTGTGGAATTAATAACTTTGTTTTAAAACTCCAATATTTGTCATCCTTAAAAGAGGGTAGACCACAATTTCAAAACCTAACACGTACAATCTTTCTTAGACATTTAATCAAAGTAAATTTTTTAAAATATTAACTTCCCACCCCCTCCTCCTCTTTCCCTCTATGTTAAAAAGCTTAATCTATTAAATAAAAGTTGCGTTTTCTGACAATATTAATTCCTTTAAAACAGGCTGATTTTTTCAACAATTTTCATCGAATCCCGCTTATCTGAAACCTTATTTAAGCAGGGTCCCGCTGAAACCATCTCTTTACGAAGAAATTTCATTTATAAAAATTTGCTTTAGTAGAAAATAAGTATTAACATTTTCATCAGGCACTTGACTTCATTTGCAAAGTTATCACATTTCAAATGAAAATGTTCTGCTGATTTAAGAACATAAATAAAACTGTCTTTAGTTGAGTATTAAGAAATATAACGAGGTCTCAAGGAATTATATGTGAATCAAAAAATCAAATGGTCAATTAGTCCAAAAAAAATCAATTGATCAATAAATAAATAATGCCTTTTCATAAAATAATTATAGCATTTTAATTAAAAAAGTGAAAGATGCCGTTTATAATAAAAATAAAAAACGCGATGCTTTTTTAAAAATTCAATCAATAGTCAACAGTACAAAAAAGGACTTCTATTTGAACTGCTCTGTAAAAGCGTCCAAGGACTCCTATTTGAACTGCTCTGTTAAAGTGTCCAAGGACTCCATCAGTTTCTTCTCTTCTTCAGCCGAAGACTTGGTCCAGGCCAAGGGAAGATGTTTAGCCACTGGAACTCTATCTTGCCTGAACAAAACAACAATTTTGAAATCACTACTATACATTACAATAAATACTAAAAAAAACTCAAATTTTCGGGGGATAAAAAAAACGAAAGCTGAAAAACCTTTTTTTCTAAGAAAATCTTGGATTTTTTATCTTAAAAATGATTTTACTCTTGAATAGCTCGATTCTAAAAAATTCAACTTTTGACAAATTCTTTTTAAGAACTCCATAAGATTTTCAACTAACCAAAATCCTTTCTACCAGAAAAAGTCTAAATCTGAGGAAAAATGAAAAATCCTAATCCTAAAAATTGTGTGAAAAAACTGACCAAAACTGTCCGCTGGGTTGTTTCTCCTTGAGTGAGTCGACAACTGCCAACCATAACATCGTATCTGCTCCTTGGCCCACTGTACGCAGCTTGTCTCCCATCTTAGTGTGGAAATCTGAACAAAAATGTTAAAGAGACTGTCATTGTGATTTATGACCCTCCTTTTATAGCTTGTTGTATATCCATCGTCCGATTCATAACGGTTCTCGTCATCGTCCATATTAGCGTGAAAATCAAAGAAAAATCAACAAGATGGACTTTTCTTTAAGTAAGGGTGAAACTGTTTAATTGAACATGTCAAATCCTTTTTGCACCAGCAAAATATCATACAGTAGCAATTTAGAAGCAACATTTGTAGAAGAAAAAAATAGAAAAAAAAACAAAACGATTTGAAGACACTGCGAAGATATGGAAACTGGAAAGGTTGATTTATCAATTTTTTTTTCAAAACATGTATATAAAGATGCACTTGAACTAATTTGATCTGAAATTGCATAACTGGTTTGTAATTTGTTTACTGGTAAACGTGTCAGGAAAAATGTTGTTCTAAACTTAGACTTTTAGATAATCTAGAGTTATACATGTTATCAATTCTTGATGAGCAACACGTTCTATCTTAAGAAATTAAATCTAAATATTAAAATTATCAAATGTCATATTCCGTAATTTGTCCGGAATATTGTACGGAATTATGTAGTTTATAATGTATTTTATTATGTAATGAATAATGTACGGTATAATGAACGGAAGAATGTACTGAATAATGTACGGTATAATGAACGGAAGAATGTACTGAATAATGTACTGAATAATGTACGGTATAATGAACGGAAGAATGTACTGAATAATGTACGGTATAATGAACGGAAGAATGTACTGAATAATGTACGATATAACAAACGGAAGAATGTAGTGAATAATGAACGGAAGAATGTAGTGAATAATGTAAGGTATAATGAACGGAAGAATGTACTGCATAATTTACTGAATAATGTACCAAATAGTGAACAATGTACGGTATAATGAACGGTAAAATGTACTAAAAATGTACTGAATAATGTACGGAATTAACGGTAAAATGTAGTGAAAAATGTACTGAATATGTACGGTATAATGAACGGAAAAATGTACTGAATAATGTACGGAATGACTGCATCCTGGACAAAGAAAAGTTTTAATAGAGGGGATGAAGGGCCTATTTCATTTTTTCATTATTTTTGAGGTTTATATCTTTCAGGGGGGGGGGGGNCCTCATTTACCCTTAGAGGGTCTGTAAGCGTAATTTCAAGTAACCATTTCAGCCTCCAAGCAAAGGTGGCTATGTACCGATTCTCATCGGTACCCTTAAAATCTTTAGCTGGTCAAGTATGAATTAGATATCACTTTTTATAATTTTAATTGTCATTTTTTAAATTGTAGTTTCTATCCTAAGTGACCTGCGCATAACTACTGCAGTAAACAATTGGGAATTATCAGAAAAAAATACTTTTAAACCGAGGAAAACGACACTAGTTCCCAAATTTTAGATCAGAAAAATGTTTCAAGGGTATTATTGTGAATCGGGCATCGGCATCTCTGTACGGAGGATAACTTAAAATTGTTGATACAGTCCCTTTAATATACTCCTATTTACCTGATGATACAATGACGACTCTAGGATCTGAACTCTTCTTCAACAGATCAATCAAACCTTGATCAATATCAGTTAGTTTACTAAACCTATCAGGCCAATCGATCAATCAATTAATTAATCAATTATCTACAGGGTGTCCCACATCATATTAGACCGAGAACGGGTCTAATTAGAAAATTTCATTAGAATGAATCATTTTGAAAAATAACAAGGCTTATATAAGAATTTTCTTGCGGAAAATAATAAGTTTTTCGAGTATTAATGGTTTATTTTGGTGTTAAAGATTGGAGATAATCTGATATGATATGGGACGCTCTGTATAATCAATCCATGATTATCCATAATTATCCATAATAATAATCCTACAGTTATAATATGAGTTCCCGGAGTGTAAGTTCTTACCTACAGTAATAATATGAGTTCCCAGAGTGTTAGTTCCTACCTACAGTTATAATATGAGTTCCAAGAGTTCTAGTTCCTGCCTACAGTAATAATATGAGATCCCAGAGTGTTAGTTCCTACCTACAGTAATAATATGAGTTCCCAGAGTGTTAGTTCCTACCTACAGTTATAATATGAGTTCCAAGACTGTTAGTTCCTACCTACAGTAATAATATGTGTTCCCAGAGTGTTAGTTCCTACCTACAGTAATAATATGAGTTTCCAGAGTGTTAGTTCCTACCTACAGTAATGACTTGAGTTCCCAGAGTGTTAGTTCCTACCTACAGTAATAATATGAGTTCCCAGAGTGTTAGTTCCTTCCTACAGTTATAATATGTCTGACCGGGCTAGCCCGGCTGGGTCAATATACAAATAGTTAAGATAATAATATTATTAGTACAGATAGCGAATTAGAATTGCACATCATGGTACAATATACTTCATGAGTTCCCAGAGTGTTAGTTCCTACCTAAAGTAATAATATGAGTTCCCAGAGTGTTAGTTCCTACCTACAGTAATAATATGAGTTCCCAGAGTGTTAGTTCCTACCTAAAGTAATAATATGAGTTCCCAGAGTGTTAGTTCCTACCTACAGTTATAATATGAATTCCAAGAGTTTTAGTTCCTACCTACAGTTATAATATGAGTTCCAAGAGTGTTAGTTCCTACCTACAGTAATAATTTGAGTTCCCAGAGTGTTAGTTCCTACCTACAGTTATAATATGAGTTCCAAGAGTTTTTGTTCCTACCTACAGTTATAATATGAGTCCCAAGGGTTTTAGTTCCTACCTACAGTTATAATATGAGTTCCAAGAGTGTTTGTAGCAAAGTTCTTCTCTAATCCGTCTTCTTGCAGTTCTCTAGTGTTCACCATACACCCTGGGTACAAAGGTTATTGAGCACACTGTAAACAAAGGTTATAGTGTACATTGTGTACAAAGGTTATACTTTTAGTTATACATTGTGTACCTAGGTTACTGTGTATACTGTTAACAAAGGTTGTTGCGTAAATTATCTTTTTGCGTATTTACGGGTATATGGAATATTTTCAGATTTTTACTATTTACTCGTCTATAATATAAAACATGAATAATCTAATTTGATTAGCCTCAATTTTGATTGGGGAACTAGGTAAACCAAGATAGTGTTCTTAGCTTGGTTTAAAAATTCCAAGTTGGGTAGGTTGACAAAGATTAGTTTCCAAGCAAAGCTGGGTTCTAAAGCTAGTAAATAAATAAAAGTACTATTTTTAGTGTGAAGTACAAATAATTAAATAAAACAAAGTTTATTTGTTTGATTCTGAACCTGCATTGTTGATCAGTACATCCAATTTTTCATTCTCCTCTCCAAACTTCCTAATCAAGCAATCATTACAAATCTTTTTTTTCAATTCATCTCTATTTTTAAGAAACGATAAGAGAAAACAAGAAACCTTGGGTTGAGACGATAGTGTATCTTTCGACCTACGCCAAATCCGCTATACTACACATACGAACTACTAGCACGTGGTTTTACAGCTGCTAGGACTTGAGGCCGCAGCGCCCGGCTTCCCAAGCATGTCCTAACCGCGGCGCTCAGACCATAAACTGTCTTAAACTAACCTAACCCTCAAATAATACAAAAATAAACAGCTGGCGTCGGTCCGATATTGCAGTAGGAAGTTAGTAGGTCAGAAGTTCAGTAGGGGGGGATGTTGCATATAGACGATGAAACATTACCGTTGAGGCAAATCAATCAAATGAGGATGAACAAGAGAGATTGAAAGTAAGAAAATTAAAACTTTACCGTATATACTCTAAGGAAAAAGAAAGAGAAGAAACGGAAGAATAAATAATGAAAAAAAAAAAACAATGTAAAGTATAAATACTTCTGGGTCAAGCTATATCAAGAAAATGAAAATGAACATTGGGAGAATGAAAGAAAGAAATTAAAGAAAACAAATCAAGGTTTAAGGACCAACCTTGTAAACGCATGAACACTCTTGGGTTGAGACATATCAAGAATATGCAGATGAACGTTGGATGAGCCCGTGGCCTCCATAATCTCAGCTTTTGCTGCTTCCCCATACTGTGGATTCCTACAGTAACAATATTATATGAGATATTGCTTTACATTCAAATTTTCCATTTTCTAACTTTTAGCTCTACCTCTCATCAATCATAGTGCCAAATTTACCATCAACCAAAGGTGAACACTATCGTTCCAAGGAGGAATTCAGCCCTACCCCTTTTGCCCCTGTGAAGTTGAAAATTTTTAGCAGCCCCCCCTCCCTCGAAAAATCCTGCATACGCCCGTGCTCCTTCTACAAACCTGCAGACTAAATGAACAGTCCCTCCTCGCTTAGCAATCTCAAGGGCAGTCTCTTTTCCAATACCACTGTTAGCACCTTTGCAGCAAATAATAAAGTGAACAAAATCTATTGTACTGCAGCACATTTTAATGTTTAAAAAAATCAATCAAGAAACTTAAGTGATATAGTAAACAAAAGTTAATGTGCTGCACATAAAAGTAAATAAGGATGAAGCAAGAGCTAATGTAGAAGACTTAGAGTAAACAGTTAACAAGAATGTAAACAATATCTACTGTACTGCATCAGTGCATAATAGAAGTAAACAAACATGTAAATACAAGCCTTAGAGGGCGCTTCGCGCCCATATACTAAATTAATTATGAACATATTCTCTTTGTGTACATCGTAAAACAAAACAAAAATAATTTGCGGATTTTCACAAAAAATTTCGTGGATTTTCAAAATTTTCAAAAATTTTATGAAGATCGAATTTTGATGGAGACAAATATTTGAAATTTTGATCATTCATAAACCTTCCCTGGGGCTCCGTGAGGTCCCAAAAAAAATATGGGCCCGATCGGTTCAGCCGTTTTGACGTTTATTGGATACAAACAAACATACAGACAAACAAACAAACAGACAGACAAGCCAAATTTATACATAGAAGCTGGTGTACTGCACTTTATAAGAAGAAAACATGCAAATTCAAGTGTTCTGCACTATAATTAATATTAAGCATATAAACAACATGGTGTACTTTCAAACTCAAATAGCGTAAATTACAAATATAATATAATTGATACCTGTAATCATAAAAGATTTCCCATCACACTTAACATCGAGATCGTCTGCCTTGAAATGCTTCGCTGCAGCTGCGTAACCACCTGTACAAACAATGCGTCAGAAACGCCATATACGCAAATAGCAATACGTAAAATTAAGTAAATTATGTTTACTAATTTGCATTATCGACGCATTACGCTATTAGTGCAGACCTGAAGTGTACTCCTTCGACCCCTTCATAAACCAAACAACATTTCGAAATAACGACATTGTTAAAAATCTGAAACAAAATGCGTTGAAATACTCTACAATCATATTTAACGCGTGGCCCAATTAATAACAACTTCACGGTAACGTAAGATATGTGTAATGCTCACCAAATTACCAAAAAAGATTAAAAAGTTGTGCAATTCTCTGTGGTTTTATAAGCCTAGGGGCGACGGGCGTAGAAAACATTTGACATTCAATTCTATGATTCAACAGTTGGGTTAAATGTTCCGCGGCATTATAAATATAAACAGTTGAGGAAGCTTTATATAATGATTATATATTATTAATTAGTAAAGGCAAAATGTTATGGGAATCATTGTATATTTTGAAATTAGGCATTTATCTATTTGTCATCAAATTTATTGTAATAAAATTATTTCGTTTAAATTTTAAGAAAAGTGTCCTTAACTGTTTGAATGTTCGATGAATTCTGTCGTCTTTATTCCGCGTATTTCTGCAACTTTTTCTCTCTCGATCAGCTGATAACTGATTAGCTGTTCCGTTAGGTCTGACGCTGGACGTAATCTACGCAAACTCATTCAACAAAGTTAATACCTTATTAAAATTAAAATTTCAGTTATTTCGTACAAGAAGTACTATGCTTGGTGAGCCCCCATCAATTTTGAACATGAAATTATTTTTTCTAATTTTCGGGCATTCTAGTGCCTAGCCTAGCTATAACCATAACTGTGACCGCAGCGCTCGGCCCACTATGTGGCCTATTTGTTTGGTCCTTCAATCTGTTCCATCCAAACTACGTGGGCCAGATATTCTCCTAGCGCGGCCCAAATTGAAATAGTAATGTTCTTAAAACATTAAGTTTTATGAATAATGAATTTAGGTGTGACTATATTTGTAAAAAAGATCGTGCATCCAAAAATTTTGAATTAATATAATTATTATTACCTTGTATGGTCCACTATTCCTGTTAATTTTATCTTAGCAGACTTTTAAATTAACACATTTCAGAAGTAATTATGCTGAAAATGCATGGGGGTGATGACACTTCCAGTGATACTGAGGACTATGGGGAAGATATTAGGTAAGTAATCCTTTTTCATAATTTAAAATATTCTTTAAATAAAGTTTAATTTTTAAGTTGCATGTTCGTTTATTAGTCTTAAATTTTGTAATTATTTTTTCGACTTGAAATTATCTTATCACTGAAAGTTTTAAAGATTTTTTCTGGGAAATTTCATTGGTTTTCTTAACATTTTTTTCTTTCTTAAATATTTGAAATATTCTCCAAACTTAAGAATTTTTATTGAAATTTTTAAATTATTGTTAGTGATTCCCCTAATAAACTTTGCTATGACTGCAATTAGAAAAAAAATTCTAAGGAATTATTACTAATATTAGTTTAATGTTGTTTTCCATTTTCAACTTTTTTCTATAATTCAGAAAGTTTTATTTCTGAAATTGTCTCAAGCAAAAATTTTATCTTATCTTCAAATGTTGAAAAGGATGCGGTCACGGTATCGACGGCGCCCGTTTCCTACTTCACCCAAACCATTCGGCGGCGCCAGACCAAAGGTGAGAACTTTTTTTCTCAAATTATTTTTAGTTTCAAATTTTTAAAGTTCAATTATCATTCTGAATTTTTGTTCTTATTCTGAAAATTAAAATTTAAATAAATGTGTTTTAGGAACATTTTGAAGATCACATTCAGTCGAGAACCATCAGAACGCATTCTCTGGTAATTATTGTTCAACAATTTTTTTGCGTCAATGTTATGTTTTTCTACGCTAAGACAATTATTCACATTTTATTCACCATTAAGATATGGCGTACAAACCTTTATTTTGCGTTTTTCTATTTTAAAGACGTTTTTAAAATCTACAGTGAGAACCATAAATCTTTGGAATAGGAAGACGACTGTTAAACTCAAATTATGACTGGTTTTGTATAGTCTAATAAACATGAAATTCAGCAATTATGCAGTACCCGTATCACTTGATAGACTGATTTGCAAGCCACTAATAACATGAAATACAAAAAGAATTCCTTAAATTTCGTCTTCCTGTTCCACAGTTTTATGGATCCCACTGTTCGATTTTAATGTTTTAAAGTTAATTAATTTGTCTAGGATACTAGACACCCAACAGCTACAGACAATAAGATAACTCTGGTAGTGGAAGATACAAGGTTAGATTTTATATTGAAAAAAAATCCAAGAAAAATCGGGGTTTTATTTTCTTTCCTAATTTTATATTTAATTACATTTTTCAGATTTGTTGTTAATCCTTCATTGTTTATCGCTCAGCCGGATACCATGCTAGGTAAATATTCACCAATTTAGAAGGAAAGTTATTTTACATGTAGCCCCTTTTTTGTAAATCATGAAAAATAATATTAAAAAAATAGTAAAAGATTTCGCAGATCTTTTCAGTTACTTCGGAGGATTCCTTAAAAATCAAATTTTATTTTCGCTTGTTGACGTTGACGTTGACGTTGACGTTGACGTTGACGTTGACGTTGACGTTGATATTTGTTTAGGCCGAATGTTCTCTGGTTTGGACTATATTCAGCCAAACAATAGAGGTAAGAAGAAAAAATAATAATAATAATAAATAGATTATGTTTTTAATGTTAAGAACTCGGATGAATACTGAAAATTTCATCTAAAATTCCTTTTGTGTGAGAACCGTTTCGTTTACCAAAAACATGTTCTCAATTTGTGAAAGTCCGACTGTATACCACATTTTTTGGATTTCCCTGTTTTAGTTTTAAAGAAAAAACTTTTTACTATGGCCAGATCAAGGAAAATTGTATTTTCTGTTGAAACCTTTTTTAAGGCGAATATGAAATAGCGGAAGGTACGACTGCATCAACGTTTAGTGCTATACTGGATTATTATCAGGTCAGAGTTAAAACTTGAAATTAAATAAATAAGTTATACATAAGCATTAAATTACGGCCCAGCTCTCATGGTAATTTCCTAAATCCGTCATTATGTCCTAGCTGCAGAACTCTGACCAAAAATTATCTCAATTTTAATCAAACCCTAGATATTTATCATTTTCAGAGGTCACATAGTTCAATGTTAGGGGGGGGGCCAGCTTTTACAGGATGTTTTTTTCCTGAATTGTTAAACAAAAACTAAATCAATTTCAATATTTATTTATCTATCTATCTCTAGACGGGTCTGATAAATTGTCCTCCTCACTGTAGTATATCTATCTATCTCTAGACGGGTCTGATAAATTGTCCCCCTCACTGTAGTATATCTATCTATCTCTAGACGGGTCTGATAAATTGTCCTCCTCACTGTAGTATATCTATCTATCTCTAGACGGGTCTGATAAATTGTCCTCCTCACTGTAGTATAGCTGAACTGCGAGAAGCCTGCGACTATTTTCTTCTCCCTTTCAGGTAGTTTTTTAAAATGTATTGTTATTCCTTTTTAGGTTTAGTTATTTGTGACTAAAATTGTTATGTATTACTGATTGCAGTATCTATGATTTTTATATCAAATTATCCATCTATCCTCTATTTGTCTATCTTTTCTTTCTGTTTAGTGCAACTACAGTAAAATGTCAGAATCTACGAGGTCTACTCCATGAACTGAGTAATGAGGGTGCTAGGGAACAGTTTGATCAGTTCCTTGAGGATCTTATTCTACCAGAGATGGTAATAAATATATTGAAAAGGGACTGTGCATGATTGAGAAATAAATAGTATCAAGAATTAGGAAATTAAAAGCGTTCATAAACTAGATAAGGAAGTAATGAATTAGGAAATGAAGTGTTTATGAATTATTAAAGGGTGTGTTAAAGTATTTTTAAGGGGTGTGTTCATGAATTATTAAAGGGTATGTTCAAGATTTATTAAAGGGTATGTTCAAGAATTATTAAAGGGTATGTTCAAGAATTATTAAAGGTTATGTTCAAGAATTATTTAAGGGTATGCTCAAGAATTATTAAAAGGTATGTTCAAGAATTATTAAAGGGTGTGTTCATGAATTATTAAAGGGAGTGTTTATAAATTATTGAAGGATGTGTTCGAGAATTATTAAAGGGTGTGTTCAAGAATTATTAAAGGGTGTGTTCAAGAATTATTAAAGGGTGTGTTCAAGAATTATTTGTGTTCAAGAATTATTAAAGGGTGTGTTCAAGAATTATTAAAGGGTGTGTTCGATAATTATTAAAGGGTGTGATCAAGAATTAGGAAAGAAAGTGTTCAAGAATTAGGAAAGAAAGTGTTCAAGAATTACGCAAGTGTTATGAATAAGGAAAGAAAGCGTTCAAGAATTTTGAAAGTGCTATGAATAAGGAAAGGAAGTGTTCAAGAATTAGGAAAGTGGGTGATTATAAATAAAGAGACTAAATGTTTAAGAGCTATGAAAGGGAGTGTTCAAGAATTAAGAATTAAAGTGTTCAAGAACTAGGAGGGGAATGTTCATAAATTAGGAATTGATGCGTTAATAAGTATTGGAAAATGGGTGTTCCTAAAGAATAGGAAAGAAATATTCAAGAGATAAGAAAATATTGTTCTTAGGTTAAGAATGGGAGTGATCAGGATTTCAGAAATTGTGTAATAATGGTGGTCATGATTTAGAATAAGTAAAGCGTGTCTGAATTAGGAAAATTCTGGGTGGGGGGTATAGCATAGCAAATTAAATTTTGGCGGGGAAATATTAATATTAATTTTGGCAAAATAATTTTTTAGTTCGATTATTTTAGAAATTTCATATTTAATTTGTTCGTTTTACTTTAGATCGTTTTTAAACAAATCCCAACCCTACTCTCTAGCACTAGAAATATATCATTTTCTTCTCAATATATTTCGCCAAAAACTTTGGCATCATCAGGAGTTTGTCCTTACTCTTTTGAAGAGTATTGAATTGAGTATTGAATTTGTTCGTTAAGGTTGAGTGTGCAACCAGAGGGGATAGAGAGTGTCACATCGTCATTCTCTTAGGAACACAATCAATCAATCGATATATTTATATCAAATATTTATCATTTAAATTAAATGGATCTTTCAACAATTCAAAAAATCAAATAGATGTTTATATTATTTAAAATCAATAATTGAATTCTGTACACAAACCTTATCCCAGTCTTTGCTCTATACTTCTTTTTGTGACACAATAGTATATGATTTAAGATATACCCACCTACCCCCCCCCCCCCCCCCCCCCGGGATAAACGAATGAAAAATTGGACATCAAAAGCCAAGTTTTTTCATCCTTGTTTCAAAAAAATATTTTTTCCCCTAAAAATCATACTTTACTTCTTGAGAAAACAAATATTGGAAGAAAATATACATCCCTGACTGTACATAGAACAGAGGTTATTTACGAAACCATTATTAATTTATTTACCTGATTGTGGTGTACCCTGTGCAGAGGAGGATGCTATAGATTGGGATGAAGATTTTCCACCTCAGATGGGGGAGGAGTATAGTCAAACCATCAAAAGTACATCCATGTACAGGTATAGGGTCATAAAGTACATCCATGTACAGGTATAGGGTCATAGAGTACATCTATGTACCAGGTCGAGTACGTAAAAACCATGAAGAGTACATCTATGTATTGTTCAGGTATAGGAATTAGTAAGGACATCTATGTACATTTTGCAAGGCCGGGTACATTAAAACCATCAAGAGTACATCATGTACTGAGAGTTTATTAAATACATCTATTTATGTACAGGTGTAGTGTCAAAAGTACTTCTATGTACAAGGTCTAGTACGTAAAAACCATCAAAAGTACATTCATGTACAGATAGAGGTCAAAAAGTATTGGCAACCCATCAGAAGTATTAAACTGTACGGATAAAGTTCAAAGATAATATAAAAATCATCATGGAGTGCATAAATATTGGTATGTACACTGTACAATATATTGTAATTCAAAGAATACCATATTAAATTGAGTATATAAATTAAATTCACAAAAAAGTAAATCAATATAGCCATCCATAGTACAAAAATATTTATTTAGATGAAATATTACGATTATTTTAAGATGTTTATTGTATATACAACAGAAATTGTTCTAGGTTTTTCAAATATGTTGAGAACAGAGAACAGGCCAAATCTGTGCTAAGAGAACGTGGATTGAAAAAGGTAGTTTTTTTTCTTCTTTTTATCCATAACCATGAAAGGACTTCAAAGTATAGTTTATGTTTAAACAACTTCAAAATATACTTCAGACACTTGAAATGCGCCTAAAACTTCCTTTTGCCACATCAGCTGTTTGAAGTACTGGCCCGGCCGCGTCTGTTTCATTATAGTCATACTCATGATTACCTGCAACTAAAAACTTCTTTATTTCTTTGCCAAATCAATTAAAAAGCCATTTTAAGACCACATTCAAAGCATACAAGTTGGGGTTGTCTTATTCAGAGTTTCAAGTCGTCTTGACAGTCTCCTCATTTGTATTTAATTAATTTAACGTAATTGCTTCCGACATTTATCATTAAAAATAATTTCTAGGTTAAACTTGGAATAGAAGGTTACCCAACACACAAGGAGAAGGTTAAGAAACGGCCAGGAGGACGGGCTGAGGTATTCATTTATATTTATCTAATTGTTTGTTAGTTTGCTTAGATTTTTGTTTGTTTTGTTATTTATTTATTTAGGCAATAATCAATAATTATTTCTGTATATCGCTTGTCTTGGTGTTTGGTTGTTTAGATATGTAATTAAGCATTAATCATTTCTTTATTCATTTGTTCGTTTTTTTTTCTTCATGTATTTATTTATTCATCTGTTTATTTTCTTATGTTATCTGTTATGTTTACTTGTCCATTGATATTGATTTAATGAATGATTGATTTATTGATTGGTTGATGATTGATTGATTGATTTAATACTGATTATTATATTTATTATAGTGTGTGAAAAGTAAGTCTGTGACCAATCTTGCCGAAGCTGCCGCTGATCCACCAATAAACGGTGAATATAATGATAATAATGATATAATAATAATGGTTTAGAATTTTTACCACCTTCCTTATTACACTTTTTACTGGATCCGAATCCGTAAGAATATGGGGGTCCACAACTCCGAATCCAAATGGCAAAATTTCAAAAAATTCTTTTTCCATTCATCAATTATTATTATTAAAGAAAATTGCTGGGGTTGTTCCTGGCCCCAGGCAATCCCACCCTTCAGCATCACCCCTATCGATACTTATTTTTATCACGCCTGGGGCAGGCGGATTAGTAATGGCAAATCGAGTTTCTGCAAAAACAAATAGTGAACACCAAAAGGAAATCAGCAAAAATTCAGATCCGGATCCGCATCAAAATAAAATTACTGGTTGTTGATATGTTGCTAAATCTATAAAAGTCTTTTTATTTTTAAATTCTAAAATATTGTCTTATATATAACTTAGTATTAAATTATTAAATTATTGTATCTATTTAGGTGTAGTACAAGCTTTTGATCAGATACAAGGTCTGGGAGGTGTTCAAGTATTCGAACCTGTGCAGGGTGGACCTCCATTCGAGCCCATTCAGATGCTATCTGGAGGTCATGCTTTCGAGCCCATTCAAGGATTTGTTGGGGGCCAAGCATTCGAGCCAGTTCAAGGGATCGGGGAGGGACAGGCCTTGGTCCAGGGTCCATCAAATGACCAGATTTTGGAACCGTTGGTCCAGGGTCCATCACAAGACCAGCTTCTAGAAGCACAAGGTAAAATGCTTAAGTACGGTGACATTTGCAAAAAAAAAACCATTTCCTCGATGAGAATAACTGAACTTAAATCCAAATAAATTCAATATTCATATAACTGTTGTGAATGATAAACTAATGATTGCGAAGAAGGATAAGTATTTCTACTCCTGTTCTTATCTCAGACTGAGCTGAAAACTTTGGAAATGTGGATATCGAGATCCCTGCTTGATCTCTTTGTATCCAGGAAAGTGAAGAAATTCAACAACTTAAGAGTGGGGTTTGGAGAAACCTAAACAGCCAATTAGATTCCGGGAAATTTTGAAATTTTGTGCGTGCTATCAATGTGAGAACTTTCATTAATCCAGCAGGGATTCCAAAAGAGATGATTAAAAAGAAATCAAAAGTGTCTTATAGTGGATACAGAAATTTAGCAATCGGGACTAAGGGTATCCAATTCTAAAATTTTCAGCTCAGTTTGCATATTTAGATCTTCTTCTTGGTAGATTTGTTCGACAAAATCCGATTCAATGCCAAGTTTTAATCAATTAATTTAATTAAATAATAACTTTAGATCTCCAAACTCACATGCTTTAAATCTTTCAGGATCTGACCCTGCCCTACAGCCTGGTGCAGGAGGTGGAGCTGGAGATGGAGATGGAGCTGGTGATGGAGCCGGAGGTGGAGCAGGGGGAGAAAATAAATAATTTGTTGCATCACACCTCCCCCCAATCCACGGTCCCTTCTCAACCTCAACCTATTGTACCAGTATTGATCTATTTAGTTTATCTTTAACTTAATTATTAGTGTATGTACATTGTACATTCACACTTCACAGTACTCTATGTTGTACACTGTACATTGTGTATTGTGTATAATGTACATATAACAGTGTGTATGTTTTTAACTTTGTATACTGCACTGTACATTGTTTATGTACTGTATACTGTACACTTTACAGTGTGTATATGTGCCGAATGTTGTACATTGCACGATGTACAGTGAGTGATTCACCGACATAGGGTCAAACGACCTAGGGTCAAATGCCATAGGGTCAAACGACATAGGGTAAAACGATATAGGGTCAAACGACATTGGGTAAAACGACATTGGGTAAAACGACTTAGGGTCAAACGACAAACGGTCAAAAACGCGACATAGGGTCAAAAAGTGCGACAAGCGGGCAAAATTTCATTTAGACTATTTTTGCCATCGGCCCCCTAACCTGTCCTAGCCACAGTGCTCGGCCCAGAAATTGTCTTAACCTAACCAAACCTAACCCTGAAAATAAAACATAAAATATTTTTTCCCATTTTAACCATTGTATCTTTTGACCATTTGTCGTTTGACCCTAGGTTGTTTGACCCTAGGTCGTTTGACCCTAGGTCGTTTGAGCCTTGGTCGTTTGACCCTATGTCGATGAACCCAGTGATAGTATTGTAAAATTCATGTAAGAAGCAGCTTTTTCAGATCTGTTTTTGATTAGGGACCTGCTCTTAATTGTTAACAGTCGATGGCTGCGATAAAGCCAATATCGCCTTGTATTTATAATATTATTACAAAGTTTAGTGACTAGGCAAATTTAGATAATTCCCTTGGCTTGATATTTTATCCGGTTGTTTAGCGTTCAACATTTTGCTTTCAGTTGGCTTTACAAAGCATTGATAAGATAGCATGACAAAATTCCTTACAAAAAAATACTTAAAGAACATTTATTTTGAAATATGCCAAATTTTATAAGTCTTACAGGGGGGGGGGAGGTTTAATCCAAAATTTACTTAACTAAATTTACACCCGTTTCTGCCAGATCATAGAATCTAGAGGTATGATGAGAAAGTTTATTTTGAAAGGGGATATTTTTCAGGAAAATTCATACTTACATTATTCGATTTAAATACATTAGAATTCTATTCTAGGTGGAACTGTAGAATGTAGAATTAGATAGTAAAAAAAATACGTCAAAAGAAGCCAAAAACAGATGATCCCTAAAAATTTGGGGAAAAATTTGTTTGTCAATATGTTGCAGAACTGGTGCATACACTTTTGTAATATGTGAAACTTTACATATTTGCTTACTGCAGTTTCTCTATAATTTTGGTGTCCAAACTAGTGTCTTCTTAATTAATCCACTTATATCCTGCATCACCATCTCGACTTTTTCTTTGACACAGAATAAGATATTTTTAAGAATTTTAATCATATAATTAAAAAATTTTAAATCTAATATTTCAGCAAATCTGTGTAATTTTTATAAATTCTCCAATCAACAGTCTTCGTGTTAAAATTAAATATTTATGTATTTAAGTGTCTTAAAACAAATGTTAAAATTATTTAGGAAAAAATTATGATTGTGATTTAATGATTATAAAGATTTGCTAACAATGTTTTACAGATGGATAATAATGTCGAGACTGCGGATAATGGAAACCATGGTAAAACAGTTTATACATACTTCATAAATTCAGACGTAGTCCTAAATTCAGATGTAGTCCTAATCTTAAAGAGACTGTAGTCCTAATCTAAAGATTTTGGCATTTCCGATTTACATCTATACCATTAAAAGCTTTAACTGAATAATAATGAATGAAATATTTGTATTAATGATATACAAATTTCATTACTTACAAATGGGGTATTTTGATAATATGTTCTCGCGTATTCCTGCCACAAAAACAATGATCCGATTATTGGAAAAGTAAGAGTCTCTTTAAAGAGTTAAATTCCCTATTCAGAAAAATACGCTGCGAATCATTTTCTGGGCAGAAAAAATTACTCTTCAAAAATTATTGAAAAGTGATTGAGTGTGATAATGATAAATTTTTATTGCTTTTTTATTAATGAGAAAAAGTATCATAATTGTTTTGTCTAATTGTTTTGAAAAATTACGATAACTTTTTATTCTTAAACTTCTGTTTTAAATGAGAAAGAAATACTTCTGTATCTTTTTGATTGCTAACTTATTTAAAATCCTTTAAAATTAAGAACTTGTAAAAATTTTAAGGAATTTAAAAAAATCTAAGTTTTTAGCATTGTTTTTGATTTTGACCGGCTATAAATATTTCCCGGGGGTAATGTGAGTTACAACATAAATCAAATTCACGGGGGTAATGTGAGTTATAACATATATCAACTACGTGTTTTGATGCAGGACAGACTAACCAAATATAAATTATTAACTGTATTCAGAAAGTGCATATTCTGAAGAGGAAGAAAAATCCCGTCTCATAACTCAGGTAATGGCAAGAGATAAATTTGTGTTTGGTTTTTAGAATCCGCTAATCACATGAAAATGAGATAAATTGAGCTTTGATGAAGACTAGAAGACCAGCTATACCTTTAATTACTGATAAGGATCTGGTTCCTAATCGGATCTAGATTCTAAGCACTGGTTTCATGTTCCTTGAACTTTTCAAATTCATAACTTTTATCTATTATTGTTTTTACGAGGCTTCATCCATCTGAATCACGCTAAAATTTCACTCTGACCAAAACGATTTTTAAAACAATTTAAACACACATTTTGAAGTTTTGAAAACTCGCTTTCGTTTAGTCACCTTAGTAATCTTTAGCATAATGTATATAGTGAAAGCAAACTTATCAAGTATACAATTTTAAAATGTAATAAACCTCTCAAAATCTTGTAGAGCCTCTATTAAGTAAAAGCCCTTTAATGTTATAAAAATTAACCAAAAGGATCATATATATTTTTAAAGAATTGCCTCATAAAAAAAAGTTTCTAGCTCAATGGGAAAAAAATCACTTAAAAAGAAAATTTAATTTCCGGGGCAATTTAATTGAAAATTATCTAAAGCTTGGAAACCGGAGATGTGAATTTTTTATTCACAGAATTCAACAATGTCAATCTTTTTTTTTAGTTAGAACCATTTATAAATTCACAGCTCTGGTTTCATCAACTTGATTGAAAATTTTTGAAGTTTCTGGATTCAATGATAAACCCTTGGGCTGCGCCCTCGGGTTTATTATTGAATCCCTCGGGGGTTTAAATTTCCATTGATTTTAATTTGTCTGAGAGTAAATGACACTCCTTTGTAAAAAAATAACAAATTTTTTTATTATTAATTTTTATTTTTAAAAGGGGCGGGATTAAATGAAAATTGTTGCATACCAAAAAACCAGCTTTTTATAAAGGAATGATTATTTCTCCTGAAACCTGACAATTTGCATTTTATACTATCAACTCAGAACATCTGGAGGAACTAAGTACACAATTATATTGTATACACTGTGTATTGTATAGCTACTAAACTTCAAAGTACACTAGATATTACATACACTGTGTACTGTATAGGTACTAAACTTCTAAGTACACTAGACATTACATACACTGTGTACCGTATAGGTACTAAACTTCTAAGTACACTAAATATTACATACACTGTGTACTGTATAGGTACTAAACTTCAAAGTTCACTAGATATTACATACACTGTGTACTACAGAGTACCTTAGAGGAACTAAGTACACAACTATACTGTAAACACTGTGTACTGTAAAGGTACTAGAACTACAAAGTACACTGGAGGAACTAAGTACACGACTATTATACTGTATACACTGTGTACTGTATAGAGGAACTAAGTACACGACTATTATACTGTATACACTGTGTACTGTATAGGTACTAGAACTACAAAGTACACTGGAGGAATTGAGCACACGAGTTGACCGGGTGAAAGAGGAAAACTACAGACTGAGATCTGAAAACCAGGTTTTTTTTCTATTTTAAACCCCAATTTTTCCGTACAAAAGTGCCCACAAAAACGGCGGAATGGGAAGACGACATTTTTACAATCTTATGTTTGTTTGATTTTAAAAGGTAAAAAGTTTTACCGATGCTGTGTTTCATGCAGTGCTTAGGATCCATTTAAGTTTGATGCGGATCCGGATCTAGGTCATCTCTTTAAAATTACTGAATTTTGTTTGTTAAAATTTGATGAACCTATTCAGAAATCAGGAAATTTTTATAATCTCTCTTTTTTCAATATTTAAGATTTGGGTGTAGAGAGTAAAAAAGTTTTGTTTGCAGTTTTTGGCTGATATTATGTCCCTTGGATCCGGATCCGTGGATGTGCATATTTTTGCGGATCCGGATCCAGGAAGCCAAAATCGGGCGGATCCAACGGATCTGGATTCTAAGCACTGGTTTCATGTTCCTTGAACTTTTCAAAATCATAACTTTTATCTATTATTGTTTGACAGTTTAATGGGCTTCTTGGTTCCTTGGTTATTGGACACTAGCAAAAATACTCAAGTAAAGACCTAGATTCAGGCACTAAGCTTGAGATATAGCTTAGTTGTAATAGTTGTAATTGATACTGCTAGGTGTTTCAAATTTCGTGTTTTACTTTCCGACATTGTAAAGAGAATATGAAATTTATTAATGAGATAATTTTTTTGTCTTAAATATGTATTTTCTTATTCGCTTTATTTTTAAAGAAAATATTAAACCTGGGCCATTGTATTTTGGCAATTAAGTATACGATGTTTTCCAAGATAGGTTTGCGGCAGTCAACATTGATGAGCTACAACCAAAGTTTTCATTCATATCAATTTTGATTTGTGTCGATAGTTTTTTTTTTAAATATAAAAACATATATAGCTTACATATATATAGCTCACCCTTTTTTAAGCTTTCGGTGTGTTCAGCAGTAAATTGCAGTACACTGACCAAAGATATAGTAGCGTTTAGTGAAGAGTGAGCTTATTTTACTATATTTTCAAAATAAAGTTATCCCTGCAGGGTAAGCCCACCACGGCACAGTGTGGTTAAAGTGGACATCGGGGTCACCGCATCGACCAAAAAGGGGTCTTTGTTTGAATTTACACGGAAATTACAAATTATTTGGGAAAAAATTATTAAAATAAAAAATCAAAAAAATTTATACATTTTCTAAAAAAATCTTTTTTTAATATGTTTTAAGTTTCAAGACCTATGATAAACTTCTGTGGAAACCCAAAGTATAAGAAATCTTGAAGTGTAGACTGTAGATTCACTATTAATATTTTGAACCATTTTTTTAGTTATTGTAATTTTTATTCGATTTATTATGTATGGTACCGGTACAAACGTCGGACGGTACAAACATAATACTTACAAACGTCGGACAGTAAAACGTCGGACAAGTACAAACGTCGGACCAGTAAAAACATCGGACGGGTACATTTATAAGGAAAAACGTCGGACTATGGAGGAAAAAATATATTTGCATTTTCAGATTAAAATTCTTGTAAATTCGCAATTTTCTCTCAAAAAAATCCCAATTTTTTTTGTTAAAAATTCCTAATCTCACAAAGTCTGGATACATGGACTAGGCGACTGCTAACTATGTTGAGGTTAAGCAGGGGGGACGGCACCTACTTGATTCAAATCAGTTTGAATATAGGGTTACAAAGAATAAACCCAACAAAACCTATTACCAATACATTCAAAGGTAAAACCAGGATTAAACTGTAATCAAAAATCATAATTAACTTATTTTTTAAACATTTTTATCCTCGAGTATTCATTTTTTATTAGAATACGCTTAAGTTTAAACCCCCCTTGGGTACCCCACACAGTGTACGGGTTTTCGAAGATGAATTAAAATAGTTGCTCTACACGATATAATGATCTATTTGTCTATTTTTCTATTTTATTTGTTGTTTTCTTTTCAGGTGCTGGGCCAATATATTGAGAACTTGATGGTAGCCTCACAAGTATTCCAGTCTACCAAATCATAATCAACCTTCATATATTCCAGTCTACCAAATCATAATCAACCTCCATATATTCCAGTCTACCAAATCATAATCAACCTCCATATATTCCAGTCTACCAAATCATAATCAACCTCTATATATTCCAGTCTACCAAATCATAACCAACCTCTATATATTCCAGTCTACCAAATAATAATCAACCTTCATATATTGCAGTCTACCAAATCATAATCAACCTCCATATATTCCAGTCCACCAAATCATAATCAACCTCTATATATATTTCAGTCTACCAAATAATAATCAACCTCTATATATTCCAGTCTTAAATCATAATCAACCATATATTCCAGTCTACCAAATCCTGTGCAACATATATTTCTGTCTACCAAATCATAATCAACCATATATTCCAGTCTACCAAATCCTATTCAACATATATTCCAGTCTACCAAATCCTATTCAACATATATCTCAGTCTACCAAATCATAGTTTCTTAAACACCAGGATCATTAAAAACATCTGTTCAAATGTAACTTTTCCCCATTTTCTTATTTATGTATATTACAAACCATCCGTCCATGTATATGTAAAAATAAAGAATTATAAAATGTACATTTTACTGTTGAAAAAACATTAGGGGTTTCAAATTTTCGGAAAATTGCTTTTGTAAAATATCAATTTCTCTAACATAAAACGCCATTGTCAGAAAATTTGTTACTAACTAATTTAATTTTTGTAAATAATCGTAAAACTTATTGGCTTTCAAATATGATAATTATATACGTATTTTTTTACCAAATGAAGAAGATGTGATTTTTTATATAAAAATGTATTTTAAAAGATAGTTTTATTTTGTTAACTTATTTGATAAATAAATTTATGTTCTTTTATTCTATTTACAAATCTGATTAAAATCAACAAAGATGGCCTAAATCTTCAAATTCTTTAAATTCTGCCTCTGATCAAGAGATCAAGAGTATTAAATTCCAACAGGCCACTGTTAGTTAAGTTTTTACAGGCTTTGTTTTAATTGAGAAGAAAGAGAAGTATCATTGAATCAGTGTATCTTGTTCAACTAATTATAGATCATTCATTATTTCTCAACTCCAACAGCTACTGCACTTACAGGTTTAGCTGTGCGTTCAAAGTTGAAAAAGATTACTTAGCAGTCACGACTGATAATAATGACGTGAAAAAAAAGTTGTCGGGCTTAGGTTGACGGTTTGTCCCGCTAATCACATGAAAATGAGATAAATTGAGCTTTGATGAAGACTAGAAGACCAGCTATACCTTTAATTACTGATAAGGATCTGGTTCCTAATCCTAAATAAATACTAATTTAATTATTTTTCTGGATCTACAAAATTCAATCCCCGTCTCTCTGTTTTGGAACTTTACGGGGCATATGCGCATAACAGAATATGGCAAATCCCTCAAATTAAAGGAAATTGCACAGAAGATTAAAATCTCCTCTGATCTCAATCATAACTCCTGAAACTGAAGAGCTATTGAGAAGAACCCGTTTTGAATTTCTAAAATGCAAATTAACTTCTTTAACTCTTATACATGTGGAGTAAAATGAGAACTAAAGATGCGAGTTCAAAAAACGGTATACCGGCGATCTATTTCTGTTCTGACTTGTTTGAAGTGTTCTTTCAATAAGATCGATTTTCTTGTGATAGTCGAGCAGAAAAGTTTAAAGGATTTTGGGATTCCCAATTTAATCTTCTGAAAATTCATCGGTCAAATGCCTTTTAAAAGTTTAATTTCACAACAAAATAATTAAATAGAAATTTCCCAAAATCTAGTTGAGATTTGTACATAGTCTGCTTTCTGAATCTGAAAAAAACCAGTAGCTCTTTGCGCTCATTTTTAGCCATAGCTGGCAAAACGACCGGGCCGATTTGGCTGAAAATTTATTGAGGGATTCCATGGGTATCCTGGATGTGACATTTTTTTCTCCAAATTTTTTTTTTAAGGGATTCTATTGGTACCCTTGGGTGACATTTCTTCAAAATTTGAATTTTTTGAAAATTCCACGGGCAACGATGGGCACTTAAGCTAGTCTATAAAATAAAGCTCTTCGTTCATTTATATTCTTTATATATATATATATATATACTAGCTGAAGGACCCGGCGTTGCCCGTGAAAAAAAAATAAAAAAATATTTTTCAAAAAAATAAAAAAAATAAAATTTTAAAAATAAAAATTGATTTTATAGCCTATAACACGAGTGTCCACAAAAAATTTCAGCTTAATCGGTCCAGCCATTTGGCCGTCTTTAGGCAACATATATATGTCTTGAATGACATTTTTTCGGAAACCCTCGAGTCTAAAAAGACTAGATTTTTCTACATCAAAAATAGATTATTTTTCTTCAAAATTAAATTAAAAAAATTTTCACGGGCAACGCTAGGTACTTTAACTAGTTATAGTTAATAAATTTCTACTCCTACATTAATTTATAACTACCAGCTTGATGTTACTTATGTTTTAGCGTTTTAAAGAACGTTTCGGAGGCACTTTGTCCACAAGAATTAAGAAAATGCATCCAAGCCTGAAACGATGATTAGATATTTTATAGCTATTGTTTTTATATAATTTTTTACCTGTTCGATTGCAATTTTATATTTTCGGACATCATCTTAAATCATCACAAAATGTTGTTGCACAATGCCAATTGATAAGGTTAAAACTGTGTCAAAAGTAAAATTTAGGAATAATCATTTTCAAATAATTTTTCCTCATTTTCCTTGTGTACAGGATAACACCAATGCCTTAACAAAATACTGAGTGTCCCAACAAACATAATAATTGAAAGAATTTTATATAGTTTCTAATAAACGCTTGTAGGATTTGATCATAAAATACCAAAATCGTCTTTCAGTTGTCATGTCAATTTTTGCGAGTGAAAATTAAATTGGTCTGTGTACGCTGCACAATAGCAGTGTTTCGTATTCATTGCTCTATCTTAACTTAAACCTTACTGTCGTCTTCCTTTACACGGTTCTATGGGTCCCACTGTAACATAAGCTTCCAAGCCAGTTGTACGAGATATATATTTGTTTTAATTACTTTACATCAGAACTTACAATCATTGTACAGTACAGTGTACGGTGAGGAGTACAGTGTACGGCGTGGAGTACAGTAAAGTGTAGGGCGCGCATTACAAAATATTCAAACATAACAAGACATTTATACAATGTACATAAGACATGAGTTGTTTTATCAATGTACATACATGAAATCACAACAGATTTTAAATATTACAATTACAATTTTTATATTTTATAATTTCAACAATACTCAGATATTTTGTTAAATAAGTTTAGTCTATTTCATAAAATATGACAACAGATAAAATATACTCTGTTAGAAGATAAGAACATGTTGTGCAAAATATCCAAGTACCAAAGGCATTTCAAAACAAAGAATATTTTGTTCTAAATTAAAAATTTGTAAGATAGCTCTATCCTAATATTCAAAATTCGAACAAAATTTTCGAAATATCGAAAAACTTTTGTCGTATGATATTTTAAACAAAAAGTTAATATTTCGTCTAACAGTGTAAACTTCTAAGCTAAATGCGAATAAAACTATTATGATAAAACTTATTGTGTTTAGCTAAATATTTAATAATACTATTTCTCACTATTCATTTGTTTAAGTACAATAAAAATCATAAAATACTTTAAATAATAAAAATAACTGTGACGAGACAAGAAGCAAAATAACAATGAAGATTTTTTTTCGATCAATAAATGATTTAAATAGATTTATCTTTTTTTTAATGTTTCTTTATAAAACATAGTTAAATAAAATAAACATTTTGTTTTGGTTGGTATATATTGGAATATATTGGCGGCCAAAAAGTAGCAACCACGAGACAGAATTCTACGTATTTAATAATGAATTAATTATTTAATTAATTAATTCATTAGTTAATTAGCTAATTAATTTATTAGTTTATTTATTCATTTATATGTTTATTTTTTGATTAGTTATTTATTTCTGGATCTGATGATTTATTTATCTTTGGACGGAAATTAAATTTATTATTTTAATTCCATAATGCAAAAAAATTCGCAAAAAGAAAACCAAAAATTAAAAATTTTCCTTATCATTATTTTTCATAGATTTGTTCATGAAAATAAAAAATAAAAATTCAAAGATAAAACCCAAAAGAAAAAGTTTAGGATCCACAATATAAAGTTTTCTTACCTTAAAAATATATTTAATAAGCTAAAATAATTTTATGGTAAAAAATGTGCGAATATCTAGCACTGATATTAATATATAGTTGATATATATATATAAATATATATTATAACTGGTGAAGACTATTGACTACAAATGAGTTGAGATGAACATCGTTTTTTAACTTTCAAGGATTTTGACTGTTTTAAAAGGCTCTAGGAATATAAAAAGTTCTTAATTAACTTAAAAGCTCTATGAGTTTGCTTTTATTACATGGCACAGCATCTATATTTTAAAACTATTTTTAATTGTTTGGCATAGTTTAACAAACTGACATAGCTTTTTCAAATACGATAAAATTTTCTTTTGTGAGTATAAAAAGCGATGTCCATCTTTACAAATGAAAAGAATCGGTAACCGATATTCAAAGGCGGGTAGAAGTGTGACCGATGTTAAAGGCGGGTAGAAGTGTGACCGATGTTTAAAGGAGGGTGGAAGTTTGACTGATGTTTAAAGGCGGGTGGAAGTGTGACTGATGTTTAAAGGCGGGTAGAAGAGTGACTGATGTTTAAAGGCGGGTGGAAGTGTGACTGATATTTAAAGGCAGGTGGAAGTGTGACTGATGTTCAAAGGCGGGTAGAAGTCGGATTTACAGATTGAATTCTCTGGTTTTCTTGAAGGATTTTCGCCATATTGGTCTAAACAAAAATTATATTTAATTAAGTGTAAGATTGAATACTTCAAGGAAAGAATGAGTATTATGAATTTCAAGTGTCCTTTATCTATTGATTGGTATGTCCTATTAACAACGGTGCCCTTTTAACGATTCTAATTATTGATAATGTATGACTAAGATATTCTAGTTTTCAATTGATAATGAATTGTGAACTATTGTGGTTTCTTTGTTAAAGTTAAATATATTTATGCAGCAGAATATTTACAGAAATAAACACTTTATTCATTGTTACACAGATAAAGGTTTAAAAGCTACCATTGTGAATTTTTTTAAAATTATACATTCCGTAAAATGTACGGCCGCAGAATTTCTTCTAGAATTTTACATAGAACAGAGTCCAAATTTAATGAATTTGAGCCACGTCTCAAATCCGCCAAAAAACCGGTTTTAATTGAGCGTCGGCTTAAATCTAGAAACATTGGATACAATTTTAAGTGGAACCAACCATATTTTAACTGCGTCTAAAATTCTTTAAATTCGGCCTCAGGCAACTCTGTAAATGAAGGGTCACTTTAAACATTGTCTACAATCCCTTTAAAGGAAACAAGGATAAGATTTAGCTATGACATTTTAAAATTTTTGAAGCGAAGTTCATCAGATTTGTAAAAAAAAAATTTCCGCTGATACCAGATTTGCTGATCTTTCACAGATCAATCTCAATAATTTCCCGAGTTTGAACTCAGAGAAGGAAAAAATTAACTTGCACCTACTCGATATAAATTTGTTTTATCCATTCAAAATTTGTTTGATTTTTCAAAAAATTTACCCTAGGTCCGCAGTAGGAGAGCAGAACCGGAAGAAGAATAAGACCATGAGCTGCACCAATCAAAACTATACCCAGATACATCCTGCAGTACAATAACAGGTTATACAGTACATTCTGCAGTAAAATTACAGGGTTTGCAGTACATATATCCTACAGTACAATAGCAAGGTTATGCAGTACATACATACTGCAGTACAATAACAGGTTATTTCAGTATATTCTGCAGTGCACTTGCAGGTTATACAGTACATTCTGCAGTCCAATAATAGGTTATAAAGTACAATAACAGGATATAAAGTACATCTTGCAGATTTTACAGTACATTCTGCAATGCAATAAAAGGTTATACAGTACATTCTGCAGTACAAAAACAGGTTAAACAGTACATACATACAAACAGTACAATAATAGGTTATACAGTACATCCTGCTGTACAATAACAGATTATGCAGTATGATAACAATATTTTACAGTACATATAGACACTGGTTTACAAGTAAACAAGTAAATCAATGAATATATGAATAAATGAATGAAAGAAACATAGAATAAATAAATTAATTAAAATTACATAAAAGTAAGGATGAATTAAAGGATGAATGAATGGTTTAATGAATGGATAAGTAAATAACTAGTTGAATGTAAGGATGCACGAATGAATGAATGACTTTTTGAAAGGAGAAATAAAGATAGATTGGAAGATTATAAAAGAAAGAATGAAAGAACGAAAAAATAATGAATCCACGTGAAACAGATGAAAGGAAAATATATAAATGAAAGAATTAAAGGACAAGGGATAAATAAAAGAATTATTAAGTTAGAATCTGAACCTGAAGTAAAAGATTGAGAATATCTGGGATTTAGCAAAGGCTAAAACAACAATTCCTCCAAACTTGGTGAGAGTTATTCCAGATAGTACTGAGCTACCCATGCTGGTCAACACATTTCTAGCTCGTTCAACCCTGGAGAGATATAGATATATAGAGGAATATATTGATAGACAAATAATTAGATGGATAGATAAATAGAGGAATAGATTGATAGATAGATAATTAGATGGAAAGATATATAGAGGAATAGATTGATAGATAGATAATTAGATGGATAGATAAATAGATGTATGGAAGAGTTAATAGTAGAGAAATAGATAAAAAGATAGGTTACACAAATAGATGGATAAGAAGATATAAATATAAATCGATAGATAGAAAAAAAGATAGATGAATAGAAAGATGGAAAGACAAACAGAAAGTTGAAAAACAGATAATTTAATAGAAAATTAGATAGCTACTAGCAAAGCAAGAATAAATGGATAAACAGAAAGAAAGATGAATAAATAGATAGATAGATAGATAGATAGCTAGATGTATGAATAGAAAGATAGATAGATAGAAGTATAAGAATATGACTAACCTATCTTCTCCGATATTAACGGAGAATGCTCTGGTCATATGAGAGCAGAACTCTACACTGATACCTACAGCCATAACCTAAACATGTACATCATTTATTTCATGTACATAAACATGTACATCATTTATTTCATGTACATAACAGAGATATTCTTTGTACATACTCTAGACATGTACATCTGATTTATTTCATGTACATAACAGAGATATTCTTTGTACATAACCTAAACATGTACATCATTTATTTCATGTACAAAACAGAGATATTCTTTGTACATAAACTAAACATGTACATCATTTATTTCATGTACATAACCTAAACATGTACATCATTTATTTCATGTACAAAACAGAGATATTTTTTGTACATAACCTAAACATGTACATCATTTATTTCATGTAAAAAACAGAGATATTCTTTGTACATAACCTAAACATTTACATCATTTATTTCATGTGCAAAACAGAGATATTCTTTGTACATAACCTAAACATGTACATCATTTATTTCATGTACATAACAGAGATATTCTTTGTACATAACCTAAACATTTACATCATTTATTTCATGTGCAAAACAGAGATATTCGTTGTTCATAACCTAAACATATACACCATTTATTTCATGTATATAACAGATATTCTTTGTACATAACCTAAACATGAACATCATTTATTTCATGTACAAAACAGAGATATTCTTTGTACACAACCTAAACGTGTACACCATTTATTTCATGAACAAAACTGAGATATTCTTTGTACATAACCTAAACGTGTACATCATTTATTTCATGTACAAAACAGAAATATCCTTTGTACATAACCTAAAAATGTACATCATTTATTTCATGAAAAAAAACAGAGATATTCTTTGTACATAACCTAAACATGTACATCGTTTATTTCATGTACTAAACAGAGATATTCTTTGTACATAACCTAAAAATGTACATCATTTATTTCATGAAAAAAACAGAGATATTCTTTGTACATAACCTAAACATGTAAATCGTTTATTTCATGTACAAAACAGAGATATTCATTGTACATACTCTAGACATGTACATCATTTATTTCATGTAAAAAACAGAGATATTCTTTGTACATAGTCTAGACATTTACATCATTTATTTCCCTCAACAATGTAAAAACTAAATTTTTAATTTTGTTGTTAGAATTTTTTTAAATTTAGTTTTTCCATATTTTTTAAGATAAAAAAATTCAATTTTCCAGATTGGGTTCATTAAAAAGTGTAAATGTAGTTTCAGAATTATAGTTTGAAAAGGGCACCAATATCATTTTATACATAAACCATAATAAACAATGTTTATTATGTCAAATTTGAAAAACATTAAAATTTCTATTTTTTTAATCAAAGATATGTAGATTCTTACCAGGTTAACAAGAGAAACTGCATTTAGTGTGATGTGCCACCAATACATAAGTCCACCTAAACATACGTTATTTTCATACTGAACGTGTAGGGTTAACTAGACTAAACCAAACCAAACCAAACCAAACCAAATGAAATCAAATAACAAGTTCGTCGGATCGTCATTTCGAGTGCTTTCTATGTCCTGGTTTTTCAGTCCGGACTTGCATTAAGACAAAAAAATCGTTTTATTTAAGACACCCTTCTATAAAAAAAAAGAATGTATAAAACGTGATATAAAAACTTTTGTTCAAAGACAAAATAAAAAGCTTGAAAAATTATCTGTAAGGACGTTATTTTATGTAAATATAAAAGAATTTAGATACTTCTCTCAACCATTTATCTGAACACTGAGTTATGTCCAGCATAACATTTGTGTGCTATCCCAAACATTTTGCTATTAAATTTTAACCAAATAATTTCAGGCATTTGATTGTATGAAGAAAATGTTGGCGTTTTAACATCAACAGCAAACATAACAAAGTTATGACAATGTTTTAAAATCAGATTTAATAAAGTTGAATTCCTATTTGCAGAGTTGAAATAAAGCTGATTACATGATAGGAAAATAAGCGGTTGAAATAAAGCTGATTACATGATAGGAAAATAAGCGGTTGAAATAAAGCTGATTACATGATAGGAAAATAAGCGGTTGAAATGTTGTTGTAGGGCTGCGCCTACTTTCTCTTCTAGATAAGAACCATCTAGCGGCCAGACATAGAAGTAGTATTTTTTAACAATAATAACGCTGTTCTCATATATACTACAGGCTACCATCATATGCTACTCACCCAGGTTGAGGACGATGAGGGAGATGATAAAGATGATGATGAGAGAGGAGACAAGATCGAACCCCATCAAGATGAACGTCACAATGAATATTGATCCTAAAATAATTTAATCAATAATCAATGTAATAAGTTTTTAAAAATCTTTTTTTGGATACATAATTGTCCTTAAAATTTTTGGTTATTATCCCACACAATTACAATAATTTTACCCTAATGTTAAAAAGAATTTCTTTTTACAGCACTACATACTGAATAAAAAAAAAATTTTATGATTAGGTCATTAGAAAACCATTGAAATAACATAATCCAACCAAACATAACGTTAGTGAAACGTTAAAAACTTTTTTTTCATTCTGGGTAGGTATTTTTTATACTGACCTAATGATATTCCAAGAGAAGTGAGTGTATCACTCCACATTGTCAGATACTGCTCGTAGAACACGTAGAAAACTAAACACAATAAAAATATAATCTGATGATTTAAGATGTACATGATTTAGACATCACGCCCGTCAGCACCATCCTAGCTTAAATATCAACACACCAAAGATACGCTTAGTGTAACAATCAAAAATAAATATAAAGAATAAAAATAGATAAATGAATTAAAAATGAACTGGTTAGTTTTTAATCGTGAAAATTTTTTAATTTTTAAAAAGACGAAAATCACTAATTGTAGGAATGAAGATAAAATTGATAAATTTGATTTAAGAAATTAGTGCTTTAAAAAATGATAGACGTATCACTTAAGTTACACTCCACCCAAAGGGGGGCATGTCATCAATTAACAACAGTATTCTTTACCCCTTTAACTAAGCAAAAATTATGAAGATATCCAGTTTTTTTCCCCTAAAAAGTTATTGTTTTAGTTTGCGGATTTTCTCGAAAAAAAAAACAAAGAAGTAAATTGCCAGAACTGAATAATTTTTCAGATAGAAAAACAACCATATCTTCCTCATTGTGGCCCAGAAAAAGGTATCAGGGTACCATTTAGAATCGGACATGCACCAGCTACCTCTTTAAATGAAATTATGTCGGAATCTGGATCCTTTAATTTACACTCAGAAGATCCGGATCTGAATCCAAAAACCGGAAATGAATGACTACCTGAGTATGGAAAGATTTGAACATGAGAATCAGGATCTGTTCCGTTATTGATGGCAGCCATGACGCTGTCGGTTAGCTCACGTGCTCTTGCCAAAGCCATGTAGTAATCCTAAACAGATGTTTTAATCAAATTTAGTGAAATAAAAAATATGGGCATTTTCCAACCGCTTCCAAGTTTCAGAATGGAGTTTCAAGCCTTTAATAAACATTGCTTTTTCCAGCTTTGACCTTTCCTAGAACGTTTTTAACCATTAAACTGGTTCCAGCACATGATATAATGTGTGCCATGTTACGCCATTATTATTATTATTAAACGAAACCAGGGGTCAATATAATTCCCAAAAAAGCTGATTTTCTCGATCCCAAAATTATTTTTTGCCCCCAATTTTTAAAAAAAATGCCCCCAGTTAAATTTTTTTTTTCAAATTCCACTAACACATTTGCCCCCATTGCCCCCAATTTCAGCGCCTGAAAACCCCCTGAAATCAATAGATTTCACTGGTCCAGGGGGGAGCTTATTATTGAATTATTATTGAACCCTAGATGTATATTAAAGCACCTCTTAGTTACGAGTTATCTGAAAAGTTTTAAAGGGTAAATTATAGGCCATTTCCCTATGGACTTTCTTCAGGGGTGAGGATATTTTTAAGAATGTTGTTCCTCCGATGTTATAAAAAATGTAGACATATAGAAAAGTAGTGAGAAAATATGGAGAGATTTTCAACGGTTTCCCCCTTTCTTATCATTCACCCATGAACTACTGATGTTAATTATTTTAAATGTCGAAATAAATTATTATTATCATTATTATATCAATGATTAATCACCTTGCTAGTCCTTAGTATGGAATGAAAGGCCATCATGTTTGAAGAAAGAACAATATTCCTTCCTGTACTTTTATCCTTTCCGACTTTCACGCTTTCTCCATAGGCAGCATGTCCTAGGTGCAAAATAGCGTCAAAATATATATTTATTTAAGTATGTTTGTTACCTAATACCTATGGCCTGCAATATTCAGCCATTAACAAGAAAATGATATGAACAATTACCAATATTATGATTATATTATGATAATAACTAAAACCAAGACTATGTATTTAAGTATGTTTGTTACCTAATACCTATGGCCTGCAATATTCAACCATTAACAAGAAAATGATATGAGAAATTACCAATATTATTATATTATGATAATAACTAAAACCAAGTCTATGAGTATGAAAAATACCTATTATGATGACCAAGATAATGGTTCGGATCAATAACCATGACTAAGACTATGATTATGGCCATGAACCATGAATAAGACTATGGTTGTGACCAAAAACCATATTATGCCTATTGCTCAATAACCGTGATCAAAATCATGAAAGCCAATTCATTAAAAAACGACTTTACTAATTTGAGGAAAGGAAGAGAAATCAAGAATGATACAGGATTACCCATAAAGAATGCGACTGTTAAGACGACATTAAACTCTTTAAATCTGAAGATTCCAAGGTTAAATTAGTCTTCTGCCTTGAATTAAATTTTTGTATAGCTTATTAAATGATTAGGCAAAAGCAGAAACAAGTTCACAGTTGCTGGGAACCATAAATGTAAGGAAACAGACAGTATAAATCATGTACAGTCGTCTCTTAAGATTCATCCTGTGTATTAAGAAATCTAACCTGCTCCGGGACAGGAATCGTCTGGGTTTGCTTTCAGAAACCATTGAATAGTTTGACTAAACTGCTCAGGATCTGGTCTTGTACCCTGGAGCCCTATAGTACATGAAGAAGTTTTAGAGTACATGGATATATACAAATATACAAACAAACTAATAGACCAATTCAAAATAAAGGAATTATTTATTCATAAGGGAGTACATAAAGGTATTGTAGAGTAAATAAAGAGGGTATAGAGTACAAGAAGAGGGTATAGAGTACAAGACAAAGTTAATTAATACACAAAGAGGTTATAGAATACATATTATTTAGTAAATAAAGAGATTATACAGTAGATAGAGGTTATAAAGTATATGATAATAATAATAATAATCGCTGTCAAACCTTCAATCCAGGTTGTAGGCTTGAGCTCCCTCCGTTTAAGTTCCAATGAATCAACCCAATTATGAGCTGGGTGTAAATTCAGAGGTGGGAGACAAGCCCATGGCGGTCTGCCATCGACCCTTCTGTACACCCTCAGATACCTAGTGATCCTGTCGGTATCACCAGTATATTGGGATGATCGAGATGAATTGTGAGATTGAGTATTGACAGCGATCTTTAAGTTGATATCATTCACTACCTTAGATTGTTGTTGATCTAATTCTGTGCCAGCCATTTTAACTCATTAAATTTTCCTATTACATACGTATTATTCACAGATAATGCATTTACTGATTGTGATTTATCCACTTGGTCTTAATACCTCACATTATGTGTCTTTTAATGATGAAGCCTTTAACGCTCGTTAAAATCCATTTTGTTTTTATTACTGTTCAATCCCCCTTAACCTTTAGCCTAAATTTATCACATTCCCTGCATACCATTCCATAATAATGCTATTTCATGCCTTACTCCTGCATATTACTCATGATTTCTACAAAGCCAACTCTCAATAATCTTACTCATACATTTCTTTCTATGTAAGAGTATTTCTGGATTTGCCCCATCTCCTCCTAGGTAAGACCTTAGTATTTCTTGCGATTTCAGTTTGATGATATAATTTGTGACCCGCATCTTCCGTCGTTCCATTTCCACACTTGGACATGAAAGGATCACGTGTGATTCTATTAACTTTTTTGTTATCCCATTAAGGATGCAGTGAGGGCAGTTATCATACTGGTAGCCGTACCGATTCTTTAATCTATTTCCTAATTGAGCATTTCCTGCTCTTACCATTGACATTGTCCTCCTTGCATGTGTGTCCGATACATACGGTTGAATCTTGAACCATTCCCATGGCTGTGACACAATACACATAGTAGACTGAGAGCGTTTATAGAGGTTATAATGTATAGTAAAAAGTACATAAAAAGGTTAAAAAGTACACAAGGAGGTTTTAAGAGTACATCTAGATTTTAGATAAGTAGATATTAAAAAGTACATAAAGAGATCAAAGATTACATAAAAAGTGCTAAAACTTCAAGAGTAGATTAAGATGTTATAGAGTATAGAGTAAAAAAAAGGAATTATTGAAAGAGTACAATGAAATTAAAGAGTACATGAAGAGGCTAAGGAACCCATAAAGAGGTCATAGAGTGCATAAATAAGAAGCTAGAGATAAAAAGAGGTTATTGAGTATGAAAATTAGTTATACGGTACAAACAGAGGTTGAAGAGTACAAGAATAGGTTATAAAGTACATGAAGAGGTTTAAGAGTCAATAAAGAGGTTTTAGAGAACAAAAAGAGGTTTCAGAGTGCATAAAGAGGTTTTAGACTACATAAAAAGATTTGTTTAGTGCATAAAGAGGTTATTAAGTACATAAAGAGGTATCTGGGAAGAGTTATATTACCTCTGACAGCAGATGAACAGGGAGAGCATATCCCCTGCTGTGTAACTCTATCTGATGCTGGTAATTCTACAGTGTCACCATCATCTCCATAGTTACCATAGTCATAATAATAATCTTCTCTCTTCTCACGAACCTGGATAAATAATAACAATCACCATGACCATATCCCTGTCCATGACCGTATTACAATGACCATGACAGTGATCGTGACCGTGACCATGACCATGACCATGACCATGACCATGACCATGACCGTCACCGTCACGGTCACCATGACCATGACCATGACCATGACCATGACCATGACCATGACCATGACCATAACTATGATATTGACAATGACGATATTACTATGACGATATTACTATGACCATGACCATATGACTATGACCATGACCATATGACTATGACCAATGACCATGACTTTGACCATGACAAATGACAAAAACCAAGAGAGTGATCGTGACCGTGATAACAATAACAATAATGATAAAAGACATTAAACTGTTGTTTAATAACATTCTTTTACATAGACTTCTCGATTAAAATATCATGAAAATTTCTCCCACCTTGCCCATTTCGACATCTTCATAGAACTCGTCATAATTCTTAAAATCGGCGTCGGCCACCACCCTGGCTGATTTAGGCGTCGTCACGATGGGAACTTTCTTGTCGTCATCATTGTCAGCAAACCAGTCGTCGGTAGTTCGTTTACTCGTATTCTGCCTTGGCTCCTGTACAACAAGGTTAAGCACTTTAACAGGGGAACTACAGGGATGGGAAATAGAGCAGGGGTATATTTTTTACATCATGCCTCCCTATCCCTTTTGACAACTGTACTAGGACAGAACTCCTGTTTATCTGTGTACTGTGTATGTACTGTATGTACCTGAACTGTACTAGGACAGAACTCCTGTTTATTTCTGTACTTTGTATGTACTGTATGTACCTGACCTGTACTAGGACAGAACTCCTGTGTATCTGTGTACTGTGTATATATGTAATTTATGTACGTGAACTGTACAAAGACAGAACTCCTGTTTTTCTGTTTACTAGAATTGTATATATGTACTATATGTACCTAAACTGTACTAGGACAGAACTCCTGTGTATCTTTGTATTGTATATAAATGTAATTTATGTACGTGAACTGTACTAAGACAGAACTCCTGTTTTTCTGTGTACTATAATTGTATATATGTACTGTATGTACTTGAACTGTACTAGGACAGAACTCCTGTGTATCTTTGTACTGTGTATATATGTACTTTATGTACGTGAACTGTACTAAGACAGAACTCCTGTTTTTTTTGTGTACTATAATTGTATATATGTACTTTATGTACCTGAACTGTACTAGGACAGAACTCCTGTGTATCTGTGTACTATAATTGTATATGTGTACTTAATGTTCCTGAACTGTACTAGAACAGAACTCCTGTGTTCTATAATTGTATATATGTACTTAATGTACCTGAACTGTGCTAAGACAGAATTCCTGTTTTTCTGTGTACTATAATTGTATACATGTACTCTATGTACCTGAACTGTACTAGGACAGAACTCCTGTGTATCTGTGTACTGTCTGCAACATTTGACCTTATCAGTCACCTCAGCAGTTGCCCAACCTAAAGTTCCAGTAATTAAATCCAAACACTGATAGATAAACGGATAAATAAATAAAAAACTAACCAACAAATAAATAAAAAATAAATGACTTAAAAAATGGTTAAAAAATGGCTAAAAAATGACTACCTATATAATTATCTATCCAGGGCATAGGTGCTGTAGCAATATATGTATCCACTGGAACCTTCTGCCACAGGAACACTTGACCGGCCAGAGAATTCTCCAAACAACCTGTAAAAAAGGCATGGGTCTAGATTTTATTGTAAAGTAAAAAATACCCACTACACTACCACTGTTTAGCACAATGATTTTGTCAGTGAGTTAAAATTTTGGGTATAGGTATCATTAAAGAATTAGATAGATAGATAACGTTTATTGCTAAAATACAAGGATCTGTACAGAACGAGTTTACAATTACAAATTGATGATTATATTAACAGTACAATTGTAAAGCAATTAGGTGGAAAATAGCTCTTGGCTGTTTTGATTATTTTTTCCACCTTATTTCAATAATGATAACAACACATTTCAATTAAATAGATTTAAGAAGGACTATTTGAGATTAGGGTGCGATTTTATCTTATGCAAATCTTTATCAGAATAACTGGAGTTTAAAGTCACTTTCTGACATGTACACAACAAATATCAAAGCAAATTAAAACATTTCTTATTAGTTTTACATGAATATCAATTCCGTTTATAACACATTTTAATTTAATTTTTCAAAAAGAGAATTTAGTAGTCTATTTTTAAATATACTTAGAGAGTTGCTTCTTTTTAAGTCAAGAGGCAGGGAATTGAAAACTTGCCATTTCATATTCAAATAAATTTTGTTTTAAAATCTTCAAAAATAATTATTTACTCTCTCCCACCCCCATGGAGCTAAAATGAAGCTTATGAACCCAAACAAGACCAGTTAGGCTTAAGAATAACGATTTAAATTGTTGACTCTGAAGTCCTAAACTACCTGGGAGTTCTAAACTCTCCGGGAGTTCTAAACTATCCGGGAGAAACTACCTGGAAGTCCTACCTAAACTACCTGGAAGTCCTACCTAAACTACCTGGGAGTCCTAAACTATCCGGGATTCCTAATCAATCTGGGAGTCCTAAACTACCTCGGAGTCCTAAACTTCCTGGGAGTCCTAAACTACCTAGGATTCTTAAACTACCTGGAAGTCCTAAACAGAGTTTGTTTTGTGCCTCCTCTGTTGTAAGATCAAGTTGTCCGGCGGTATTATTAACCACGAAGTATACAGGAGGACCTACAGACAGGAACTCCTGGAATATATATTAAGTCAATTAATGCATTTAAATACACGAGTACACAATGAAATCAATGCATGTCTACATGAATGCATGTCTGCAATCTGCATGAATGCATGTATGCAATCTTCATGTCTACAATCTGCATGAATGCATGTCTGCATGAATGCATGAATGCATGAATGCATGTCTGCATGAATGCATGTCTGCATGTCTGCATGAATGCATGAATGCATGTCTGCATGAATGCATGTCTGCATGAATGCATGTCTGCATGAATGCATCTATGAATGTCTGCATGAATGCATGTCTGCATGTCTGCATGAATGCATGTCTGCATGAATGCATCTATGCATGTCTGCATGAATGCATGTCTGCATGTCTGCATGAATGCATGAATGCATGTCTGCATGAATGCATGAATGCATGTCTGCATGAATGCATGAATGCATGTCTGCATGTCTGCATCTATGCATGTCTGCATGAATGCATGTCTGCATGTCTGCATGAATGCATGTCTGCATGAATGCATGTCTGCATGTCTGCATGAATGCATGTCTGCATGAATGCATGTCTGCAATGTCTGCATGAATGCATGAATGCATGTCTGCATGAATGCATGTCTGCATGAATGCATGTCTGCATGAATGTATGTCTGCATGAATGTATGAATGCATGAATGCATGTCTGCATGAATGCATGTCTGCATGAATGCATGAATGCATGAATGCATGAATGCATGTCTGCATGAATGCATGTCTGCATGTCTGCATGAATGCATGTCTGCATGAATGCATGAATGCATGTCTGCATGAATGCATGAATGCATGTCTGCATGAATGCATGAATGCATGTCTGCATGAATGCATGAATGCATGTCTGCATGAATGCATGAATGCATGTCTGCATGAATGCATGTCTGCATGAATGCATGAATGCATGTCTGCATGAATGCAGCATGTCTGCATGAATGCATGTCTGCATGTCTGCATGAATGCATGTCTGCATGTCTGCATGAATGCATGTCTGCATGAGTGCATCTATGCATGTCTGCATGAATGCATGTCTGCATGAATGCAGCATGTCTGCATGAATGCATGTCTGCATGAATGCATGAATGCATGAATGCATGTCTGCATGAATGCATGAATGCATGTCTGCATGAATGCATGTCTGCATGAATGCAGCATGTCTGCATGTCTGCATGAATGCATGTCTGCATGAATGCATGTCTGCATGTCTGCATGAATGCATGTATGGGATCTAAAGACAAGAACTCCTGAAGTTGAATACTAACCTTGAGAAAAGTGAAGTATTTGAGAACAAAGGAATTATCCGGCATAGAGATCTCTTGGTCCAATCCTAGGATAAAAATTATCATTCAAATAAAATCAAATAAAATCAGACTTTTAGGAATGTCCTACTACCACATGACAACTTTCGAAATGACTTTACTAATTCTCAAGTTTAATGTGGACTTATGATTCGTAAAGACCTTCCGCGAATAAAGTGAGAATCTACAAAAATGAAACTGCTATCTTAAGGATCAAATTCAATGGACTAAGATAACAACGACAATGACAATAATGATAATGATAATAGTGATATTGATATTGATATTATTATGGATAATAATAATAATAATAATAATAGTTATAAAAATAATAATAGTAGACCACAAACCTATTTCTATTTTAGGAACTACAGCTATGGATGAACAGGCCCAGCCGAAGAATATTATAACTACAGCAGCTCTAATCCATTTCTTCAAGAGGAAAGGAGCATAGATATGCTCAAACAGTTTAAACAGCATTCCAGGACTTCCTTCGGTATCTTTCTTACTTCCTAGATATTTATTCATTCATTCATTCATTTATTCATCCTTTCAGTCATTCATTCGTCCTTCCATTCATTCATCTTTAAGTTTTATTTACTTTATTTAAAAACAATAACAAACCTTTGACGCAGCAGACGATGTCGAATCTATTATTTTCCTGACGCATCATATCCAGGGATATCAAGGCCACGAAGCACGTTATCTGCATCAGAAAATCAACGATGAGCGCCATCCCGGCGTAGAGCGCAAATGCGCGCACCGCAGGCATGTCAGAGAGAGCACCCAGAAAGAAACAAGTGGATTCTGAGAGCGCACAAAAAATTTATTCAAGTTTGGTTAAAATTAGATTTTAAAATCTTTCATTATTCGGAAAAGTGTGATTATTATTCATATTATTCATACTAAAAGCTAGAAACATTTTTATTACAATATTTTTTATGCATTGAATCAATAATTGAATAAAATAAAGCTGAAACATGTAAGATTGATTGATTCATCAATTGATTGATTAATCATAATGTTGTTTGGATTGATTGATATATTTTGTGAATTGATTAATTTTAATACTCGCTGAATTGATCGATTTGTTGCCATATTTGGTCTATTGATTGATTAATTGATTGATTGGTTGTGTTCCTGCTACGGATGAAAGCAGCATAGATGGCGCCACTTCTCCAACAATCCGACCCACGTGTTCAGCATGCGTCTCATGTGCTTTCCTGAAACAACACAACATAAAGTTCTCATGGATGTTTGCGGCAAAATATCAAGTCTATTCGTCTCCTTGTCTCAGCTTCAGGCTGTCAAGAGCCCCTATATTTGAATTCAAATCAAATCGAATTAAATCAAATCAAATCAAATCAAATCAAATCGAATCGAATCGAATCAAATCGAATCAAATCAAATCAAATCAAATCAAATCAAATCAAATCAAATCGTATTAAATTTCAACGGTAGTGTACACTGTTTACAGTGCCACAAAAAAATTCATTCCCTCCCCTCTGAAATTTTATAAAGGTATTTTGGGGATCTTTATGTCAAAACCCTTACACCGTCAGGAATTAGAGGGGGATGTGGTTCCCCTTTTCAAATTTTCCCTGGAGAAAAAAATAATAAGGAAAAATAATCTATAAATAATCAAATCAAATCAAATCACATCAAAACGTATTTAATTTCAATGGTAGCGTACACTGTATTCAGTGCCCCAAACAAATTCACCCCCTACCCTCCCCTCTGAAAAAAAAACCCTTACACGGTCAGGAGTAAGAGGGGGATGTGGTTCCCCTTTTAAATTTTCCCTGGAAGAAAAAAATAATAAGAAAAAATAATCTTTAAATAAACTAAATTTTGACTAATAGTCAATTTCCCATAACATTATTCCATGGGAGGGGGAAAGGACCGAACGACGCACTTCCCCCCATGCCCCTCCTTAAGTCCCCACAGATCAGCATTAGAGAGTTTTAAAGTTTAATGTTCTCCAAGTCTATATTGACTCAACTCACCTTGGATCTCTCTGGTATGTTTGAACAAGTATAAAGATGTTATCTACACCAACTGCTAGAACAAGGAAAGGAATGATCTCAAAGATGATAAGGGTAGCGGGCACACCAGCAAATCCAAATGTACCTAAAATAAAATATAAATTCAGATTAAATTAACAATATTAAAACAAAGGAAGTGAATAATTAGGAAAATTGAACCTCCTTTTATTATTGGGTTATTCTTTATCAAGCCAGCCACCCGGCCCTATGGAAGTCAATGCTATTGATTTTCTTTAAATTTTGCGCACAGCTAGCATGTCATTAGAAAACTTTAAATTCAAAATTTTAGGCTCCTGCGACCTCTGATTCCTTAACTATAGCCTACTAAAGTTCCGCCCTCGAGGAAATTTTCGACTATAAGTTTTTCGAAAATATCCTACTACAGTTGTCTTTTTTTTAAAGAAAAGTTGTCTGTCTTTTCAGCAGCAAATTTTCTAAAAATATCCTAGAATTAAGGTTTTAAATCTCTAGCTCTAACTGAAAGTAAATGCCAAAAATGAAACTTTGCACAAACATTAAATACATTTTAGGGAATCTCAAAATATATTTTGAGAAAATTGGAGGATGGCCTCATCGAAAAAATCGAGGTAAAAAAATATAATTTAAATTAATCAGCATATGCAATAAATAAAATAAAATAATCTTTTTTTAAATGTAATCTTATAGTAATAAGTAAAAAAATGGCGCTTAAATTAGCTTGATATCTTAATCAACAAAAAATAAAATTGCCAATTAAAGTATGCGAGGTCAGGCAGAAAATTGCCTGGAGGCCGAAACTTTAGTAGGCCATTAATCAGCACCATAGAGGTCACAGGAGCCTACAATTTTGGATTACAGGTATTCTCATACTATGCTAGGTGAGTGCAACATTATGACATTGACTTCCATGATTTCCAAAGATTGGCTGAATTCATAAAGAATGACCCTAGTTACTTTGATAGGATTTACAATACAGAAAGTAGAACTATCATTACCTATGAAGCTGCTACAGATGGTAGAACTATCATTACCTATAGAAGCTGCTACAGAGAGTAGAACTATCATTACCTATGAAGCTGCTACAGATTATAGAACTATCATTACCACATAACTATCATTACCTATAGATGCTGCTACGGATAGTAGAACTATCATAACCCCACCAAGTCCAAGAGTAACTTTGCTTTCAATCATCATCCTAAAAGAAAATTGTTAGAATATGTAGTTTGACAAACATATTTTATTCTAATACGAAAGACGCAAAATTTTAGATTTTATTTTTAACGGGACAGTAAGCCTAGTTTCAAGTGACCATCTATGCAACGATGGCAATGCTCAATTTAAACCTTTTTCTGAACATCGAGGAGAGAATATGTGTTAAATAATAAATGTGAGTGTACTAGCGTACAGTGTGAACTCAACACGCTGATTTTACATATAAACATCCAAATAAAAGAACATTCAATGTTCAAAACTGTTTTTAAAAATTCAAATGTAAATGTTTATGTTCTGCGACTTCTAGAAAGTAAGTATTAATATTTAGCATAAATTAGCTCGCAAATCAAGAATTTAACAATTACGAATACAGGTGTTTCTGTAGATTAATAAGGCAAAGTCTGACAGTCTCAATCAGACCAAGATTAAAAGGTTACTATTGTGAATGGAACATGCCAAATTACAAATGGAGGGTACCTTGAAAATACACCTAAAGTCCATTGTTAAAAATGTATGCAAAACCATTACACACAAGGTAGACTGAATTCTTATATTTTTTAATTTATTTTGCTCACCTGGAAACTGTACATTTGCTGGTCTGTCCCAGTGAGAATGTGATGTAAACAAACATTATTATGTAGCTGATTGCTATTGTCACAATATCACCGTACGTTTCCTAATAGTAAATGTCGTCTTTAAAACAGATTTATAAAAAAATAAATGCAGAAATAAAGACCTTCAAATAAACAACAAGACATTTAAAGATAAAGACTTAAAGTTAGATAAAAATAAGGACAACCAGACAGATTGAAAAGTTAAGATACAAAAAAATAATGATGACAAGATTGATGTTAAAAATACAAGAAAGAGAAAGATAAAGACGACCCGATAGATCACGATAATGCTGACAATATTGATGATGAAGAGGACAAGAAAGAAAAAGATAAAGATAGATTAAGAAGATAAGCCAGATAAAGATAATGCTGACAAGAAAGATGAAGATAATGACGACTAGACAGAAGAAAACAGAATGACAGGAAAGCCAAAGACAAAAATAAAGATAAAGGTGAAAAGAACAAGACACATGACATTGCAGATAAAATGATAAGACAGAGATAAAAACGACATTCCTTGTCAAGCTCGTCTTCAATACTTCTATCACTGTTGAAAGCAATATCCATGTATTCTGGTTTCTCATGCTCTACCCAGTAGTGCATAAACTCAATAAACCTGATAAATAACTGATATTATTCTTTAAATAATTGAATATTTTCCTTTTAAAATTAAATTTATCTTTTTATAACTATGAAAAATGAATTTTCCAAACAAAAAACGATTATCTTAACTGTTTTTAAGAAAAGTCATTATTACCTTTTTTCCCAAGCCATGGCCATGGCTAGTCCGTTCACATTCTCAGTGTCCTTACTCTTCTTGTCGAAATTGTCGATGATGATGGAGATCACAATAGCAGTTGCCTTTAGTCAGAACAATTACATGATTGAAAGAGAGAGACATGGAGTTCCATGGAAATCCAAGTGAATCTGTATTACTTTTATTTGCTTATCATGGCAACTGTCTACGCAAATTTAAGAATTTAAGAATCACAAATTTGTTTTTATAATACCCCAAAACTTCGAAGTTTTGAGCATTAAAATACTTCAACAACCATTGTATTTTAGTTGCTAGAGAAGCAGACCAGTCAAAAAAAAGTCATATTTTGGAATATATCATTAGCAACGTCCTTACCACAAAACTGCGTCCCTTTGTTGAGAGTTAACACTTTAAAATTGAATTGTTTGGTTTCCTTGTGGTATTCAGGATTCTCAGGGAATGATTCCCCCGCAGGAATAAACCCACCCAGAGTATAGTAGGGGTTCACAGGACCTCCCCACTTAGACATGCACCCTTAACATATTATCGTTATTATTATTATTATTATTAAAGGTCAACCCGTCCTTAAATGAAGTCGGGGCCGGCGCTCCTCCTCCGCTTGTAACGTTCAAATCAAATCAAATCAAATCAGATCACACTTTACAGGAACTTATTGAGCCTTTGTATGGGCCAAATCACTCAAGACTTTTTTAATTAAGTTAAGTGAAAAATTTCAACATCCTTCGTAGGGCTGGGCACGTTCCGACTTTTTTGAAATCGTTCCGTTCTGTTCTTGAATGAGGGGCTTCAGCTAAATCGTTCCGTTCTCGTTCTTTTTTTATCATTCTGTTCTCGTTCCGTTCCGTTCTGAGTAGAAGAACGTTCTTCTCGTTCCATTTCGTTCTTGGCATTCTTCGTTGAAGAACGGTTGCATCCCTCTTGTTCTGTTCTTAATCAAGAACGTCTCCATCCCCCATTCCTTTCTTAGTAACGAACAATTCCATCCAAGACAAAAGTTTTATATAAAAGAGTTGGTTAAAAAGTAAAAAAATTACGATTTTTAAATAAAAAGTTCCTCACGGCCGTAAATAATACTTTAAATTATATATTTTAAATTTAGGGTTAAAAGAATAAGCTTAGATAATTTCTGGGATGAGCAATGTATAATTTTGTGAGAGCAGGGGGAGGGGCGATATACAGAAGTTAAACTGAAACCTGCTGTGAAGTCTGTTGTCAGTTTAGCAGAGACTGGGGAAAGGGTGGATGGCGGATTTAAAGTGGGGGAGGGGGGTCAGGTGATTAAATCAAAAAATCGTTAACTATTTCTAGATGATTTAGAACACATTTCTGATTTAAAATGCGTTCCCAACTTAGAACGTGTTCTTGATAATAAGAACGCGTTAACGATTTTAACCATTCTTTTCAAGCAATTCCCGTTCCGTTCTTTTACTAATCGTTCCAATATTCTCAAGAACGCGTTCTAAACGTTCGGTTTTTTTAACGGTTCTTGATTGTTCCGTTCGTTCTCGAGAAAGAAATATCGTTCCACCAGGAACGCACCCAGCCCTAATTCTTCGCAATGTTTCTAATTAAATAATTAAACGATCTAACAACTTTCATACAGCCTGTATAATCAACTCAGTAATCAGTGTCATCCTTAAATCCAAAGAAATCCATCTTGAACATCTCGACATACTGGTGGTACCGAGAGAACCATTAGGAAACTGGGAGTGTAAAGAAGGGCCCATGGCAGACCGTTATATGCTTGACACCCCTGGATGATTTACACTAAGCTCTAAGCTGGGTTAATTCATTGAAACTTATGCGGAAATATCAGATTGAAGGATTGACAGTGATTTTTATTATTTTACACAATCTCAACTGTACAGTCTGTTAAGCTGCATTGTGTATATGTACTGTATTGTATTCAATACTGTACTTTTTAAGTACTGAAAAGTCAACACTAGCCTGTACTGTACCGCTTAAACTATACAGTACAGTAAACAGTGTACAATGTAAGTGAACACTGTACACGTTAAATTTAAAAGTGTAACATGTACACCTTGTTATTACCTATATTCAGTTTGTCACTTGGCGCAGTCAAAGTTGGATTCTTAACACAGGCAAGCATATGATCTAGATACGTCCAGTTCCTAATATCAATCATTAAGTTAATTAACAAATCATTTTCAAGTCAGTCAATTATTAAAAATAAATCAATCAAACAAATATTAGTTGCCTGAAATCACTCATAAAAATTTTAAAATGTAGCAGCTCATAGGTACTAAGAAAATCAATGAATGAATGAATGAAAGGATGAATGCGTCAATGAATGAGTTAATGAATGAATGAGTGAATGAAAGGATGAACCAATAAATCAACCAATGGATCAATTAATGAATGAGTCATTTTATAAATGATTAAAAGAATCAATCAATCAAACAATTAATGGATCAATAAATGGATCAGTGAATAGATCAACAAATAATTCAATAATTCAATCAATCATCCAGTTTATCAATCAATGAATCAAATCTCCAGTACTGACCTAGGTTTGCCTCCATCACCTCCTTCAGGATCAAACCGCTTTTTGTCTAAGTATTCAACAATTTAAACAAATGTTCTTTTTTCCTTTTTATGACTTTAATTGGTATTTTCTCATTTCATAACGATTCTGAAATCTCAATTTTTAAACATTTAATAATTTAAGATCAATAAAATATAATGAAGATCCTTAACTTTTGGATATGAAATATTTTTTTACCAAAATATGATTTTTAAATTGTAAATTCCTAGAAGGTCTTCTTGGTCCTGCCAATATGCCCACACGTTCTGTATATTACAAGACTGTTTGTCAGGATACAGGGGCTTGTTGCACACCTTTAATACAATCAATTAATCACACAATTTAGAAATCAATCGACTAATCACACGTTATCTATATTACATGACTGTTTGTCAGGATACAGTGGCTTGTTGCACACCTTTTATACAATCAATTAATCACACAATTCAGATATCAATCGACTGAATACACGTTATCTATATTGCAGGACTGTTGCACACACCTTTGATACAATCAACTAATCAAACAATCTATATTTGCATCAAAGAATAAAAAATCGTTGAACTGAATAAATAAAAATAGGTTCACTGTCCTTGTATGTCAAAAGTATTGTTACCTTAGTAAGATTATAATTAACAGGATGCCCTTCCAAATCCAAGAATTCAAATTGTAATTCTTCAATCTTCTTCTGCAGTTTCAATACTTCCTAAAATGAGGAGGATAGAATGATAACACTAATAATAATGATAACGATTAATTAAAGAATTTATCTGATCCTGTCCTTTAAACAATTATTATGTCCTAGTCAATGTCTTGTCCTAGTCCGTGAGCTGTCCTAGTCTATGTCCAAGTCCTGGTTCTGCCCTATTCTGTCCTTAACAAAATTGTCCTGTCCCAGCCCAGGTCCATCTTCTGGTCCTGCTGTATTCTATCCTGGTACTGTCCTTGACATGATTATCCTGTCCTGGTCCTCCTCTAGAACTGGTCATGGTCCTGCCTTTTTCCTGTCCTGTTCTGACCTTATCATAATTGTCATCTCCTGAACAAAATTGTCCTGTTTTTATCCTAACTGTCCTGTCCTACCTTGAGAAATTTCTCCTGGAAAACTGGTCCTATCTCCAGATCATTCCGCAGATGATCCGTAAAATTAAACTTGGTGATACCATACTCAGGGGACTCTTTGGCATGGATAATCACCTATTCAATCAACAAATCAATTAATTTATCAATCAATCAAAAACTAAATCAACCAGATAGCTCAATCTATCAATCAATCCACGAATCAATCTATCTAATCATATTAAGTTGCAGTAGAAATAGACGGTTCTCTTAAATACCAAAAATCAATTTATCAATTTAATTAAGACAAAATTTCTTAATAACAATTATTATATCATATCTGTTCGAAAAAAACAATTACATATCAATAAAACATTACCTGGCTTGCTCTGTAAAAAGGACGGAAAGTGGAATCGAAAAAGTCCTTTTCAACCCTTGACCTAAAAAACATTAAGATATTATTAAAATGAGAGATTGAAGGTTACTGAAGCAAGTCATCACCACAGGGAAACATTCTTATGAGCCAAATAAACAAACAAATAAAAAGTGTTAATAACTAAAAAAAAAAGAGAAAAACAATAATTGTTTTTATTATCTTTTAAGGAACAACAGGCTACCATAAGTGCCAAGTTCTGCGGAGAGGACAGACTAGGAAAGTAAAAAAAAAGTCTTGAATGACAAAAGACACTTGAAGCTACCAAATATAACCCGAGCAAAAATGGCCCTATCAAAAAATTTTCTAGTTGTAAATAGCAGCTGAATTCAGACACTAGCAAACCGTAACGCCGTTATTCATTTCTCCTCTTACGCTTTCAACACTCCTTTTATTTATTTATTTATTTATGAAAAAATGATTGTTTACCTGGATGATGGGCTGGCCCAAAGCTCAATAGGATCAGTTGTAACCTGGAGATACAGAATACCTGGACATATCAATCCATCAATCACAGAAGATATCAATAAAACAATCAATACAAGATTTCAATCAGTTAATCTGACACCTTTATTCATAGGATTGAAAAAAAATTATACAAATTCAAATCTCTCGGCTTCCTTAGCAAAACATTTAATAGATTTATTTTAGAGAAATTTGATGGGGGTACAAAAACAAAAATGAATATGATGAATATTTAATTGAAACTATTAATTAATTGATAGAAACCTGAAGAAAGCCCCGCAGCAAAGACGATTGAGAGAAATATAACTGGTAGAGGATAGATTGCGGCAACTGTACCCCACCAAGTGAACATATCAGTCATTCCATTCTCAAACCTGGAACATGAAGAGTAAGTTTTAATGAATAATAAACCCTTTATTCTTTTTAAATGATGACATTGTTCTGAATTCTTTTCATTGTGCTTAAAAAATTATTTGTAACACTTAAATAAAATATTTGAAAATAACATTAACTATTCCCACTATTATCTTGGAACGAAATGGACAACTACATTAAGAAATTTAAATTTGGATTTTGAGTCGATAAAAAAGTTTTGAATATTATCAACAATAATGATGATACCTTGTTCCCAGCTTGGTGAAGAAGGACAGATCGTTGAAGGTGACAACGGTGTGATCTTTGGACCTGGTTGGGGAGGCTGGGGTCGTGAAGGGTACACTTACAGACTCACGACGGGGACTTCCAGGATCCTAACATAGGGATATTTAAAGTAGGAAGGGAAGCCAGAAATTAAGAAATTTACTTCCCTTCTCTATTTTTAATTATTAATTATTTACAACTATACTTATGAAGGAAGTTAAAGGAATTTGTTAAAGGTTTTGTTGGCAAAATTGGTCAAGGGAACCTGTGGTTAAGTAATGGTTAATTTCCTGAAAATTTTAAATCTTGATAAAATGTTCTTACCTTTGAATCCCCAAAGATACTATCTTCGTCTCCCATTGCAAGATTACTCTTGGTCAGTGTATCAGCAGCGCATACAACCACAACAAATATGATCGAACCAACAACAAACACTAAAAACAACAAATATGATCGAACCAACAACAAACAATAAAAAAACAAATATGATCGAACCAACAACAAACAATGAAAAAAACAAATATGATCGACCCAACAACAAACAATAAAAAAAAATGATTGAACCAACAACAAACACTAAAAAATAAACAAATATGATCGAACCAACAACAAACACTAAAAAAATATGATCGAACCAACAACAAACACTAAAAAAAACAAATATGATCGAACCAACAACAAACACTAAAAAAACAAACAAATATGATCGAACCAACAACAAACACTAAAAAAACAACAAATATGATTGAACCAACAACAAACACTAAAAAATAAACAAATATGATCGAACCAACAACAAACACTAAAAAAATATGATCGAACCAACAACAAACACTAAAAAAAAACAACAAATATGATCGAACCAACAACAAACACTAAAAAAACAACAAATATGATTGAACCAACAACAAACACTAAAAAATAAACAAATATGATCGAACCAAGAACAAACACTAAAAAAAATATGATCGAACCAACAACAAACACTAAAAAAAAAATATGATCGAACCGACAACAAACACTAAAAAAACAACAAATATGATCGAACCAACAACAAACACTAAAAAATTAACAAATATGATCGAACCAACAACAAACACTAAAAAATTAACAAATATCATCGAACCAACAACAAACAATAAAAAAACAAATATGATCGAACCGACAACAAACATTAAAAAATAACAAATATGATCAAACCAACAAGAAACACTAAAAAATTGACAAATATGATCAACCCAACAAGAAACACTATTCAAAAGAATCAAATTACAATAAAAACAACAGCAAAAGATAAAATAAGCATCAATTATCTTCACACAAAAATTTCATTTGTTGAATAAATATCCAAAAGGATTTAATTTTATCCAAACGACAACAAAATATATGGATTAGCGGTTTTTGAAGTGATAAACAATTCAAAAAATCATCTATGGTTGTATAACTTATAAGTAAAGGTTGCAAACTAACCAATAATCATGATGAACACCAGACCATCAACTCCCTCTACTATATCAAACTGAAAGCCCAGCTCCTGGAACTCTGGTAGATTCAGTTTACAGGCTGCCGGACAGTCTGCACATCCACATCCTAAATACAGACAGGATTAAAGCTATAGTAACTTTGAACTATGTTAGAACTATGTTACAACTATGTTAGAACTATGTTAGAACTATGTTAGAACTATGTTAGAACTTTGTTAGAACTTTGTTAGAACTATGTTAGAACTATGTTAGAACTTTGTTAGAACTTTGTTAGAACTATGTTAGAACTATGTTAGAACTACGTTAGAACTACGTTAGAACTATGTTAGAACTATGTTAGAACTATGTTAGAACTAGGTCAGAACTAGGTTAGAACTATGTCAGAACTAGGTTAGAACTATGTTAGAACTATGTTAGAACTATGTTAGAACTAGGTTAGAACTAGGTTAGAACTAGGTCAGAACTAGGTTAGAACTATGTCAGAACTACGTTAGAACTATGTTAGAACTATGTTATAACTATGTTGGAACTATGTTAGAACTACTTTAGAACTATGTTAGAACTATGTTAGAACTACGTTAGCACTACATTAAAACTTAACTAAGTTAGAACAACATTAGAACTATGCAATTTGAAGATCATGGATTTTTTATGAAAGCATTGTATTTGGATTCCTGTTTTGGATCCTTTTTTTACAGATATTGATCTTAACACACTGGATTAATCCATGACACATTTTTAAATGAAAGATTTAAATGATTTTTACCCGAGCTTTGAACAGTTCCAGGAAGAAAAGGTGGAGCATTATTACACTCTATTATAATGGGATTATGGTAATCAAACCCATCTGTAGACTTCACAGCAGAACTAGAATAATATGAAAAATAATAAACATCAGAATTGAAATAAAATTCGACCCCCCCCCCCCCCCTCGCATTGTTGGAAGATCCAACATTATTTTGAGATTTAATAATAATAATATTGATAACACTCTTTTTACCTATAATTGTAGGATATCTGGAATGGGGAATATCCATTCTGGATACTTCCCATATAGTCGAACCTAAAATATAGATATTCAATCAATTATTCACACTTATGTCACTTTACAACATTGAATAAACTTTTAAATCTTAATTAATCATTCTTTAAAAATGGGAAATAACTTTTTTATCAGTCTTTATACGTTCACCAAGAAATCAACTTATTTTTCGAAAAAATCAACAGACCTTCAGAAAATTTTGAATGGTTATCCTTTTATTATAAAATTGATACTTAGTCATATAAAGAAATAGCTTAAGAAGGATTTTTTCCCTACAAGCCTGATCATGACATAAAGGAGGAATGTTGAGCGTAATTTACAGTGGCTCTCCATGCAAAGATGGCAATGTCCGAATCAAAACTGTAGCTTTTAAACCTTAATAGATTCAATACTTTAGAAGATATTATCGTTTTCTAGCTTGAAAGTTCTTTATTTCTGCCAATTCCAAAATGTATTCCTGTAGTAGAAATGCGCAAGTCACTTCTGTAGAGAAACCACAATTGAAAATCTGTTAGTTATCAACATTTGTTTTTAATTCATACTTGATCAGACAAAGATTTTACGGGAACTGTTGTGAATCGGGCATTGCCATCTTTGCATAGAGGGTCAATTGAAATTACGCTAAAAGTCCCTTTTAAGAAGATTTTTAAATGATTATTCTTTCAATATTGTTCTTACCATCGTTTAGCAGTACAATCTCTACTTCCCCAGGGACCACAGAGTAAACCCATAACAGTGTCACTGATCTACATAATTATCTAATTTACATATTTGTTTGTCTGCTTGATTTTAAAATATCTGATTGATTGTTTGTTTGTAATATAATTGTTTGGTTGTTAGATTGTATGTAAGTTTAGTCTGTTACTTATGCAGAATATTTGTAGTTTGTTTGTTTGTTTTCCTACCTCTGGATACTGAACGTTCTTGCATGAATCGTAGGTCTGTGAGTTGAACTCTTCATGAACAAACACAGTTACTTCTTTCACCATCTCCTTTATCTTTCCTAGAACAGGGTTTAATCTTAGGAAAAATATAGTTCTACAACTTTCACTTTACATTAGATCCAACCATTACTAATTTAAATTAATTTTTATTAACTAGATTGATTTCCATCATTGATAAAACTTTAAATGAGTTCCTGGGGATTAAAAAAACTAACCTTGATAGACCTCAGATGCTTTGCCTTCAACGCTCTTATCCACCCTTAACAGCAAGAAATAAGTAATAACTTATAAGTTGACAAGTTATATTTTAGAACTATATTTATTCTTGAAGATAACAAATGAATAGACGAATACTAAATAGATTAACAGATAAGTAATTAAATAGATGAATAAATAAATAGATGAATGTAGATAAATTGGTTATTAGATAAATGAATGAATTGATGAAAAGATTAATTGACAAATAGAAGTATAAATAAATAAATGACAAATTTAGAGATGAATATATGATGAATGATTGATGAATAAATCTTGAATGAATGATGAATGAATGATATATAAATAATGAATGAATGGTGAATGAATGAAAGATGAATGAATGATGAATGAATATGAATGAATGAATGATGAAGAATGAATGATGAATGAATGATGAATTAATGAATGATGAATGAATGAATGATGAATGAATGATGAATGAATGATGAATGAATGAATAATGAATGAATGTTGAATGAATGTTGAATGAATGAATGATGAATGAATGATGAATAATGAATGAATGATTAATAAATGAATGATAAAAGGATGAATGAATGATGAATGAATGAATAGTGAATGAATGAATGAATGGTGAATGAATGAATACCTGACGAATCTGCTTTGTCGTGGGTGACAAGTCATGTCACAAAAATTCTTCTTGAAGTTGTAATAACAGGTAGGACACCTGAACATTGAACCGGATTAAGATAAGGATTAAGATCAAGATCAAGATCAAAATCAAGATCAAGATCAAGATGAGGATCAGGATCAGGATCAGGATCAGGATCAGGATCAGGATCAGGATCGGGATCGGGATCAGGATCAGGATCAGGATCACTACCAGGATCAGGATCAGAGCTGGAAACTTTAGAATGGTAGATATCGAGATCAATGCTTGATCTTCTTTTTTTCTTAATCTCGAGACTAACCTAATCTTATACTTGTATCCTGAAAAGTGAAAATTGTATAAAATTCAACCAATCAGTCATTTATATCAGAAGCCGATAAATTTAACATTTTGCGCGCCATTTAAGATTAATATACGGAAACGGTAGGGACTCTCTAATTTTTAAAAACCAGTTTTTGATTTTTCTGTACTATATCCAAAAAGGGTGGATTAAGCTAGAAATTAAAAGTGTCCACATTGGATATTCGGATTAAGAAGTTGGGATCAAAGGTATCTCATTCAAAAGTTCCCAGCTCAGGATCAGGATCAGGTTCAAGATCAGGATCAGATTCAGGATTAAAATCAGGATCAACTCAAGATCACAAACAAACTAAGGAGCAGTAAAAATAAATGTATAGGAGTAGAAAAATGTTTAAAATAACATTATTAACAATGTTCAAGTATTTACCCTCTGTCCAATAAACTTTTTGGAATTGCAAAATTTTCTTTTAGGTCTTTTAACTGAGCAGTACTGCAGCACAGATCAGGAACAGATCCATCCTAGATAGATAGATAGATAGATAGATAGATAGATAGATAGATAGAAAGATAGATAGATAGATAGATAGATAGATAGATAGATGTCTTCAGGTAGAGCGATAGATAGAAAGATAAAAAGATATAAGGTTAGATAGTTGAATAGATATACGCTTTGATAAATAAATAGATATACGGTTAGATAGATAAATAGATAGAAGTATAGATCGATAGATAGATAGATGTCTACAGGTAGAGCGATAGATAGATAGATAACAAGTAAATGGTTAGATAGATAAATAGATATACGCTTAGATAAATAAATAGATATACGATTAGATGTCTACAGGTAGCTGGTAGAGTGATATATAGATAGATAAAAAGATATAAGGTTAGATAGATGAATAATTATACAGTTAGATAGATAAATAGATATAACGGATAGATAGATAAATAGAAAGATTGATGAATGAATGGATACAGGTAGATAGATAGGTAGACAGAAAGACACTATATATTAAATATTTATGTAGAATGATAAAAATAAAAAGGTGTATGGGGATAGATCGAGAGATAGGTATATGAATAGAACGATAGATATATAAATGGAAAAATAAAAAAATTAATTCAAAACAATTCAATTAATTTATCTAACCTCAGGGACAAGATGGGGGCAAACTTCCTTCAGTAATCCCAGGGATTCAGCATCAGCCTTCTTACCAGGTCCATTGTACACACAGTTCAAGATATGCTTAGTATCTAAACATTGGTCCGTTTTACACACAGTTCAAGATATGCTTAGTATCTAAACATTGGTCCAGTTTAAGATATGCTTAGTATCTAAACATTGGTCCATTGTACACACAGTTCAAGATATGCTTAGTATCTAAACATTGGTCCGTTGTACACACAGTTCAAGATATGCTTAGTATCTAAACATTGGTCCATTGTACACACAGTTCAAGATATGCTTAGTATCTAAACATGGGTCCGTTGTACACACAGTTCAAGATATGCTTAGTATCTAAACATTGGTTCGTTGTACACATAGTTCAAGATATGCTTAGTATCTAAACATTGGTCCGTTGTACACACAGTTCAAGATATGCTTAGTATCTCAACACTGGTCCATTGTATACACAGTTCAAGATATGCTTAGTATCTAAACATTGGTCCGTTGTACACACAGTTCAAGATATGCTTAGTATCTAAACACTGGTCCGTTGTACACACAGTTCAAGATATGCTTAGTATCTAAACATTGGTCCGTTGTACACACAGTTCAAGATATGCTTAGTATCTAAACATTGGTCCGTTGTACACACAGTTCAAGATATGCTTAGTATCTAAACATTGGATAGTTGGGATGGAGTACTTTATATAACATGTTACCTGATGTAGTAATTTGTTTAGTTTTAATTCGTTCAGATTTGTTTTGCTTGGAGTTGGTTTATTTGATTGGTTTCGTTTTGTGTCTAACTTTGTTTTTTTCGTGCTTCATATTGTTTTGTTTCTCATTTTGTTGTTTCATTTTGTTACGTGTTGTGTTCTGTCGTGTTTATTTTTGTTTTTGTTCCGTTCTGTTTTATTTAATTTTGTGTTGCGTTTTGTTCTATTGCTATGTGTCTTTTATAATGTTTGGTGTTGTGTTTTTTATATTTCGTTTCATTTTGTTTCGTTTTTTTTCGTTTGAAATAGTAGAACCTGAAGCTGGATAAGTTGGATCCTTGCCACATTTATCATACCATACACAGTGCCCGTCACTCCCGTACATTTCATACGAACTTGACAATAAAAATATTGATAAATCATCCATTTAATTTTGAAATGAATGGATGAATGAGGATATGAAAAAAAATAATGAATGAATACTTAAATGTTGGAATGACAGAAAGGATGAATGTTGGAATGAATGAATGAATGAATGCAGAAATGAATAGATGAATGTTGATATAAAGCATGAACGAATGTTGGAATGAATGGATGCATATGTATTTGAAAGAATGTTAAAATGAAAGAAAGGATGAATGCTGGAATGAAATTATGAATGTTTACATGAATGTTGTGATGAATGAATGAGTGCTAAAATGAATAGATGAATTTTGATATGAATCAATGAAGAGGAATGAATGAGTGGAAATTGAATACCTGAAAGCTAGAGCTGACGAAAGCTGTAAAAGAAGAGCAGCCACCCTCATGTTTAAACTTTCAGGAGCCTAAAGATATTTTTCATAATTAAAAAATCTAAAACAGAAAACAGTTTTTAAACCGTCGTCTTCTTCCCTATGTGTTTTATTATAAAAGCTTCTTAAGGATGTTGTATTCATAGAACTTTTAAAAAATATTAATATGAGTTGTCAACAATCACAAACTACAAAATATTTGTGACCTTTAATCAGAAGAAAAAAAGAAGACAGATAAATTATGATAAAATGGATTATCCGGATAAAACAGACATCCTTATAAAAATTGTAAATAAATTGGATATCCTTAAGAAAAATGAATATCCGGATAAAACTACAAAAGGATATCCGGATAATAATTATCTGGATGAAATTTAAAATGAATATCCGGATAAAACTACAAAAGGATATCCGGATAAAAATTATCTGGATAAAATCTAAAATGAATATTCGGATAAAACTACTAAAGGATATCCGGATAAGAATTATCTGAATAAANTCCGGATATTCATTTCAGATTTTATCTAGATAAAATCTGAAATGAATATCCGGATAAAACTACAAAAGAATATCCGGATAAAATTATCTGGATAAAATCTGAAATGAATATCCGGATAAAACTACAAAAGAATATCCGGATAAATATTATCTGGATAAAATATAAAATGAATACCGAATAAAACTACAAAAGGATATCCGGATAAAAATTATCTGGATAAAATCTATAATGAATATTCGGATAAAACTACAAAAGAATATCCGGATAAAAATTATCTAGATAAAATCTGAAATGAATATCCGGATAAAACTACAAAAGAATATCCGGATAAAATTATCTAGATAAAATCGGAAATGAATATCCGGATAAAAATTATCTAGATAAAATCTAAAATGAATGTCCGGATAAAAGCGTAAAACAGAAAATTTGAAAATGCAAGTCCAGAAAACAACAACTGAACAATTTTTGCTACAAGTCCAACTATACCTTAAAATTGATAAAAACGCAGAAGCTTGATTTGCCAGAATTTCACATTTTAGTTGCTGAATCAATATTTTTATAGTTGAGAACAGTTCTCTGAAATATCACAGATTTGCAGGAAAATTGGAATAACAATAATAATAATAATAATAAAAAAGAAAATTGTGTGCAAAAGAAATACTATATATCACATATGTTGTGCAAATTTTGATTTTAATAAATAAATCTAACTTATTTCCCAAGTTTACACATTTTGTACGATTTGCAATATATACACAGTACACATTACAATTCACAAAAAAATGGTTGTACATTGTACACATTAAGTATAATCTGTACAATAAAGTAAATTTGCATGGCGTTTCTTTGCGTGTGTTTGATTCTATAATTGCTGATTTAGAAGTATAAATGTTCAACATTATGTGAGACAAAAATCTAAGAATTTTGTTGACAATATGAAAAATTATCTTCTGAATTTGAAGTTATTTTGCCACTAAGTTGAATTGAGTTATGACTAAGCTTACTTATCAAATTCCAGGGCGGAGTCGTTTTCCTTTTTTAAGAAATATTCTTCACAAAATTTTGATATTTTTACAGGGTGATACAAATTATTCTAACATTTTATTTATTAAATCAATAGTTACAGGGTGGCAAACAGGGCAGCATTTCATAAATTTTAAGATAGTTATTCACAAAAGTCGTATAATGTGATTGATGATTTTAAAATGGCAATTATTGTTTTAATTCATTTAAGTTTGAGGATTGTCATGCAAGGGAGTTCAAGACAAAATTATTAAAAAGTAATAAATTTTACAGGTGGCAAAAATTCATTAAAATTTTTTAGCACTTTGGTAACTAATCGCAGATTAATAGTAAATTGTAAGATTTAGAGAATATTTAATGAACTCCAAAATTTACAGAAATTCTATTAGACTTTAAGATTTAAAGACTTTCTAATAGAGTTCAACATTCAAAGAAATCCTAGTCGACTTCTAGATTTTGAAAATTTCAATTAGACTTTAAAATTTAGAGACTTTCTAGTAGACCTCAAGATTTAAAGAATTTCTAGTAGACTTCAAGAATTAGAGAATTTCTAGTAGACCTCAAGATTTAAAGAATTTCTAGTAGACTTCAAGAATTAGAGAATTTCTAGTAGACCTCAAGATTTAAAGAATTTCTAGTAGACCTCAAGATTTAAAGAATTTCTAGTAGACCTCAAGATTTAAAGAATTTCTAGTAGACCTCAAGATTTAAAGAATTTTTAGTAAACTTCAAGAATTAGAGAATATCAATAAGACATTACGATTTAAAGAAATTCAAGTAGACTTAAAGATTAAGAGAAATTCTAAAAGAATATAAGATTTATAGAAATTCAAGTAGACTTAAAGATTAAGAGAAATTCTAAAAGATTATAAGATTTATAGAAATTCAAGTAGACTTAAAGATTGTGTAAATTTCTAGTAGACTTCAAGATTTAGAAAATTTCTAGTAAATCGCGATTTTTCGATATTTTCCTTTAAAATATTGAGAAAATTCAGAAAATTGTTAAATAATTGCAGCACTGAGAGAATCTTTAGAAAATTGCGAAACTAAGAGATATTTATTCGGATTATAGCAGATTGCGAAAAAGATTCCACGGTTAAACTAAGAAAACAGTGAAATCATTAAAACTGTGGAATAGGAAGACGACTGTTAGGCTCAAGGTATAACTTTAAATTGTTCAATAGTCCCATGAACATGAACACTTAACAGTGAAACAGTAATTGTGCAGTGTGAACAGACCATATTTCCTTAATAAGTTGAGTTTTAACATATTTGTAAAACTTTAGAACAACATATAATACACACAAGATTACTTAAATGGCATCTTTCCATACCACAGTTTTATGGGTGCCACTGTAGGGGCAAGTGTGAACACCATTGTAGTTTTCTATCTACTGTGTCACAAAGCTAAGGTTACTTTCTAACAATTAGGTCAGGCCTTCATGACAGTTCAATGTTTATACTCAACGAAGAAAACCTCAAGATAAAAGACGTAACATATCTAAACAAAAAATATATTCATTTCAAAGAATTAAATTGAAAAATATTAAAAAATGTTCAGGCAAACGGTTAAAAGATGTAGATTTAGAGGATAAAAAGTGTTTAAGAATTCAGTTATTTATCATATCCCCCCACCCCACGTAATTCTATTGTTCCCTTAGACTCCATGAATTTTATTAATTATTTTGATAAGAGACAGCTGTGTCTACATTTATAAGATCAGGTGTTCAAAGTAAACTTTTCATGAGTCAGATAGACACAATTTGTAGTTTTTGTAGGAGGGGGGGGGGGAAGGTAGCGATTTCTGGATATAAGAGTTAAGCCGCAAATTAATTTCAAATTTTAAAATTGCAGTTGAAAAAAACTTTAACCTAATTTAAACGTCATTATTATTTTTTGAAACCGTGCATTATTCAAAATTGGCTGCATAGAAAACATTGATATCAACTTTTTCTTTGTAAAGCTAACATTTATTTTGCATCACCCTGGAGTTAACCGTCTAATGCAAGCACCGCGTATAAACTGAGTTAAGAATTCACAAACTCGCAGTAATATTCGAAAATTTCAAAATTACGGATTTTTCTAATCTAAATGCGCTACTTGCAAAAAATGCAATGACTGATCAAAAAATGCTAAACTTTGCGCTTTAATCGATAAAATTCCATATTTTGTGATAATTCATTAATTGAGGCCGGATCAAGTTTCAGGTAGATACATTAAAAGCTTACTTTTGTTTGCATTAATTTAGGGTGANAATTCCTTACAATAATTGTTTTCAAACTAGGAACAATCCCTTACAATAATTGTTTTCAAACTAGGAACAATCCCTTACAATAATTGTTTTCAAACTAGGAACAATCCCTTACAATAATTGTTTTCAAACTAGGAACAATCCCTTACAATAATTGTTTTCAAACTAGGAACAATCCCTTACAATAATTGTTTTCAAACTAGGAACAATCCCTTACAATAATTGTTTTCAAACTAGGAACAATCCCTTACAATAATTGTTTTCAAACTAGGAACAATCCCTTACAATAATTGTTTTCAAACTAGGAACAATCCCTTACAACAATTGTTTATAAAAAATACTAAAGAATGCTGTTTGGACGATTCATACACACTAGAACATTTTTGTACATTATTTGATCCTTTAATGGCACTAAAAGGGCGGATTGTTTTATTATAGCTTTTTTTCGAACATGTTAAAGAAAAATACCGCGATTTAATATCGCAGACTCTTCCCTTTAAGTTTACTTAATTATAAAATGAAAATAATTCTATGAATTAATCCTGAAGGCATTTCTCCAGTACTTTCATCCTTTGCTCCAGAGATGTTCGGATCTTTTCGTTTTCCTAGGAAATTACAAAATTACAGGGAGTATTCGCGAAAAGTTAAATAGGCAGGTCCCGAATTGAATTCTGTTTATATCGCTAATATTTTCACATCAATATGTTGCGCATAAACAGAGAAAATGGTTAAACTCAAGAGAGTAGAACCCACATAAATTCACGGGATCAGCTGAACCCCCTTCATTTTTCGCGAACACTCTTTTTAAAGGTTCAGTGAACGTTATTTCAAGTTACTATATCTAAGACCCCGATTTCAAATATTTCGGGGTAAACTAGTCTCATTGAGAACTTGAAACTAGAACAGTTCTAATTCTTCATTGAGTTGAGTCTTATTAAAAATTCAGTAAATATCTTAGACAAAACTTTAAATGTTAAGAGTTGAGTCTAAATAATTCAACTTGAGACAAAGTTTTTGAATTGCGTCTGATTGCAATGTCAAGTTTACAACGGTACCCTTAGAAGCTTCATATGATCAAGTATGAATTGGATATTCATGTTTTTGTTTCTTTAAACTGTATATTTTCATTTGTGATTTCTATTCAAAAGTGACTTGCGCATTTTTGCTTATAAGAAACTATGAACAAAACTTACAGAAATAAACATCTCTCGAGTAAGGAAAACATTTTTCAGCAGATTAAGGCTTCAAAGATACCGTTGTAAATCGGGCATTGCTATCTTTGCATGGAGGGTCAACTGAAATTGTGCCTACAGTCCAGATTATAAACATAAATTCAAGTTACCCTGTATATAACACAAAGCATGTTGTTAAGTGGTTTAAATCTAATCTTAGACATTATAGTTTTTGCTTTAAAAATCCAGAAAATAATTAGCCGTCAATGACCCTTTAACATTAATTGGAGGCATTTAATCATTTAATGAAAATTTAGGAGACATATCTAGAAATAAAATATTTACTCTACCTCTATTAGTTTTTCTGACTCTGAGACATCAAGTTGTATCTTAGTATTCTAGAATAAAACAAATTAATTAAAATTAGTCGTACTTTCAAGGGAGTCTACATTTATACAGTGGCATGTTCGATTCACTTTGATATCTTTTTCTGATCATGAATGAATGAGATTTGTAAGTTTAACTCTTTAAAATTAATTTTTTTCAATGGTGGTTTCTCTACAAAAGTGATTTGCGCATTTTTCTTGTAGAAACAATGGGAGAAAATTATGGAAAACAACGATATTATCCGCATTTTTGATAAAATAAAGGTTTAAAGGTTCGTGGTGGATAGGATATGCCCCTTTTTAAACGGAAGTTGACTCGGAAGTTACACGACGATCATTTAAAGCATCAGGAGGTTTTCAGGTTTCGACCTATATGTGGTCCAAGGGTATACTTCATTTAGTAATGGAAACAGAAAAAAATCCGAATTAATCAAAAGCTTAAAAATGAATAACCAAAGCGCCCCTTGAAAATTCAGTTAACATGCATTTGGCTTGTCTTCTGATACGCTGGTTTCATTGTTAACATAGATTCAGCCTGCTTATACAAAATCACATCAATTTTTAATTCAGGGTCGACTTTGAAGTGTCACCACGCCTTGGGCTTTGATTTTACCGCTCAAATTCACCTATCCTTTTCTGTAGCCCTTAACATGTACATTTTAACACTATAAAGCACTTGTTGTTAGTAATTAGCAAAATTTGCATAGATTTTTGCTTGAGAGCTTGCAACCTTTTAATTACAAAATTTTCCCAATAAACGACAGAATGACTGAACCGATCCTGCCTGTATTTGATGTAAGACCTCACATGGCAACAGGATAGGTAAATGAACTGTCAAAACTAAATTTTTTTATTTTTGGTCAAAGATATCAGAAAAATAAGGAACTATTTTATATTGCCATTTTTCGTAGATTCCACGTAAAGTAGCAAGTGTATCCTTCAATACCATAGATGTTAAATAAGCTGTAAGCTCTTGAATAAATAAGCATTTAAATAATTTTATCTTATATCAACACTATGCACTAAAGAGTTCTTCCGACAGCTAAAGTTGTATTAATAACTAGAAATATGGAAATATTAAAAACTAAAACGGATAATTTTTTTTAGGTTTAAATGACATTACGTTTTGAACCCAAATTAACTTGCAAAAATAAACTGTTTTAAAAAATAAATTTCGAAAACAGATTTTAAAAATGTTTTTGTTATTCGTTATCTCTGACCCTTGAGGTCGATACTCATAATTTTAATACTTTTGATTAAATTTTGAAATAATAAATAATTTCTGAAGGTTTTTGAAAGGTTTTTTTAGCATTCAGGAGATCCCACTAAACATGACATTTGAAATGATTTGCGGCATTCCTTCGCCAACCCAATTTTACCAGTATGATTATTGAAACGATAATCATTATTGTCCCAAGTCCTGACATTTCCAAAATGTGGTCTGCCTTTTAAGTGCTTTCAAAATAAAAAATTTCGTTCAGATTTTAATTACCGACAAAAATCTAAGTCGATGGAAAACCAGAAATAAACCTTTCTTTAAATAGTCTTTATATCATACATCTCACATATAAAAGACGACCTTTAAGTCGTAGCTCAACTTTCATGTTTAATGGAACACCCTTTTGATAAATTTGATTATTATGGTCATTGCTTGATTAATTGATTTCCAAAATATATCTTACTTGGCTGCCTGTTTCCTGTTCATCCTTGGTAATATTCAATTCATTAATTCCAGGTAAATTCATCAGACTCTCTTTACCATCAAGATTATTATTCTCCGAGGCATCATTCTGCTTCTCTTCCTTCTCATGTTTAACTGTCAGCTGATCACTTTGTTTTGGTTTCTTGTCGTCCTTGCTCTGAGGTGAATACTTGATTGCGGCAGCGAGCAGAGTCCAAATATCAGATTGTCTGAACAGATAAAAACGATTTTCTACCTTTTTTACACACTTTTTTTTAACAGCCAAAGCAGATGTAGGAAGCTTAAGAGTTTAGACGTCATTTCTACACAAAAATCACAATAGTACCCTTGAAACCTTTGACTTATCAAGAATTATAATATATTCTTATTTTTCTCTTTGAGAAACGATGAACATCATCCTTTCTAGACGTATTGGAAATGGCGGGTTACTAACCTTCTTGTTTGTGCTTTGATTAAACTCTCCCCAAGAGTTTGAAAGCTGGTGCTAACAACCCCAGCAGCTTGATTAATATCAAGGGAGTCAACAACAAGCCTCCGTAGTTTACACAGCAGAGAACATGTACTGTTCAGTAGTTGATCACGTCGTCGCAGCATTCGTACAACAATCTAAACAGTTGTACAGCTAGTTTACATTTGTACATAATATAGAATATGTAAGGTAGCTTTCCAGTTTATTAACTAATCCTGATTTATATCTCTAGGTGTAGTATCTCCTAAGGATATTAACTAAACCTGAGCTATTTCTCTAGATGTAGTATCTACTAGTACTTNTGTGTATCATCTATGGAGGATATTAACTCAACCTGAGCAATTTCTCTAGGTGTAGTATCTATTAAGGATATTAACTAAACCTGTGCTATTTCTCTAGGTGTAGTATCTACTCTATTACTAGCACGCTCTCTCCGCAAACCGTCGTACAACCTTAAACTTCGTCCCTCAAGCTCCTAAAAAATGATATTGTATGAATAAGTTAAAGCATATTTACTCATAACTCACATCTTTGTTTACAAACTAAGTGTACTGCAGTTTCTGGGAAGAACATAAACAAAACTCTGCTTTACCAAGATATCTTCCTTTTACTCCAAGAACTGAGGTAGTACATTTTAGTTGGGCTATCATCAAGCTGCAAAGACTTAATTTTTAAATTCAAGAAATTAAATTTAAATTGCCATCAATGCCATTTGAACACTTAATTCTCATTGGTAACACTTTGTAACATGCTAATATAACGAATATCTGATTTTGTCTTTAAAACTTAAAATTTCATCAATGATGAATCGACTAAATCCACTAAAAGAAACAGACTAGTGCTTTCTAAAGAGATTCACACAAAAGTTCTGGCCCCTGGTGGAAAATTCAAATTCAAATAACAATATTTTGATTAACTAGGGGCTTCAACGAAACTTATTATAACTGAGAATGAATTAATCTACTACAGGATTCCTAAGCCTCAAATCACATGATAGACTGCGTTGTAGAAGTAATCTGAATTTTGTAGAGTACATACAAATATATATTTATATTACAAGTGTTAAACTAAAGATCAAAAGATAAGAGATATTATGTGTTCTCAGATAACACAGGATATGGTATGACAAGTATAGTATATAAATTATATAATCAACCCCTGACAAATATAAAATATTAGTTTGAGAACCCCAGCAGTGGCCAGGGTACTCAGTCACAGTTACTCCCGCCGCTTACCCGCGCTAGGTCGTAAATTACAATTTTAGTTTTTGTAAATAAATAAAAAAATGACCCCACTCAATTCAGAATCCAAAAACTAAACTAAAAACATTCCTATGGATCCCTCGAGTTCCCCAATCAAAATTTGAGGCAGTTCGCTGGAGGGGTTCTTGAGTTATGATCGGACATAAAAACAAACAAACAGACAAACAGAGATAACAACAAAGGCAGAAGGTGTACTACCGTTTCTTGGAGGAATGTTACTCAGTACTGCTTAGAAGCCTTCCTCCCAAACAATGCAGTACACTTATTTTGTAAACAAAGATATGGGGATTCCCGGTTCATGCACTGCTAGAAGAAACCCTATTATCCAATCGAATCTGCATATTGAAAATTTACAAACACTGTTCGAAATTTCAAACATTCTGTTCGAAATTTTAAATATTTTGTTCGAAATTACAATTATTTTTTTCAAAATTATAAACATTTTGTTTTAAATTTCGAATATTTGTTTGAAATTTTAAACTTTTTGTTTGAAATTAATAATATTTTGTTGAAAATTAAAAATATTTTGTTCAAAATTACAAACATTTTGGTCGAAATTACATACATTTTGTTAGAAATTACAAACAATTTGTTTGAAATAACAAACATTTTTTCGAAATTTCAAATATTCAGTTCGGAATTTCATATATTCTGTACGAAATTACAAACATTTTGTTCAAAATTATAAACATTTTTGTCGAAATTACAAACATTTGTTCGAAAATACAAACATTTGTTCGAAATTACAAACATCGGTTCGAAATTACATATGTTCGTAATTACTAACATTTTGTTCGCGATTATAAACATTTTGTTCGCCATTATAAACATTTTGTTCGCAGTTATAAACATTTTGTTCGCAATTATAAACATTTTGGTCGAAATTACAAACATTTTGTGTGAAATTAAATATAATTTGTGCGAGATCGCAAAGAAGAACGTTAGAAACATAAATGTCTACGAAATATTTCTAATATTCTGTTAATATATTCAAACAAAATACTAGAAATTATGAACACTTTTTGTTACTTAAACACGGAGTTTCTTTTCTCTACCTTGAGTGCTGGATCTGATGGAGGATCAAGAATTGTAGTTTCCCGTTCAACTTCCTAAACATAATTATCCAAAGTTTATCATGTTAAAGTTTAAAGAGTCCATGCCGTGTTCACAACATTTTATCATTTTAGCAATTATCAGCACAAAATCATGGAGATATCCTTGGCGGAAAATTAACAATTTTTAATTGCGGTTTCTCCATTCATAAGTGATTTGTAGATTCAGGATAAAGGTTTTCAGGTATCCAGGGTAACCGGAGTAATTCGGTCATATAAATCTTTAAACAGTGAGTCACTTGAATTTACGCCATATTTAAGCAATATATGATTTTAAAATGATTTAATGGATGATGTACCATATTGCAAAATTAAATGAAATCGTAAACGACCAGTAAATCCAACAGTATATTTTAATTTGTAGATTTTTGTCAAGTCAGTTAAAAACCTAAAAAACGTCATCAACATAACATGTCAAAAATTTTATGGAACAATAACATTTATTTTCATGAAAAAAATCATAAATTACTCACTCGTATTCCAGTTTCTGCAGTTTTGATGCTCTCCTCTAGTATACAAGTTCTTGTCCTAAAATATTCAGCTTTTCTATTTAATCGGAGGAATTGTTCACAAATTATTATTAAAGGGACTGTAAGCGTAATTTCAATTGACCCTCCATTCAAAGATGGCAATGCCCGATTTACAAAGGTACCCTTGAAAGCTTTCTGATCAAGTATGAATTAAATATAAATGTTTTTTTCATTAAACTGTTTATTTTCATTTCAGTTTCTCTGTGAAAGTGACTTGCGTAATGCGCATTCCTTGTTTAAAAGAAGCAACAAAGAAACTCGCAGAAAAAAAATACTTTTTGAGTTAGAAAAACGACCGTTTCTTCCACATTTTTGATCAGAATAAGTTTTCAAGGGCAACATTGTGAATCAGGCATTGCCATCTTCGCGTTGCGTTTACAATCCCTTTAACGGACAACCTTGCATTCCATGTAACAGGGGACGAGGAAAGGATGGCAACCCACACCCGTTTTGCATCCGATCAAAAAAAAATCATAAATTAATTTGCGGCAGAAAAATCTAACCCACAATTTCACGCTTTAGATATTAAAACACGCATATTTCTTCTAAGTTTGAATTTTGTCGGTGGTACGTTAAGATTGTGTCATTAATTTCTGAAGAAAAAAAATATTCTTTTTATTGTTTCAATGAGTGCAATGTCTTGAACACCGAACATACTTAGCTTGAAAAATAGGATGTTAAAAAAAAAAATTCTATTTAACATTATAGATATTAGACGATAATATTTTCACTTTAAGACTGTAGACGTAATTTGAAATGAATTGCCACTAGAAATTACGTATACAGTCCCTTTAATATTGCAAAACCTATAAGTTTACCTGAGGGTATCTAATGAAGATAAAATATCTGTTCTTGAACTATTCCAGGATTCAATCATTTTCACAGAGGTAATTCTGTCCTTCTTCTGGGCCTGCTCATCATACCTGTATCATGTAATATGGTTCATGAATAGTTCAAGGTTCAAGGTTCAAGGTTCAAGGTTCAAGGTTCAAGGTTCAAGGTTCATGGTTTAAGGTTTAAGGTTTAAGGTTTAAGGTTTAAGGTTTAAGGTTTAAGGTTTAAGGTTTAAGGTTTAAGGTTTAAGGTTTAAGGTTTAAGGTTTAAGGTTTAAGGTTTAAGGTTTAAGGTTTAAGGTTTAAGGTTTAAGGTTTAAGGTTTAAGGTTCAAGGTTCAAGGTTCAAGGTTCAAGGTTCAAGGTTCAAGGTTCAAGGTTCAAGGTTCAAGGTTCAAGATTCAAGGTTCAAGGTTCAAAGTTCAAGGTTTAAGGTTTAAGGTTTAAGGCTTAAGGTTTAAGGTTTAAGGTTCATGGTTCATGGTTAATGTTAATGGTTCATAATTCTTCTCATCTTGTCTTAAATTTACTCATTGATTCATTCATAAATTCATTTCATAATTCCTTCCATTTTAATTTCAATTAATCATTCTAAAATCCTTTGTTGATAGATAAATTAATTCGTTTGACAATTGATCCTTTAATTCAGGACTTTTCACCTGCTAAGATCATGATTAAGACTTGAAGTGAAGAACTCCATGTTTGCCTCCAACCTCTGCAAATCCTACCCAAACCAATATGAAAGCAGGGGTCAAATCGGTGATATAAATTTAAACCGGCGGTAATGCAGTTCAAGACATAGCTCAAAATCATTGAAATTGGTCTCAGGCTTTATTTACTTTTATCTCAATTTAAGTAGATTTGCTTATCTTGGATTGAATTATTGCAAGTTGATTTTAGCTTTGATTAGTTCCCTGTGAGAATGTGAGTGTGGAGAAATCCTGTATCTCTGTTTTGATATAAGAGAACAGAGTTTTCAGTCCTATAGCCATCAGCTCATGGGTTCTACATTCCTATGCAAGTTTATAGGGACTTATACCACCAGATATTGTGTAAATTATATTGACAATATAGTCCTATAGATATCAGTTCATGGGTTCTTCATTCCTATACAAGTTAATAGGGACCTATACCACCAGATATTGTGTAAATTATATTGGCAATATAGTCCTATAGACATCAGTTCATGGGTTCTACATTCCTATACAAGTTAATAGGGACCTATACCACCAGATATTGTGTAAATTATATTGACAATATAGTCCTATAGATATCAGTTCATGGGTTCTACATTCCTATACAAGTTAATAGGGACCTATACCACCAGATATTGTGTAAATTATATTGACAATATAGTCCTATAGCCAGTTCATGGGTTCTACATTCCTATGCAAGTTAATGGGGACCTATACCACCTGATATTGTGTAAATTATATTGACAATTTAATCCCTAAGACGCCTATACAAGTTTATGTCCTCTGGACATCAGTGAACTCCGACATAAAATATACTGTAGGAGAATTTAGTTCATTGGATTTATACTCCATTTCTCAACTATGAAATTAATTATATATTTTATCAAATGTCCAATTCAATTCATTTCCGTCAATGTCGCGGATATTTTCAGAAAGTATAGTCATTATCACTAATATCCTTATTATCATTATTTATTTTAGTTATTATAATTCTTATAAAAATGCCTACCTGGGCAATAAAATGATATCCATGGACGTTCATAAGTTTGAGATGGTAGTCTTGCACACTTCGCTTAGTGTCTCTGTATACAAACAGTCTTATTTATTTCCATACAAACAGTCTTGTTTATTTGTATAAAAACAGTCTTGTTTATTTGTATACAAACAGTCTTATTTATTTATATACAAACAGTCTTATCTATTTGTATACAAACAGTCTTGTTTATTTGTATACAAACAGTCTTATTAATTTGTATACAAACATTCTTGTTTATTTGTATACAACCATCCAATTTATTTGTATAAAGACAATCTTATTTATTTTATACAAACAGTCTTATTTATTTTTATACTAACAGTCTTGTTTATTTTTATACAAACAGTCTTGTTTATTTGTATACAAACAGTCTTGTTTATTTCTAGTTAACTATTTTGTATCACAGTGTAATAATGAACTTTGGAGTCTTAAGTCTACTACGTTGAACTGCAGTATAGTTCTCTGTCGTACAACACAGTGCGGTGTATTGTACTACAGTCTATTAAAGTTTACTGTAGTGCATTGTTCTGGTCACGTGGTACAGACGGAGACACGTGACAATAATACTGCACTGCAATTGGTGAAAGTTCTGGTCACGTGATACGGACATATAAATAATATTATTAATTATACTGAGGAGCTCTTCATCTACATACTGCAGTACTGTGTGTACTGCAGCCTGGTTCTAGAATAATCCACCTTAGTATATAAACTGTACAATACTGTATTTCATGTAAAATACAATCAGTTTATATACTAAGGTGGATTATTCTAGAACCAAGCTGCAGTACACACAATACTGCAGTATTCAGATCAGGGGCTCCACAGTATCTATTGAAAATGAAAAATTATTAAATTCAAATAAAAATAGAAGCAAATCTAAGTTTTCCAGGCTATCGTCGTTTTCATATTGGTTGCGTATTTGCTGAATATGATCTGTTTAAACCTACGATTTATATATATATAACTTTTCGTATAAATTTGACACAGTTTTTTATCAATTTCTCAAGACAGGAACATCAGATAGAACTCTAATGGGTCTCGATCAACTCCTAAAATGCTTAGATTTATGCCTTTACCCCTTTCATTTTCCTTTTAATTTTTCAGTATTATTAACTATTAAAGCAGGCCTTTTTTTTGTTTGAACAAAGATAAATGTGTCTCCCAACCCAGTCTTAAATAAAAACTAAATTAAAGTCTCCAGTAGATTCCAAGGAAGCCTTACAAAAAGTGAATTTCTAAATTTAAAGACATAATATTATTTATTAAGGGAACGTGATCAAGGATTTGTCTACACGTTTTTCTATAGTTTCCAGGCATACTCTGTATTATAATGTAGATTGTGTCGTGTACAGTGCACAATGCAGATATTGCAGTGCAAAATGCAGAATGTTTACTGCAAAATGCAGAATGTGTACTGTACAATGCAGAATGTGACTGTACAATGCAGAATATGTACTGCACAATGCAGATTTTATCGTGTAAAATGCAGATTGTTTACTGCACAATGCAGATTATTTACTGCACAATGCAGAATGTTTACTGTACAGTGCAGATTGTTTACTGCACAATGCAGAATGTTTGCTGCAACATGCAGAATGTGTACTGTACAATGGAGAATGTGTACTACACAATGCAGAATGTGTACTGCACAATGCAGAATGTGCACTGCACAATGCACAATGTGTACTGCACAATTCAGAATGTTTACTGCAAAATGCAGAATGTGTACTGCATAATTCAGAATGTGTACTGGACAATTCAGAATGTGTACTGCACATAGCAAATTGTGTACAGTAAAATACAGATTGTGTATTGCACAATGCAGTTTGAGTACAGCAAAAAAAAGAACTGTTCCTAAGAAACTGCTGAACTAAAACTGGAATCTGGAACTGAACACACTTCAACTGTTCACTCAGCTTTAAACTAAACAAAATAAATTAAATCAGAATCTCAAGGTGACCTACTCCCACTCCCCAGCCCATCAGAATCTCAAGGTACTCTAATCCAATCCCAAAACTCATTAGTAACTCAGGGTTATCTACTTGCAATCCCCAACCCATCAGAATCTTAAGGTATCCTACTCCCACTCCCAAACAATAAGAATTCCAAGGTGCCCTACTCCCACTCCCCCAAATCCATCAGAATCTCAAGGTGCCATACTCCCACTCCTCCAAACCCATCAGAATCTCAAGGTGCCCTAACTCCCACGCCCCAAACCCAGTCGACTTTCGAGGTGCCCTACTCCCACTCCCCACACCCTCAGAATCTCATGCCCTACTCCAACTTCCTAAACCTATTAAAATCTCGTGCCCTACTCCCAATTCTTAAATGAATTATTGTCTTGATGCTTTTGATGCTTTTGATGCTTTTGATGCTTTTGATGCTTTTGATGCTTACCTCATTGAACTCATGTCTACTAGAAATATTGGCAATTCAGCTTCCGTAAACTGATCAAGATCATCCTCCCTCGTTATCTTGTATCCATGGTCGGTTAACAGAAGTTGATTTTCGGCACTAATATTTTGTATAGTAGTATTAGTAGTAATAATAATAATAATAATAATTATGATTTTAAAGAGATTTTATAACAACCGCCCCCCCTGTAACCGTCTCAAATAAACGGTATTTAAGAACATCTAATAATCAAGACTCATTAATGTTTTCAGAATAGTTTAAGAAAAATTTTTGAAAAAGCTTAGATTAAAAATTTGGCATGTAAAATTTAAACTTTGAAAGAGTTTGAAGATTTAGGAATTGAATGCTTTTTCAAGCAATGCATTTATAATGTCAGTTTGGAACAATAACGCATTCAAATTAAATCAAATTTAAAAAAACATAATTTCAATGCCTAATACAGGAATCTATAAGTTTTAATTGCATAATAAAATTACAGTTTTTCACATTTAAAAAGATTATCTAATAGGGATTAAATAATAACATTACTGCGTCAAGTAAAATTTGCCCCACAAAATTCAAACCAAAGAAACAATTTTTATATATATAAAAAAGAAAGAAAATCTTATTTTAGTGTCTAAAAAATGGGTTGATAAGGGGGTTGGCCAATGGCATTTACACATTATTATGAAACTCACCTAATATTAGTATCAGCTAGTATTTGAGCCTGAAGATGGTTAAAGCTAAAACTAGTTTCGGCGGCATAGCAATGAACAGTCTTATTCCGTAGATTAAATACATCTAATCTCTTCTCTCTAGAAATATGTTTATTTATTCCGTAGATTAAATACATCTAATCTCTTCTCTCTAGAAATATGTTTATTTATTCCGTAGATTAAATACATCTAATCTCTTCTCTCTAGAAATATGTTTATTGATTTATAATGTAGATTAAATACATCTAATCTCTTCTCTCTAGAAATATGTTTATTTATTCTGTAGATTAAATACTTCTAATCTCTTCTTCTCTCTAGAAATATCTTATTTATTCTGTAGATTAAATATATCTTTTTTCTCTAGAAATATGTTAATTATTAAAATATAAAAAATATATGCTGACCAAAAAAGATCGATAGGTTTGCAATTTTTTGCTCCTTTGAGCAGAATATTTCCCCACCTTAATATTTTGTTTAACTGTGTGAAGACGACAACATTCCCATGAGTATCCCGCCCTCTCCTCTCAGCACTCCAGTCAAGTAAACTTCGCAACCAGTCCTCTAACCTACATCCATCAGTCAGTCAGTCAGTCAGATTCAGTCCGTCAGTCAGTCAGTCAGTGTCCGTCAGTCAGTCCGTCAGTCAGTCCGTCAGTCAGTCAGTCAGAGTCAGTCCGTCTGTCAGTCAGTCAGTCAGTCAGTCAGTCAGTCAGTCAGAGTCAGTCAGAGTCAGCCAGAGTCAGTCAGAGTCAGTCAGAGTCAGTCAGTCAGATTTATAACTTTTGGTATAATTTAAGTTCACTGCCTTTTAAGAGTTTTTTTTTTAAATAATCGAAAAATTGCAAATTTTTTTTTCAGTCCAAAATATCATCTTTAGTTTAATTAATTTTAAAGGTTTCTACAAAAATTAGATTAGTTACCTAAGCGCCAGTTTCCTGGATATTCTGGTTTCCGGAACTAGATTCTCCTGAGGAATCAGGGCTCTTAGAGGTTCAATTCAGTTTAGGGGGTCTTGGATTAAATTTTAAAAAAGTGGCATGTAGGATTCACAACGACAGCCTTTGAACCTTTTGAACAATGAGTTGGTTTTTTATCTTGAATAAAAGTGTTAATTTCTGATAATTTCCTTTATTGATTTTGTTTCATAATCTGCCAGAAACTTAGAAAACCACTATTGAAAATAATCAATTTTTAGAGAGAATTCTAAAAATATCTTATTCATCCTAGACCTACAGCAGGCAAAGCTTCAAAGTATACCGTTATGAATTGGAGAATGCCCTATCCTGAACTATGGGCTCTAGGGCTATAAACGAGAACGCTCTGCGCCCCTGCCTGGTAAACTATCTTCCCATCTACAGTTTCCAGAACAGCAATATGATTCTGTAGTTTCTGCTCCACATGGTCAACCCACTGCCCAGGGGAGAGATGGGGCAGGAAGGGTCGCTGTCCAGTCACGATCTAACAAAATTGTAATCAAAATCCGAAATGGAGAATATATTTTTCAAATTCCATCCCTCCATCCGTTCATCCGTCCTTACCCCCTAACCAGTTTTGGGGGAAGGAGGGATTATTCTTAACTCTAATTTCATATGCTTCGGGTTAAAAAAAAAAAATTAACATGATGTTTGCCAAAAATTAGAACTTGTTTAAATATGTCCTCCTTAAGAAATTGCATCTTCTAATCTTTACATCAACCTAAGAACATTGTCTTCAATACTGAAGTCTAATCTATGGTCCCTGGATCAATCGTCATACCTCATTACAGAGTAGTTCAAGTGACCAGTAGTCTACGGATTTAGTGTAGTCCTACCTCATGACAGAGTAGTCCATGAAAACAGTAGTCTACGGATTTAGTATAGTCCTACCTCATGACAGAGTAGTCCTAGTGACCAATAGTCTACGGATTTAGTATAGTCCTACCTCATGACAGAGTAGTCCAAGTGACCGATAGTCTACGGATTTAGTATAGTCCAACCTCATGACAGAGTAGTCCAAGTGACCAATAGTCTATGGATTTAGTATAGTCCTACCTCATGACAGAGTAGTCCATGTGACCAGTAGTCTACGGATTTAGTATAGTCCTACCTCATGACAGAGTAGTCCAAGTGACCAGTAGTCTACGGATTTAGTGTAGTCCTACCTCATTACAGAGTAGTTCAAGTGACCAGTAGTCTACGGATTTAGTGTAGTCCTACCTCATGACAGAGTAGTCCAAGTGACCAGTAGTCTACGGATTTAGTGTACCTCATGACAGAGTAGTCCAAGTGACCAGTAGTCTACGGATTTAGTGTAGTCCTACCTCATGACAGAGTAGTCCTAGTGACCAATAGTCTACGGATTTAGTGTAGTCCTGTTCTAGAAAAAGTTCTGGTGCAACGTATTGTAGAGTTCCAACAAAAGATTTGGCTAAACTAGAAACCCCGAGCTCCTTAAAGTATATCATTCAATGAATAAAAGTTCAACATTAAAGGTACTGTAGCAAGGAGTATGGAATAGAAGGGAGATACAACTGACGCGGCCCGCCCCACAATATGATTATACATGCTTTGCAGACGGTACTCCAATTGTATAAGAAATATTCAGAAAAGGTTTTTGTATACGCGGTAATTGTACATCAGACAAATATTTCTTATACAATTGAAGTAACGTCTGCAAAGCATGTAAAATCATATGGTAGGGCGAACCGCGTCAGTTATATCTCCCTTCTATTCTCTACTCCCTAGACTGTAGGCGTAATTTCTAAATAATACCGTTTACAAACTTGTAAAATAAAACCTCTGTCTCATAAAGCATGCATGAGACAAACATAATCTTTTCTTTGAAAATTGATTCTTTTCAACTGTTGGTTCTGTATAAATTGGATAAAAAACTGACAATATCTTCTTTATTATTACTCAGATAGGGGTGTAAATGGTACGGATGTTAATCGGACAAGACACTCTTTAAACGGAGGGTTACTTGACATTGCGTTTACAGTCCCTTTATTATAAACAATATATCTGGTCGAGAGGGGGGGGGAGTAGTGTTTTATTTATTATCAAATCAGGGATGTCATTTTTGTTTTACTCCCCTTATCTTGAAAAAGTTTGTGCGAAGAGCTGTTAAAGTTGCTCATGAAAAATATTTATTTGTAAAAAAAAAGTTGATTTTGCATCTGAAGAGTAAGAAATTTCAAGCTTTTGAAAACAAAAAGTTCAAAAGAAAAGAAATAAAATTTCTAAAAAACATTTTAGAGTAGGTTTAAAAATTAAAGTTTAAAGTTTTTGTTTAATTTTAAAGTTATCAAAATCAGAATTGAATTTGGCTTTTTATGAACGTATATAAACAATAAACAATAAACATCGTTAGGAATATTTTTAAAGAAACTTGACAAAATTTTTGTACACGATTAAGAAATTTCAATTCTACTTTTGGTTTAATCAAAATAGTTAAACAACATATTTAACAAAATAGTACATAACTTTATAAAAAATAAATTCAATATTCAAATAATCATAATTATCATTGAAAAATTTCCTTAGCATATCCCAGATCAATCAGTTTGTAAACCATCCTAGAAAAAGAAATGTGCATCAATAAAAAAATCGAAAAAATGTTAAGAAAACAAAATATAATATATGAAAAATTAATATGGGACTTTACTCTATATTGTACTTTATTTTTAAATAATATTACATAAAGTGCCCACTCCTAAAATAATATTAAAAATAAAGGACAAGTGCCTACCCCTAAAATAATATAGGAAAAGTAACCACCCGGCCCTAGATTAATATTAAAAATATAGGAAAAGTGCCTACCCCTAAAATCATATTCAAAATATCGAAAAAGTGCCTACCCCTAAAATAATATTCAAAATATAGAAAAAGTGCCTACCCCTAAAATAATATTCAAAATATAGGAAAAGTGCCTACCCCTAAAATAATATTCAAAATATAGGAAAAGTGCCTACCCCTAAAATAATATTCAAAATATAGGAAACGTACCCACCCCTAGTTTAATAATAAAAATATAGGAAAAGTGCCCCCCTAGATTAATATCAAAAATATTGGACAAGTGTCCACCCCTAGATTAATATTAAAAATATTGGACAAGTGTCCACCCCTAGATTAATATTAAAAATATTGGACAAGTGTCCACCCCTACCTTGTCTGCGTAGATTTCAGAACGACGTTCTCCGGTTTCAAATCTCGATGAATTATTCGTCTAAAAAAAAACAAATTATTACTTCGAAACATTCCAACATTTTGTCGCAGTAGAATAGAGAGGGGAGGGGAGGGGAGTGGGTGTTATGGAGGAAAGGGGTGTATATGGGGGGTGGGTGATGAGAGGGGCTCTCATGTGTGTTAGGGTTGTAGAGGGGAGGGCGGGGGAAAAAATGTCTTGTTTATAGAAAAAATGAATATGTAAATTAAAATGTAAATAAAAATACCTATTGTGAAGGTATCCAAGAGCGGAGGTAACATCATTCAGAACTGGTAATATTTGAGATTCAAGCAGACCTGAACATGACTATATTTATCATTCAGAACTGATAATATTTGAGATTCAAGTAGACCTGAACATGACTATATTTATCATTTAGAACTGATAATATTTGAGATTCAAGTAGACCTGAACACGACTATATTTATCATATAGAACTGATAATATTTGAGATTCAAGTCGACCTGAACATGACTATATTTACCATTTAGAACTGATAATATTTGAGATTCAATTAGACCTGAACACGACTATATTTATCATTTAGAACTGATAATATTTGAGATTCAAGTAGACCTGAACATGACTATATTTATCATTTAGAACTGATAATATTTGAGATTCAAGCAGACCTGAACACGACTATATTTATCATTCAGAACTGATAATTTTTAAGATTCAAGCAGACCTGAACATGACTATATTTATCATTCAGAACTGGTAATATTTGAGATTCAAGTAGACCTGAACATGACTATATTTATCATTTAGAACTGATAATATTTGAGATTCAAGTAGACCTGAACATGACAATATTTATCATTTAGAACTGATAATATTTGAGATTCAAGTAAACCTGAACACGACTATATCTATCATTTAGAACTGATAATATTTGAGATTCAAGCAGACCTGAACAATGAACATGACTATATTTATAAATTAAGTAAAACTGAACATGACTATATTTAAGCAGAGCTGAACAAGGCTATATTTATCATATAAGTAACCAATGAACATGACTATATTCAAGTAATCCTGAGCATATTTATTCTTAACCTTTTTTAATCTTATTATTATTATTATTATAGATTTATTTCGGTACAATGTCAATTCAATATGATAAGACAAAAACAAGAATAAAGTATAATATATAAATATAGTTTCTAGTCGGAACATAAAAAGTTGATCATGGTTGCGATCTCATTTTCAACAAAATTGTTTAGAACAAAATTATCATCTTTAACTTTGAGTATTTCATGATGAAAATGTAATTTCCATTCTTTGTCTAAAGGAATATGATTGTATATCATATTTTGTTTCACACAAAATTTGTTTAGATTTCTAGAATGTACATTACAATCTTGTGCAATAGATTCAAGATTTTTCCATAAAACAGTTCTTAAATCCTGTTTACTTAGATCTACTAAAAGTCGAATACATAGCTTATGAAAATTTGATAAATTGGTCACAAATTGTGCAAAACGAGTGCATAGAACTGTTTTAATATGAGGAACACTAGAAATGGGCTTAATGAAATATCTATGGGTTTCTCTTGGTACTGGTAGATCAAATAAAATACGAAAAGCAATGTTCATGTACTCTCTAAACCCTTCAAGCCTACCAAAACCAACAAAATAGTCCAAACATATACAAAAACATAAGAACTACAAACCCCTACAAAAACAAAAAAAAAACTTACAAAAACAAACATAACTTTTAAAACAAGCATAACTTTCAAAGATTCAAAAACCTTAGAAAACCTACAAAACCCTGAGTACCCTAAAAACGACAAAAAATACACAAAAATCTACATGATACATCAAAACAAACTACAAACTCATACAAAAACAAACAAACCCCTGACAAAAACAAACATAACTTTCAAAAGCAAACATAACTTTCAAAAACATTCAGAAACCTTAGAAACCCTTCAAAACCTTGAATACCCTAAAAACGACAAAAAATACACAAAGATCTACATGATACATCAAAACATTAGAAAACTCCAAAATCCTTGTTACCTCTGCAATTTTCTATTTTGTTGAGTAATCGTCTCAGGTCTCCGGATTCACAATATTCCATACACAAACTAACCAAGCAAACTAATTGTATACGAATAATGGAAATTCAGCTTTTTTAAGAACCGTGATTAAAGAAACGTCAACATTCAAAAAAAGCGAAATATACGATTCACAACGGTACCCTCGAGACCTTTGTCTAAGGAACGGTAATGAAGATAAGGCGACTCTTTAACTACTCTACAGAAGAGAGGAAGAGAAATATTTGCAGATCTGGTCAAATTTATTTCTAACGGAAACCCGACGATAATACACTTCCAATTCTAAGTGACCCTTTACTTACAAAAAAATAAAGCATGCCCGATAAACAACGGTACTGATCAATAATGTAAAAATAATGTCAGTTTTTTCTAGTTAAAAAGTATTTAATTCTGTTAATTTCTCCATTGTTTCTGAAGCAAGAAATGCACCTTTTTGTTGAGAACCCACAAGTGAAACAATCAGTTTTCAAAGACAAGAACATAAATAATTCATATAGACAAAGCTTCTAATGGTTCCGTTGTGAATCAGACGCGTAACTTAATATAAGGTCACTGGGAATTACGTTTACAGTCCTTTGAAATTACGTTAACAGTCCCTTGAAATTACGTTTACAGTCCCTTGAAATTACGTTTGCAGTCCCTTGAAATTAAGTTTACAGTCCCTTGAAATTACGTTTAAAGTCCCTTGAAATTCGTTTCCAGTCCCTTGAAATTACGGTTACAGTCCCTTGAAGTTACGGTTACAGTCCCTTGAAATTACGTTTACAGTCCCTTGAAATTACGTTTACATTCCCTTGAAATTACGTTTACAGTCCCTTGAAATTACGGTTACAGTCCCTTGAAATACCAATCCTTCGAATCTCTCATATCCCTATGATTAACCCCATGTGATGTCTATCTAACGTGAGTCAAAGATACGTCTAATGTCTGTGAAAAAAGAAGAATGTCTAGAGTTTATAAAATTGTTTCCTTGGTAGATCTGTAGAACCTGGGTCTAAACCAGGGGGTATACTGTAACATCGCACAACGTTCATATGATCTGAAATAAGTTTAAGTTTAATCTCATTTGAAATATTTTTTGATTAAATGATTTAAAATAATTATCTGAAATATCTTGAAATATTTTTTGTTTATATGATTTAAAATAATTTTAGGTTTCATCTTATTTGAAATATCTTTCTATTTATATGATCTAAAATATTTTTCTCTTTATCTTATCCAAAATATGTTCTGCTCATCTGATCCAAAATATTTTCTGCTCATCTGATCTAACATATTTTTATTCATCTGATCTAAAATATTTTCTGTTCATCTGATCCAACATATTTTCTGTTCATCTAATCTAACATATTTTTATTCATTTGATCTAAAATATTTTCTGCTCATCTAATCTAACATATTTTTATTCATTTGATCTAAAATATTTTCTGTTCATCTAATCTAACATATTTTTATTCATCTGATCTAAAATATTTTCTGTTCATCTGATCCAAAATATTTTCTGTTCATCTAATCTAACATATTTTTATTCATCTGATCTAAAATATTTTCTGTTCATCTGATCTAACATATTTTTATTCATCTGATCTAAAATATTTTCTGTTCATCTGATCTAACATATTTTTATTCATCTGATCAAAAATATTTTCTGTTCATCTGATCTAACATATTTTTATTCATTTGATCTAAAATATGTTCTGCTCATCTAATCTAACATATTTTTATTCATTTGATCTAAAATTTGTTCTACTCATCTAATCTAACATATTTTTATTCATTTGTTCTAAAATATGTTCTGCTCATCTAATCTAACATATTTTTATTCATTTGATCTAAAATATTTTCTGCTCATCTGATCTAACATATTTTTATTCATCTGATCTAAACTATTCTCAGTTTCATATGATATAAACGCGATTGTGTTCTAAGTCCATCTGATCTAAAATATGTTTATGTTCTTCTTATCTAAAATATGTTTATGTTCGTCTGATCTAAAATATGTTTATGTTCGTCTTATCTAAAATATGTTTATGTTCGTCTTTTCTAAAATGTGTTTCTGTTCGTCTTATCAAAAATATGTTTCTTTTCGTCATATCTAAATAATGTTTCTGTTCGTCTGATCTAAAATGTGTTTCTGTTCGTCATATCGAAATAATGTTTCTGTTCGTCTGATCTAAAATGTGTTTCTGTTCGTCTAATCTAAAGCGTGTTTCGGTTCGTCTGGTCTAAATTCATTTTATGCTCATATCATCTAAATTTTATTTATATTAATCTGATCTAAATTATGATTCTGTTCATCTCATTAAAATTGTGTTTCTGTTCATCTGATCTAAAATATTTTTCGCAAAATTCCCCTACTTTTCAGTTTGATATTGACGAGGATTCGTTAAAATGACACTCAATAAGAAAGAATGTGTTGATAACTTCTTGTAGGTCGGTTCCGGAGACTTGTATTGAAACTCACCTAATCTCAGCATTATGTCAACCTCCTGGCACCATTGTGTTTTGTGCCTGCACTCCTTGTCTATATTTAATATGTTAAAACAACTATCAAGAAGCTAAATCTAAACAAATCAAAAAGAAATAAGTCTCTCAGTCTGAGCCGTAAATATAAAAATAAAATAAAAAACTATCAGAAACTAAATTTAAACAAATAAAATTTGTTAAAAAGGAAAATTAAAACTCTGAAACTTTAATGCAAATGTAAATCAATAAGAATCATGAAAAATCGCACTTTTTAATTTTTTAATCTTATGTTTAGAACAATTACCAAATCCCATTAGTAAATATTTAAAAAAAAATTTTTTTTGCTATTTTTAATGTTTTTGTACAAATCCTAGAAAATCTCTCACCCCCCCCCTTTTCCTCCATAGCACAGATCCATTAAAAAGTAAACCCCCTCAATATGAAACTAGTTTAGACAAGGGTTCCTGGCGGTAAGAAGAGTTTCCGAACCGAACTTAAATTTCTTTAAAGCATATTTCTAGAAAATATATATGTCAACTCTAGCAAACCAAGGGTTAAATGAAATGTGAAGATAAAAATGAATGAATGAATAAAATGATAAATAATGTATCAATTCAAGAAAAAAAGGATGAAAGGATGAAAGAATGAAAGAATGAAAGACTAATCGGAGGGAAGGATGAAAGGAAGTATGAAATGAAATATGAATGGAAGGATGAAAGAAAAAATGAATAAAAGGATAGATGAAAGAATGAATAAATGAAACAATAAGTGAAATGAAGGAAAAATGGAAGGATGAAAGAAAGAATGAATAAAAGGATAGATGAGAGAATGAATAAATGAAAAATGGAAGGATGAAAGGATAAATGGAAGAATAAAAGAAAGATGAAGGAATGAATGACAGAATAAATGAATCGATAGTAGGATGAATGAATTAATGAAGATTAAAGAATGCATGAATGGAGTTGATATATCCCTGATTAGTAAGAATATTTCTCCAGACATGAACTATACCGAATCCCCCAGATCCAAGCTGGTTCTCACAAACCCACTCCGTAGACATTTTATCTAGAAAATATTTAATTTTAATAAAATTTTTATTGACATTTTAACTTCAAAATGGTGGATATTTTTACATCTTAAACTTAACACTTAATTGCGATCATTTTGTTGAACATTTTATTTCATATTGAGACTTTAAAAACTTTAAAATTTACTTTTAGTAGACTTAGTAGGCTTCATAATCCCAATAAAAAAAATATTTAGCTCTAAAATAGTAAATATTTCTCTAAAATGATTCTAGAAAAAAAATGTCGACTATAAACATTTAAAATCATTCCTCGCAATCATTTTCACCAAAAAATATTCACTTTATCAACATACTTATTTCAATACATTTATAGCTTACCGCCAGCATTTTAAAATGTGTTTTTAATCCCAAGATAACAATATAAAATAAGATCGTTAAATAAAATTAATTGAATAGTTTTAAGTCGAATAGTAGTAAATGCATAATATCTAAATATAAAAAATCCATTATCAAATTATCAAACCTATTTAAACATAAATTTTAGAAATACAAACAATAAAAATCTTCAAGCTAATATCTTTAAAGAAAAGTTTAAAATCACAAAAAAATTTGCTAATTTAAGCTTCATTTCTTAATATACTTCTGAGTTGTAATCCATTTAAACTTTTGGCAGCTCCTTAAATCTAGATGACTAGTTCTAACAGTGTTTACGTACGGCAGTAAATGTTCAACATGATGAACAATGTACATTGTACAGTGGGACCCATAAAAATAGGAATAAGTTAGACGACTGTTACACTCAAGTTATGATTTTAAATTGTCCAATAAACAAAAGTTGATTTTCAAACCAACTAGTAAAATTATCTGTTTTTAACAACATCGAATACACAGACACATAAGATGACTTGAAAGTCGTCTTCTTAATCCCCGGTTTTATGGGTATACCTGTACCCTTAAGTTAACAGTGACAGCTGCATTTTACATCAAAATCGCATATATACTAAATAGTTAAACTAAATATCTAAATACAATAACTTCAGCGACTTTTTTTACCATAAAAAAGTAATACTTAAAGTTCCAAGTAGAAAACCCGAGATTTTAGGGAGCAGTGTGATTAATCTATTACAAAAAGAGATAATAAAATTTAGAGCTTTGCGTCGACAACTCCCTCATCCTGTCGATCTAATACATGAAGAGCTCAGGGAAGAACTCCTCGAACTGGTTCTTCTTCCCCTTCGTGATGTCCACGGTGTCGTGGCTGATCTCCGTGTAAGAGTGCCGGCCGAACACTTCATTCACACACTGCTGAAGGTTCCCACTAGACAAATAATGATAATACATAAATGTAGGGCGTATGACTTGAAACCTATTATAGATTTCTTCAATAATCCCCCCCCCCCCCCACCAACTTCAAGGACACTGGAAAGTGGGGGAGGTGGATTACAGGAACCCTCTCTGAGACATGTTAACCTTAATTATCATTTTTTACCTTAAATTCAATCCAAGTGTTTTTATCAATTTTAAGTTGAAAATTTAAGTTCCGTGGTCGATTTTGAAATTTTAGAGTTTTATATTTACAGAAAGTAAAACTTACTAGTACACTACAACCCAACATTAAAGAAGGGGGGGGGGGTGAAATCCACCAATTTTATTTATTCCCCAACATGTTAGATTACCTGGGTTTGTTGGCAGCGGTCATCTCACAGAGTTCCTTGAAGCTGGCGGTCAGATATTTCTCACGGAGAAGACGTCTGAGTAGGTTAATAATAATAAAGATATTTAATAATAATAATATTAAAAAGAATGATTTCAATATCAATTAAGCTGATGAAGGATGAGACTGAGAAGGATGATTTAATTTAGTTCGGAAAAACCCTGTGTCATCGAAAAGTTTATGCTGATCACAACCTTCGCCTCTCTCTTTCAGAAATGCGTCATTTTTGTTGTTTTTGTGAAACATTCTTACGAATAAAAATGATTTTTGTGCAATTTTGTACATTTTTATTGAAAATTTACCCTTTCTATAAAAGGGAGCGATCACGAATTTTAAGTCAATATTCTCTTATGATTATGGGGGGGGGGAAGTACCTATTTCTCTCCTCAGTATCTCTATCTCTAGCACTTGGTTCCTGAAGAGCTTTCTTCATCGCGAAAAATGAAACCTAAAACATTATTTAAAATAAATGTTTGCTAAAAATTGGGCTTGATACACAAAAAAGATACATCAAGGCCAAGCCCTCAAAAAAATAACCGCCTAAGGAAGGAAATTGATATCACAATTGACAATGACACAAGTTTACAGTGTTACAACATTTACAAATGACTGGACACCACTGTCCAGTGTCCAGTAAACATTTATTCTATTTTTTCTACATTTTTAATGTCATTTCAATTTAAATTTCTTTATTTTATCATTTCAAGTTCAAAATAAGCAACATTATAAGGTCGACATTATAGTGGCATTCTTTCATTGCTTCTTATAAAAAGTGTTGATATTATCTCTCACCTCTGTATTCGGTGGTTTTCTTATAATACCCGGACTAGAAGCAGCGCTGTCAACCTTAAAAAAAATAACTTAAAAACTTAATTAATGAGCGCCTCTTTTTCCTGTACTAGTCTTTCTTTTCATAAATCATTTAAAAGTTACAATTATTCTGTTATAATTGTAAATTTTCGACAATTTTCCTCTAAGGGTTGTAAATTTTCGACAATTCTCAATCCTAGCCGGCAAAAAACGCCCAGTGAAACAAGTTTTCGATCCGAGAAAAAAATAGTTTTAGCTTTTTCAACATTTAATAGGAAACTTTCCATCAACACACAACGGTGAGAAATTTGTTTTTATTTTGATCAGAGTATTTCAAGACTTAAGTACATGCATACGTACAATTGTACATCAAACTTGAACAAATAATTTGCAATATGCTTAAAATAATTTGCAATATGCTTGAAATAATTTACAATATGCTTAAAATAATTTGCAATAAAACGTGTTCTTCCACCAAAAGTTGTAAATGATTTGATAACAAATCCTATTTGTTTTGCTGAATTAAAGATATAAAATATTCCAATAAAATTGAATCTATTTAATGAAATATATAAGATCACCTCGACATTTACAGAGTTTACTGAGACACTGGAGGGTCGTCGATTATGCATATTCACATTCTCCATCCAGGAGTTTCTAAAAAAAATTTATTATTTCAATTTCATTTAACGAGTGTTAATAAGGGCGACCCCTTGTTAAATGAAAATTTGAATTCTAAAATTAATAATGGTTTCTCTACGGAGTAACCAGCGAATTTATGTAGCAAACAATTGACAGAATTTATCTCTTTTCAAAATAGGAAAAACTACGATAAATTCTAAATTGTTGGTGAGACAAAGGATTAAAAGTTGCCCCATTGTGATTTGATTATTGAACCCGAAATCAAATTCACAAATTCAGTCCTTACAAGGAAATTTATCTTTTCAATGGCAAGTATTTTTTTAGTCTTTTTAATGAAACAATCGAACCCAAATCAAACAAATAAACACAAATAGACAACCAAACCAAATGAATAATAAAAAACGAACAAACAAACAAATGAAGGTTATTCTTCAAAACTATCTTTCTTTGTTTCTTTCTTCTACAATATAGTGAACATTGAACAAACCAACAAATTAAAAAAAAACTTCACCCAATCAAACAAATTAACAAATGAAAAAATAAAATAGTGGACGAGATTTTTGGCTGATAATAAACCTTACTATTAAAACAATCTAAAATAGACGAACATCTATTCAAACGAATAAACAAAAAGAAACTTCACCCAATCAAACAAATTAACAAATGAAAAAACAAAATAGTGGACGAGATTTTTGGCTGATAATAAACCTTACTATTAAAACAATGTAAAATAGACGAACATCTATTCAAACGAATAAACAAAAAGAAACTTCACCCAATCAAACAAATTAACAAGTGAAAAAATAAAATATTGAATGAGATTTTTGGCTGATAATAAACCTTACTATTAAAACAATCTAAAATAGACGAACATCTATTTAAACGAATAAACAAAAAGAAACTAAACCCAATCAAACAAATAAACAAATGAAAAAACATGTAGTAGATAAATGATATTTTCATTTATTTCTTCTTTCTACTAAAATAAAAAAATCTTGTAAATTTTTTTTTTTTAATTAGAAACACAAAACAAATGAATAAACATCCAATCTACAAATAATGTTTATACTTAAAACCTCCTTTTATATTTCTTCTACAAACAAAACAAAAACAAATAAACAAACAAACAATAAAAATAAACAAAAAAACAATAAAAACAAACAAAAAAACAATAAAACAAATAAACAAACAAACGATAAAAACAAACAAACAAACAATAAAACAAATAAACAAACAAACAATTAAAATAAACAAACAAACAATTAAAACTATCAAACAAACAATAAAAATGCCAACCTTGGAGAATGCCTAGGCGAATTCTGTCTTGAGTTGCGTACACTTGGAGTTCTGCTCCCAACCTGTACATTGCAAATAGAATCTAGTACAATAGATGGCAACACCCTCAGTACATCTGTATTCTGACGTCACAAGTGTCAATTCAGTTTTTGTGTCCGACAAAATTATTAATTATAGTGATAAATTTGGAATAAAGTGCTTATCTTACAGTAAAATAAGTTTAATTTTATGTGTTCTTTGTTTTCTGTTTTTACACTTTTTTATTAAACCATGGAAAACATGTCAACTGACGTGAGAAAATTTCGCTTCCCTTGTTATATTTGACACTTGTGATGTCGTGTATAATTGGTTCATTTCTCTGCTGCCACCTATTGTAATTGATAATCTATCTGGTACATTGTACAATTACATTTTAAAATCAAGAAAACCACAAATAAAAAGTAGTAAAGTTCTGAGCGAGGGATTTTACAATTCAGGAAAAATTTATCTCTTGACGAAGCTGCCATTTTCGGATCTAATTTTGAACGTGAGAGTCAACGCTAGGCGGGATTCGTGGCATGCAGGCCTGAAGGTAAAACTTCTGTAAAGAAATGGCTTAAATTTTGAATCGTTAAAACTTGTCCTTTCCTAGCACCAAACTAAACTTTAATCGCCGAAGGAGAAATAAACCGTTTATCGCTAAACTCACAGGTTTAAAACAGTTTTGCCATTTGGAATAAATTCGGGATCATTAAACAGTGAAACTTTTAAATTAGACTTTTAAAAATTCTATTTTCTTAACAGTATGTATTTTAATCAGTGAATAAAGATTATTGGGATCATCTAAACATATAATGTAGTAATCTCTCTTTGTTTGTTTGTAGGTCCATAACAAATCATAACTCAGGAACCCCTGGATAAATTCGAATCAATTGGGGGGGGGGAACTCTGTAGAACCACAAAAATGTTCTTAGTTTGGTTTTAAAAATCTAAATTGAGTGTATTGACCTTTAAAGAGAAAAATTAGGTTCTAGACAATGCTTGGTTCCGAAGCTAGTTTCTCATATTGACGTACCTTGTCTATATATCTTCCCTCTTGTCTTAGACAATTCCTCACAACTTCAAGATCAATAAGAACCTAAAGAAGTAGTTTTAAAGGGACTGTACGCTTAATTTTTAGTGCCCTCCATGCAAAGATGACAATGCCTGATTCATAACGGTTCTATTAAAACCTTTTCAAATTAATAATATGGAAGATATTGTCCAGAACCATGAGTGTTTATTTCTAATCTTAAATCATATGTTTTCCTGCAGTAGAAATGCACAAATACCCAGAATTAAAAAAACAAGAATTTGAGCCGCGGCTTAAATTTGAGACGCGGCTCAAATATGGTTGTATCCACTTAAAATTGCGTTCAATGTGCCAAGATTTAAGCTGGCGCTTAATTAAAACCGTTTATGGCTGATTTGAGACGGGGCTCAACTTCATTACATTCTTGTTTTCAAAATTATAAACATTTAAGTCTTATTCATACTTTATCAAACAAAGCTTTTAATGGTACCGTTCTGAAACTGGCGTTGCCATCTTTGCATGGAGGGTCACTTGAAATTAGACTTACAGTCTCATTTAATAAGTTCATGTATATTAAAAAACATATCTTTTTTATGATATGAAGCTACCTGCTCTGGTATAAAGCTGTACCTGCTCTGGTGTACTGCTAGTCTCCGCATCAGGGGTATATTCCTCCTCCAGGGGGGGTAGGAGGTGGGGGGCTATGCTTCGTCTTATAGATACCTAGATATATAGATTGTATATAGATAGATACATAAATAGATAATCAGGAGTATATTCCTCTTTTTAAGGGGGGTAGGAGGTGGGGGGCTATACTTCGTCTTATAGATACCTAGATATATAGATTGTATATAGATAGATACATGAATAGATAATCAGGAGTATATTCCTCTTTTTAAGGGGGGTAGGAGGTGGGGGGCTATACTTCGTCTTATAGATACCAAGATATATAGATTGTATATAGATAGATACATGAATATATAATCAGGAGTATATTCCTCTTTTTAAGGGGGGTAGGAGGGTGGGGGGCTATACTTCGTCTTATAGATACCTAGATATATAGATTGTATGTAGATAGATACATGGATAGATAAGCAGGAGTATATTCTTCTTTTTAAGGGGGGTAGGAGGGTGGGGGGCTATACTTCGTCTTATAGATACCCAGAGATAGGCAGGTAGGTAAAAATAGAGATATAGATAGATAGATATACGAATATCTTGTTTTATTATAAAGATGATAATAATAATAATAAGAAAATTACCAATCTATCCTTGTATTCTGTTAGATCTGAACTCTTTACCACAAACCCAATCATTGCAAGCAAAGACACACAGATAGAATGCAGGGCAATTCTAAACATGAATAATGTTGGGCAATTCTAAACATGAATACTGTTGGACAATTCTAAACATGAATACTGTTGGACAATTCTAAACATAAATAATGTTGGGCAATTCTAAACATAAATACTGTTGGGCAATTCTAAACATAAATACTGTTGGACAATTCTAAACATAATACTGTTGGACAATTCTAAACATGAGTACTGTTGGACAATTCTAAACATGAATACTGTTGGACAATTCTAAACATGAATACTGTTGGACGATTCTAAACATAAATAATGTTGGGCAATTATAAACATGAATAATGTTGGGCAATTCTAAACATGAATACTGTTGGACAATTCTAAACATAATACTGTTGGACAATTCTAAACCGACAATTCTAAACATAAATACTGTTGGACAATTCTAAACATGAATACTGTTGGACAATTCTAAACATAAATACTGTTGGACAATTCTAAACATGAATACTGTTGGACAATTCTAAACATAAATACTGTTGGACAATTATAAACATGAATACTGTTGGACAATTCTAAACATAAATACTGTTGGACAATTATAAACATGAATAATGTTGGGCAATTCTAAACATGAATACTGTTGGGCAATTCTAAACATGAAACATGTTGGGCAATTCTGAACACATAAATAATGTTGGGCATTTTATTAATGTAAAAAAGTGGGGCAATTCTGAATATAAATAATGCTGTAATTCGTAATAGAGAAAATGCTGGGCAATTTTTAACATAAAGTTGGGCATTTCTTGACATAAATAATATTCGGCAAAACTTTACATAAAAAATTTCACGGATAAATAATTCCAGGTCTAAACATTCAGCGGGAACATTTTTACGTCCGAATTACTTGACACTTCTTAGCTTTGAAATTTAGGGCAATGGCAATACTGAACATTTAGCGATGTGAATTGTGGGGCTATCCTGAATATAACATTACTGGGACTGTTCTGGACAAAACATATGTATGGTAATTATGCAAATGATAAAATGTAAAACATTTTGATATGAATTTCAATTCTGTTCAGTGCAGGTTCAGAAATGCACAACAATAAGAACATTTAAAAATGAGGCCAGTTCTGAACATTGAACATTATGAAGTCAACAATAAGGAAGATGTTGTGGTTTTCTATCTTAAATACGATGAATACAGTACTTTCATATTCCTCCATATTTCCTATCATAAATCCGCAAGCAACTTCCATTGCCCACAGTTGAAAACATATAAAATTTCATCTTTTATAAATGGAGAGTCAGTTGAAATTACGTCTATAGTCTCTTTAATTTTTCAGAGAACTACCGAACTACCTGTTAGCATTGTTCAATCTAATATTCTTGGTGCTCATCGCTAAATCTTGAATATCTCTAAAATAAAAAAAAATTATTTTTTAATCGATTAAGCGAAATGCTGATTTAAAAAAAAGATAAAAACCACTAACCAACCCACCCACCATCAAACCACCTAATTCACCCACCAACCCTCCAACCAAGCAATTGATACGGATCCGGATCCGACCAAATGATACGGATCCGACCAAATGATACGGATCCGACCGGATCCGGATCCGAAACACTGCAACTAACAACCAATCAACCCAGGGTTTCATCTAGGATCAATTTGAGTGATTTTTTGTTACCCGAAAACAGGGTCAAAAATATAAAGAATGTCACAAAAAAAACTTTTAATGCCTAAATAAAAGCCACAAATGATATCTAACGCTTCAGATCTCTCAAAATGAATAAAATATGCAACAAATTATGTCTTGCCACATCAAATCTGCCGCACTTGACATCACAGCTCAGAGAAAAGTTCACAAAAAGTATTTAAATTATAAATAAGGAAATTATCTCTCAAAAATTGTAAAAAAAAAAAACTGCCACAAAACGAAAATCTGCCTTATAAGTGAAGCACTACACCCGCAACAAAATTCCTAGATGAAACCCTGAATCAACCCCCATTCAACAAACAACCAACAACCCCGATTTAACTAACTCCCATTTAACTAACAACCAACCAACCAACCCTCATTCAACTAACAACCAACCAACCCTCATTAAACTAACAACCAACAACCCCGATTTAACTAACTCCCTTTTAACTAACAACCAACCACCCCTTTTAACTAACAACTAACCAACCCCCTTTTAACTAACAACCCCAACCCACCCAACCAACCAACCACCCCACAACCACCCAACCACTCACCCACCCACCAACCGACCGACCAACCAACCTGATGAGATCTATCTGAAATCCAATATTCTCGTCACTATTGCACTCAAGTAGAAGGAGGGAACATGTTGTCCAAATATGTTGATGGAACTCGCAACTAAACACATGCTCAGTCAGTTCAAAGGGTGGTCGAAAGACACAACCATCTTATCCGTTTAACCATTTCTTATCTCCTGTGTGCTTTCCAGTTAAATAAAATAAAATTCTGTAAGCGTAATTTCAAGTGATCCTCTATGCAAAGATGGCAATGCCCGCTTTACAACGGTACACTAGAACCCTGTATCTGATTTATGATTTTGTCGTTTTTCTAGGTTTGAAAGTGATTAATTCTGATGATGATCCTATATGTTTTCCTACAGTAGAAATTCGCAAGTCACTTTTGTATAGAAACCAAAATTGAAAATAATCGGTTTTCAAAACTATAACATTGATACAAAATTCATACTTGATAAGACAAAGCTCTTAAGGGTACTGTTGTGAATCGTGCATTGCCATCCTTATATAGAGGGTCATTTGAAATTACGCTTTGAGTCCCTTTCAGTATGAAAGTTTACGCTGTGGATATTAAGGTCAGTTGCAGTACTTTAACAACCATAAGTTATAGCCTCAGGTCAAAGAAAAAGATAGACACTCAGCCAATTCATCTCACGAAACCTCGATTCCAAGAGGAAGTGGGGTTCATACAGTACACTGTACACATACTGCTGGGTCTGCAGGGTTTTTTTTAAACTTCGATTTTGGTATATATTTAGATCATATATTTAGTAGGCATTTTGTCGACGTGCACATCAATACTAATTAATCTGGGAGATAGATAGACATTTTCCCCTAAAATGTAAACAAAAAATAAGAAAGTTTAAACAAAGGAAGCACTGGAGAAGTAACTTCTTTTTAAGAAAACGTACACAAACAACCCCAGTTTTTCTAAAAATTTTACCCAGCTTGCCTGCTGTACTCAGTACACTGAACCTAATCAATATCTACTCTGCGCCTCAGGGTCAATAAATATTTGATTTTGTCTATTTTTTTTTAAATTTCTAGTAAAACTATTTTACATAAATGGATAAATTCAGTGCATAAATTCAGTGAATAGCATTCCTAAAATCTGGGGGAAATAAAGATTTTATAAGAGGGTCAAGGGAAAAAATTATTTTTCAAGAAAATACATATCCCTGTTTAAGAAGAATGAGTCCTACTACCTGTTTGATTCCTCCCTGAGAACCTTGAGGAACTCAGAGTAGAGCCTCTCACCATACTTCATGAAGAATATATTGTCCTAAATATAATAAGTCAAATATTGATCAGATATTTTGGTGATCAATTGAATAAATAGGTCAATAGATCAATTTTTGTAGTGATAATTTGATTGATCAAATATTGTAATGATCGTGATCAATCAATCAGTTTTTAGTGATCAATTGGTTAAATATTGTGATGTTCAAATAATTAAACATTGTGGAAATTTCTAGTCTGGAATCTATCATTTAATCACAATATTGGTTTACAGTTAACAACCAATAGAATCTTTTTGTAATTCAATCAGAGACCAAAAAAATAAATTAAATCAAAGTGAATCAACGTTAAATACCTGTTTGTTGAAATTTGGTTTTTGTATAACAAGATCCGTTCTAGGTTCCAAGGTTACAGTGTTCAATCTATCTAGGTTTCCTTTCCTATAACATATAGTTTCTAGGTTTCCTTTCCTGTAATATATAATTTCTAGGTTTCCTTTTCTATAACAAATAGTTTTTAGGTTTCTTTTCCTTTAATATATAATTTCTAGGTGTCCTTTCCTGTAATATATAGTTTTTAGGTTTCCTTTCCTATAATATATATTTTCTAGGTTTCCTTTCGTGCAATATATAATTTCTAGGTTTCCTTTCCATTCCTTTCCAATATATACATTATAAAATTAATAGGTTTCCCTTCTTATCAATTACAGTTTCTAGGTTTCCATTATTTTAATACATAGTTTGTAGGTTTCCTTTCTTGTAATATGTAGTTTCTAGGTTTCCTTTCCTAAAGGTCAGCCAAAACTTGAATGACGGTAACTCTAAGGCGAGGCATGGCTCAAATTTGGTCGTGTGAACTTCACAATTTATTTAATGTTAATAAATTAAAAAGAAGTCCGGACTGAATGGACTTGATCCTCTAAACCACTACTGGAGTCTAATGTCATTCCTACCCCATGTCATTTGATTTGATTTAATATACATTAGGGTTGGTTTATTTTGGAACCAAGCTTACCAGCGCCTAAATATTCTCAGAACTTCGCAAAAAAAAAATGATCAAAAATTTTGAAAAAAAGTCACAAGACCAAAAAAAATATTTTCAAAATATATCGATATGGGTATCAAAAGATACGTCTCATGTCCACGTTTTAGTTATTTGATATAAATTAAACTATTGATTTATGGCCAAAAAACGAGTTTTTACGGGACTCTGCCAAATTTTCAATGCTAAAAACCTTGTATTTAATTGGTTTATTAATTAACAAATCCATTTGAAATCAACCTTTCAGAATTCAGTGTTTGAAGGCGGATCTGTTGATTGACATATTTTTCCGGTCTTACTCGTTAATTTTTTATCTAATTTTTTGCAAAAATGGCCGCATGAAAACTTTATGTGCGTAATAAAAATCTGAAAAAAGTACGTAACTCGACCAACCCAAATATACATACATTTAGTCTACTATTCTACCTGTCTACTAGTGTATGGAAGATCTGAAGAACTAGTAGACGAACATCAGGTTCAGGAGATCTCAGCATATTCAACAAATGACCTAAATATAAAATCAAATTTATGAATATTAATAATTTTCAAAAATCAGTTTATTGCTAAAAAACTTTGCACATTTATTCCATAACAATTTTGGTTTTAGAACGGGTAACATCTGAAAGAGAATGTTGAAAAAAGTTTATACGAGTACTGAGCTCGCGATTTAAAAACTTCGACTCGAGTCGTAATTCCTTAAACCCGACTTTTAGACCCAATCTTCGACCCAGCTTGTGTCACGTGATTGACAGCTGCAAGATCTTCGGCTCGACTTGACGAGTTAGGCCCAATAAAAATAAAACCGACCTTGGTTGGTTTTAGTAGAGAATAAGGCTCAATGTTGAGTCTTATTCTCTTAAAAACTGGGAATGCGCCAATTCCTACCATGAAAATCCACCAAACAGAATATTAAACCGGTTTTTGAACTCAACTCTGTTGAAAATATGATGCAGCTTGAATCCGAAAGCTCAAGCCGTAAATAAGGCCAAATGACCCGACCCGAGCCGTATTTTCCCGAATTTTTTTTAATCGCCGGCTCTGGTGGATGAATAATAATCAAATACTAACCTAGAAACTGAGGAGGGAATGTTGTTGTAAACTGTATTGGTGTATATTTATCTCCAACTGTCAGTAGAGCCTACACTCAACACGTTTATTTTTATCAGGGGCATCACGTTCCAACACTTTATTAATATAATTTAAACCATGGATCAATAAATCGCACGATGAATCAATGAAACGATGTTAGGTTTTTTCCCAAAGGATTTCTCCCAAGTGACAACTTCCCAAAGTTATTTTCCCAAGTAGCAACTTCCCAAATGTACAATTTCCTAAGCAGCACCTTCCCAAATCTGACCTAGCCGCAGCGCTCGGCCCCCTTGCTCATCCTAGCCACAGCGCTCGGCCCCCATTGTAACATTAGACAAACAAAAAACAGTGATAGTCAGAACAAGAGCATAAAACTTATTTGCAACCTTTCATAATGTTAACTGTTCCAACTTCAAATAATCGGATTTATTTTTTAATATAATTTCTTGGAACCTCACAAATATGATAAATTAATCTTAATGTGTATGAATTGAATGCCCCACATTAGATTGTGTATAAATGCCCCATATAAGATTTTCTGCAAATGCCCTGTGTAATTATAAACGCCGTTCCTTGAGCATTGTGTGCTGAAGCTCTGATTCTACGTCAGCTGATCTGGGATCCGTCTGCTCCAAGTTCACACGTGGTGGAACTTTACCCAAGATAAAAATCATGATCTCAATAATCTAGAAAAAGAAATCTTATTTTAATCTTTTAATAATGTTGTATAACATAATCATTTGAGGAATTAAGGCAGCAAGACTACCAAACTACCTGGAAATTAGGAAGACTGCTACTATATTCTCCAAAAGCAGTTAGAACTATCATGTTATATCTGCCTAACTACCTGGAAATTAGGAAGACTGCTACTATATTCTCCTAAAGCAGTAAGGACTATCATGTTATATCTGCCTAACTACCTGGAAATTAGGAAGACTGCTACTATATTCTCCAAAAGCAGTTAGAACTATCATGTTATATCTGCCTAAATACCTGGAAATAAGGAAGACTGCTACTATATTCTCCTAAACCAGTTAGGACTATAATGTTATATCTGCCAAACTACCTGGAAATTAGGAAGACTGCTACTATATTCTCCTAAAGCATTTAGAATTGCTTCATTATATCTCCTGCAGTCTGGGTCAGCCTCCAATCTGCTACTCATATTCTCAACACTTGATCTATAATAACAATAACAATAACAACAATAACATCAATAACATGATTTTTTTTAAATAATAGCAACACAGCTAATAACAACAAAAAAACCAAAAACGATAACAATATTAAATAACAAAAGGCACAACAATAACAATAAAATCACAATACCAATATAAATAACAACATATCATTGTCGATTTTCTTATATTGTTAAGACTAATTACTAAACTTTGATATGATTCCTGTTAGATTAATCTAATGAAGTGAAAAACTTATTTAGTATTAGAAAATGAAAAACAACACTTCTTAAAACTTTCCAGGAAGATGTGGAACTCACCCAAGTAGTGCGTATAATGATCAAAATGAACGATAAAAATGTTTTGTATTTAGCTTGAGTTGATAATTTATTCAAATACAGTAATATATATAGAGGAATGTTAAATGTTTGAAAATCCTGAAAACCCGGAAACCCCGGTTTTTTGTCAACAATTAAAAGAAGAAGATATACAATGCATAAATGCTTGAAAGCAGCAGAGTCATAAAAATTCAAATTGACTCCCCATTCAGAAATATTAAGACTTATACGATACAATACAATACAATACAATAAAACACAATAAACGCACAAAATTACAGCTATACAATAAAATAATCTATACTTCAACAATTTACCCTAGCGTTAAGCACCAAAATGTTTCACTACAATATCGTTCTTCGGAAAAATTTGTTTAAAAGAGAAATAATCATTGACTTACCTAAGATGGGTTAAAAGAGCGTTGATAGTTTCCAGAACAGATGGTCCCACACTGGCATCAATAGCTCGGGAGGTAAATATATCAGATAGTACAGTAGCTATACCACATTTAACCTACACAAAGATTGATAGATAATGTTGTAAATATATCTATTAGTCAATTTATTAGTCAATTTATTAGTCAATTTATTAGTCAATTTATTAGTCAATTTATTAGTCACTTCATTAGTCAATTTATCAGTCAATTTATTAGTCAATTTATTAGTCAATTTATTAGTCAAATTATTAGTCAATTTATCAGTAAATTTATTAGTCAATTTATTAGTCAATTTATTAGTCCCTTTATAAGTCAATTTATCAGTCAAATTATTAGTCAATTTATTAGTCCTTTTATTAGTCAATTTATTAGTCAATTTATTAGTCAATTTATTAGTAAATTTATTAGTCAATTTATTAGTAAATTTATTAGTCAATAATAATAAGTCCCTTTATAAGTCAATTTATCAGTCAAATTATTAGTCAATTTATTAGTCACTTTATTAGTCAATTTATTAGTCAATTTATTATTCCCTTTATTAGTCACTTCCTAAGTCAATTTATCAGTCAATTTATTAGGCAAGTCAATCAATCAATCAATCAATCAATCAATCGTAAATCAATCAATCAATTTATTAGTCAATAAATAAATAAATTTATCAATCATTTATCAGCTAATCAATCAATTAGTCAACCAATCAATCAATTAAACAACCCGTCCAGCAAACGTTACATTCAATTAATGAACACCGACGAAATATCACACAAAACCTCTAACCAATTTATCTACCCAACAACTAACCCAATATGCCCACAAACCTGTGCAATACTGAACACAATAATTTGGAACACGTGTTCAGCAAAGTCCGCAGGTGTCCACATTCGATGGAGGTCCAAGTGTCCCAATACCGGTTTTAAGACTTGTCTATCAAAAAATAAAATATCTAAATTTTAATGGCAAGGATGACAATTTAAAATTTGGTGATGGTGATGGACCAAACCTCTGTAGAGTAAAAAAAGTAGATCTCAGAAAGGATGAAGGTGGAGGTTGGGGGGGGGGGGGTTAAAATCTTCCTATGAGACATCAGTTTGTAGGATTTAAAGCCAATACCTGACACTGGTGAAGGAAGCTTTACCAAGCAGCTTCCTTAAAGTATCCTCAGCTATTCTAGAAAAAAACTCTTTTTAAACTTTCCAAGCAGTAAAATTTAAGAAATTAAAACATTTTATATTATTGACCTGGGAAAAAACTGAAAAAATTGGCCTCAAATCGAAAGTTTTTAATGTGCCCAAAAGTTTAATTCATTTTCCCTCAAGTCATTTATTTTCCACAATTCATCGAATAAAACCTTTAAAGAAATTTTAAAAACCTAGTTTTCAAAGGGGGGGATGATTTTTCGAGAAAATTTAAACCCCTAAAAAATACACATAGAACATGGAAAAAATCTTTAGAATAAAAATGTTTTGATATTAACCTGAGAGGAGAAAGTGTCTCCTGGCCTGAAATAGCTCCAAGATCAGGAGTCTGGCTCCGACCAAGCCCAGCCTAAAAGATTGATTGATATAACATAAGCTCTAAAACATCGATTTTAGATAAAAAAAATATAAATAGATTACTAGATAGATGGATAGATTAGATAGATATATTCTGAAACTAGGTTAAGATCTAAACCCCACTCTGACTTAGAAATCCTAAATCTAAAGTTGAAATCCCAAATGTAAAGTTGAAATCCCAAATGTGAGGGAGTAATTCCAAATCTGAGGTTATTTTCTCTAATCTGAAGTTGAAATTCCAATTTTGGGGTTGTTATTCAAGATATGACTTTAAAATCCCTATTTGTCCTCACCATTCAATCCCTTAATCTTAGCTTGTAATCTATATATGTTACCCTGTAATATCTGTACCTCACCATTCAATCCCTTAATCTTAGCTTGTAATCCATATATCTTACGCTGTAATATCTGTACCCCACCATGTAATCCCTAAATCTTGCCTAGTAATCCATATAGCTTATCCTGTAATATATGTACCCCACCATGTAATCCCTAAATCTTAGCTTGTAATCCATATAGCTTACCCTGTAATATATGTACCCCACCATGTAATCCCTAAATCTTAGCTTGTAATCCATATGTCTTACCCTGTACTATCTGTACCTCACCTTGTAATCCCTAAATCATTCCTTGTAATCCATATATCTTACCCTGTAATATATGTACCTCACCTTGTAATCCCTAAATCATTCCTTGTAATCCATATATCTTACCCTGTAATATCTGTACCTCACCATGTAATCCCTAAATCATTCCTTGTAATCCATATATCTTACCCTGTAATATCTGTACCCCACCATGTAATCCCTAAATGTCACCTTATAATCCGTATATCATACCCTGTAATATCTGTACCTCACCTTGTAATCGCAAAATGTCACCTTGTAATCCATGTATCTTACCCTGTAATATCTGTACCCCACCATGTAATCCCTAAATGTCACCTTATAATCCATGTATCTTACCCTGTAATATCTGTACCTCACCATGCAACCCCTAAATGTCACCTTGTAATCCCCGATCTGTATATTGTAGAGTAGCGATGGTATTATTTTATCCATATGACGTTGATCCCAAATATTCTCAGCTAAATCCTCGTTCACTATCTTCCTCACAACGCCTCCTATACCCTAGGGAAAGTATCATTATTATCACTGCTATCAATTCACAAATCACAATACAAGTATCATACAGATGTTTTCAAATATGTTATTTTCTATATGCTTGAACCAAATATATATATATTTGATTTGATTTTCTATCTTAAACCTGGATAGTGGATAAACTAATACAAATATTGGATATACACTGGATATTTGTTGCAAATATCCTATGTTACGCCTAGTATTCTTAATCTTTTTGGATCGTTTTAAAGAAAATTTAAAAAAACTTCCAAGAAGTAAAAACTGGATTATGTTAAAGTTTGCTTTTATGAAACTGTGCAATATCTTTATGATTAAAAAAGATAAAAAAAAATATGAAAAAAGATGGAAAAAGATGAAAAAAGATGGAAAAAGATGAAAAAAAGATGAAAAACATATGAAAAAAAAATTAAAAACGATCAAAAACCGATCGTTACAACACTTCTGTATTTGCATCGTTTTCGGATAGTTTTGGGTGGTTTTTACTTATATCTTTTATCAGGGTCATCATTTGACTATAGAGTACGAAAAGAATATGTTAATACACTATGCCAAATTTTGACCTTGAAAGAAAATATAAATAAAAACGACCCAAAAACAAACAAACTAAAGGCACAATACTAACGCCCAGGTATCCGAATACTTAGTCGTAACAACCGGATCATTACTTTCCCAATGTATCCTACCTTAATCCCGGATATCTGGATACTGGATGTAACAACCTGATCATTACTATCCCAATATATCCTACCTTAATCCCGGATATCATGATACTGTATGTAACAACCTGATCATTACTATCCCAATATATCCTACCTTAATCCCGGATATCTTGAAAATGGATGAAACAACCTGATCATTACTATCCCAATATATCCTACCTTAATCCCGGATATCTGGAAACTGGATGTAACAACCTGATCATTGCTAACCCAATATATACTACCCTAAGCCAGGACATCCGAATACTTAGTCGTAACAACCGGATCATTTCTATACCATTGTATCCTACCTTAAGCCCGGATATCCGGATACTGGAGGTAACGACCGGATCATTGCTCTCTGAATGACACATCTGGGAGAACTTACTGATGAAGAAATCGTACCGTCTGAAGACAAAGATAGATTGATTCCTAGGCATCTAATGGAATTATACATAACTTATGTTAAGTAAGAACGATCAAATATCAGGCTAGGTCACGGTTTCAGAAAAAAATTAACAACAAAAAATAGGACTGCTGATAGTTTATGAGGAAAAGAATGTGACTAAAATCTGGGACGCTTAAGGAAAACCTTTTAAGGTGCGGAGAGAGTGGCACTGCAACCCACCTCCCCCCACCACCAATATTCAAGATGTCAAAACAGGGGAAATTAGTGAAAAATAACATGAATTTTAGTACAGTCATAATCAGAAGAACCGATATAAATTGACAGTTCATCAAAAGAGACTTTACATATATATCTCTGGCAACCTCAAGAACCTTATTTGGAAATGGCAGGACGGTGATGGTGATG